TCTGCGACGAAAGTCACAATTCGGGATCGCGCGCTGCAGCCGCGTCCGTACGGCTGAGGTCCATTGTCTGCGCGCGACGGAGAGAGAAAGAGAGAGAGAGAGAGAGAGGCGGCACTATTTTTCCACTGTCTCGGCGCGGCGTACCGGAGTCGCTGACGATTCGGCTCGGCAATATCGACAATGCTCCCCGGATGCTGCACAACGAATTCTCGAGTTTTCGGGATGAACGTCGCCGCATTCCGTTGAGTTTATCGAGTGAAAAACGCGCCGTATGCGAGAGAAGCAACGCGCGAGTGGCCGCGCGATCGACCGGCCGTGTGCGACACGCCGAATCGAGCCGATGGTTGTGAAATTATTGCCTCGCACGAATGTCTACGGCGGTGCCAATACTCTCCTTTTCAGGCGCCTCTTCGTCGTGTGCCTTGCAAAAGCGGCGGCACGAGCAGGTCGGCAGGTCGAGCCGCGAACAGAGCGTCGTGCACACAAGCACACTCTCGTTCCCCGGACGCCTCGGCGCGAAAAATATTCGACCAACGCCAGAGAAAAATCCGCGAACGATCCGCAATGAGGTCGGTTGTCGAAATCCACGGACAGCTCCGACCGATGAAACTCTATCCCGGAGCAACAGAGAGACAGGGCGAGCTGCAAGTGTAAAGTCAGCGGGATTGATGAAGCGATATCAATGTGCACGAGCGAGGCGCCCCGTTTCCCCCGAATACGACGGGCGCGCGCGTCGTGCCTCGGCATCCCGCGTCACGACTACCGTGTGCTTCAGTTCATAAGCAACCCCTCATTATTTCAATTCCATTGTGGCGCTCACGCGCATTCGCCAGCCTGCACATGCGCTCTGCGCGCCATCGCACCTCGACGTGCGATCCCCCTCCGCCTAAAAATCCTGCCACGAATTTCCATGAGAAGCGACCGACGCGTGCGCGCGCATAGCCGCCGAGTCGTCGAATACGAGCTTTCAATTCTGCCGATCAGAAGTCATTATTTTGTTCGCAAAGGAGCGTCGAGCTCATAGTTGCGTTCTCGCGCCAGCTTGTCGCCGGGCGATCGCTATGTATTTCGCAGATAGGTTCATACGTTGCCCCGCCGCAGCGATCGCTGCGGCCGAACGTTCTATTCAGTGTCCCTCTGAGCCACAACTGCACGTCGTATTTTACAAAGATTCCGCACGAGCGACCGTCTGTGGTCGCAAGACCGGTCGACGAGGAAACGACCAAGCTGTTGCGCACACTGCCAAATTACGAATGTAATGCTGCAGTGACGCGTCTATAAGCAGGCTGCAAGAGTCAAACAATTTCCTAAGGTCGATTCATTGTATTGTACCGGGGTGGGGGGGGGGGGGGGGGGGGGGGGGGGGAGTGAACAGGTCCTCGACGCAGATAAAAAGCTAGGGGCCAAAGCGAAATCGAAGGTCACGTAATGAGCGACGATGGCGTCCGCCACATTGGTATCTCGTTCGTGCGACTCGATGCAAGTGACGCAGGACTGTGTGTTGCCCTCGGATATGTAGCCGAAAACACGGAGCAAGGTAGAAACGAGGGGGAACGAAGTTGCGACCCAGTGTGGGGAGGGGGGGGGGCGCTCGGACGAGGTGAGACGCACGTGCACGCACGCGCGGCCACGCGTCCCCATAGCGAGCGACAAAGGGCCCACACGGTCTAGATAAATAGAGCGCGAGCGGCGATCTGCTTTGTCCTGTCTATGGCCGCTTCTCCTTTGATTTTACTCGCGCGTGGATCGACCAATTCGGCCGCGCGTGGCTATAGATTCGCCAACGTCAACCTGCCCGCGCCGCTGAGCTTTACCGTAAACGAAAATCGTGGACGTTGCACGTCGAAACGCTCGTCAGTGGAGAAATGTGCGCGTCGCATCCTGTCGATCCGAGGACACGGCCTCTCATGCCCTGTCGGACACGTGCGCATTCTCAAACGACATCTCGAGCTTCTTTGGAGTACGTTAATTTAACAAAAACTTGAAACTTGGTCTTTCCATCCCAACCCCATTCTTTTTTCTGCCCTTCGAGATCCATGCACGACTATTTGTCACGTGTAATTCTAGCTCCACGGAAAAGTATAGCGTCATTGGAAAAAGGTTTCTCGGTAAGACTTACCATTAGCCATCCCCCCTTCGTCGACCCGTTTTCCCCATTTCGTCCTCGTGTACTCTCATAAAATCCGGACTTGACTTGACTTCCAAGTCCTTCCTGTGACAGTTGTCGTCCTCCCTTTCAAATCCACGTACATTATGATCCAGTATTTCATTCTCTACAGCTCGTATCTCACATTTTTACGAGGTCCAAAGTGTTGATGCAGCGATATTAAGATCAAGGTATATTTAATGGGATCTTAAATGCCGTTCCAAGTAATCGCGAACATCAACTACAAGATATGATTTTCTATTTCTCATGGAAAAAGCTCGTATCAGAAGTACATTCGAGCTCGTATCATTACAAGATTCGTTAGGAAAAGTAACATATAGGAATAAAAAAGTAGCTGAGCTGGCAGGTCAAGGTCAGGACCGCGGGGTCAGGCGGACCGATGAGTCGAGCGAACGAACATCGGAACTTTTGGAGACAGCGTAAGAGCAATAGCCGTCCCGCAGAGTGGATTGCCGGCGGCGAGCGATGTCGGTGCGCTCGTTCAAATTCGATCCCCGGAAGCTTTGCTCGTCGCTCGAGATGGCGCGTCGAGGGGCAAAAACCGGGCCTTCGAGGCTCGCCGTATCCTGTTGCACGTAAAGCTATAGAATAAAGTAGAGTATAGAGTAGACGCGAGTGGAGCAGAGAACTCGGCACACGTGTGCGCTCTTCCAATCCGGTTAGGGCCCAAGAGAGATTAAAGTTTCGGGGGTTGGGCGCATCGCCGGGCGCTGAAAACCTATACAAATCATTTTCTACTGCGCCGTTATAATAACGCCACTACCCCGGGTCCGCTTTATAAGTAGGTCGGCTTATACGCCATCTCTCTCTCTCTCTCTCTCTCTCTCATTTTTTCCTCTCCTTTTTTATTCAGGCAGCGCGCTTGCGCCTCTCTTCCTCCGCTACGCATTTTCGTCAGTTTTTATAGCGCGCGCGCGCGTATACACTTTTGTACCGACCCTTTTTCCCTTCGAACTTGCTAATGCGAGCCTGCGCCTATCATGCTGTCTCTGTACGTCTGTCAGTGCGCTACCGGATTGCCTGCCGTACGTCGCTCTACAACTCTCGAATCGGAAAATCGCCGGTCACATCGGTGCTCGATCATTTTCTAGATTATATCCCCTTCGCCGCGGCATTGCGAGCGAAGCGGCTCGTAGGCCGGCCAATCGCGGTTATCGTCGCGCCACCCCTGATCCAGCCGTTCCCCCTTATCGCGTCAACGAGATAAACCGATCGGTGCGTGCTTCACGCGCATCAACGGGCCTCCTTGTTCCACGTCGTCTCGTGCGCAACCGCTATCATCGCGCGCGAGCACGGATTACATCTAAATACTTTTATTGGCAAATGTTCCGTTGGAGTCGGTCCGACCGATCTCATCTCTCGGCTCGTGCCACTCTCCCCTTGTCGTCGCTCCGCATCCAACCGAGTATAACGACTCGACAGCCTCTGCGAGCATCGACATCGACGCGGAGCTGCGCCGAAACATAAAGAGAAACGACGCGAGAAGCCGAGGCGGTTGGCAACAGCCAGTCTCGTCATCTTGGCTGCCGTCGGTGGCTCGCGCGCAGGTATGCAGCCTTGCAATTGGGCGAAAGCCGAGGACTGCGAGAGCGAGCGGCTCGCGCGCGGATATAATCGAGCTTGCCGCGCGGCATATGGTGCGTGCCTCATAGGTGTGTACATTGGGAGAGCGCGCGCGAGTGCGCTCGCGCCATCGGGCCGCCTGCCTCGATCGGGCCCCCTTTTCTCTTTCTCCTCCCTGCTGCGTAGACAACGTCGGTGTGCGCGCGCGCACACGCGGAGGGAGCGCTTTCGCGCGAATATTTCTCCGTCGTCTCGCGCGGGGCTCTCGGTGCCGCGGCGCTGTACTTTTGGATCGCCGGCTCTTGGCAGGAGGGGTGGTAGCTGCCGCCACGACGGAGACGGCGGTACGCGTAATCACCGATCGACAATCGACACGCGATCGCTCGCGACGGGGAGAACGCCGCGGTGCCGTAGCTGCTGGCTCGTCTCCCGAGCGAGCAGGCCAGTTTATGGCTGGGGTGTGCACCTCGCGTTTTGCGATCGCTGTGCCAGTCACGGCGCCTACTCGCGCATAGCGTACAGGCCACGCCGTCGCTCGGTCCTGAAATGTCTAACGTTTCGAATGCGAACGCGGCTGTGTCGAGCAGCTCTTTCTTTATTTGCAGGACAATCCCCGGAAACCTTCGGATGGCGGTTGGCGCCTTTAAAGATCTTGGTCATCCCGCGAATGGAAAGTGCGCCTCGCGACACCAACCTTCGATTCCGTCAGGCTGCGTGTCGTGTAACTTGCAACTGCCGCTGCGATAGCTCATTCCAATGGCCACGACTCAAGGGCTGGCTGACTTTCGACCAGCCGATCGGGCTGACGGCCACGAGGATGCCGGCGTTTGGTCGGGATCTAGCCGATTTAACGGAGCCTCGCTGCAAATTATATCGCACGCAGCGCGAGCAGGGCATTACGTACGCGCGCGTTACGAGCGTGACCGAAGGAGCGAGCTGCCGCGAGAGGAAGGCAGGCAAGCAGGCAGGCAGGCAGGCAGGCAGGCGGCCAGGGGGAGGGAGAGAGGGGCTGCTGTCGGCGCGGCACAGCGACTCGCGCTCGGCGCGTGCTGTTCCACCCCACTACCGAACGCACACATGTGCACTCGTCAATCTTCCCTGCAATAAGCGAAGAGGGAGAGAGAGAGAGAGAGAGAGAGAGAGAGAGAGAGAGCACGAGAGAGGCGAGGGGTGCGCCAGTTCAGCTCCCTACCATCGGGCTTGCGCGCGCGGGCACGCGACTCGCTGCTGAAATTCAAACCATCCGCATTCGAGGTGCGGCGCCCGAAGCCGAAGCGCGGCATGAGTGGACGAGCAGCGCCCGTGTCGTAACGGCTCTGCCCGTTGTCCCCGTGAAAAGTGTCGTTGCCGCAGTGCGCGGTGCGCATGTGTGTCTCCAGTGCAATAGTAAAATGTCGACCATGGGCCTCGTGTACAACGCGGCGAGCGGAGCCGGCGGCGGAGGCGGCGGCGAGCAAGTGATGCTCCTGAGAACACTGCAGGACAACGAGAGCAACATCATGGGCGCCCGGGCGTGCCTGGCCGCCTCCGGCCAGCAGCAGCCGCCCCCGAAGCACAACGCGAGCGCGATCGGCGTCGCGCACGGCGAGCCGCTCGGCGGCGGCTGCAAGGGCGGCGCCCAGGCCCTGCCGGCCTACGACCCCTCCAGGCTGAAGAAGCACGGCAAGAACGGCCAGCCGCCGCCCATCGCCGTGGCCAAGCGCAACGCCCGCGAGCGGAACAGGGTGAAGCAGGTAAGCACCACCGGTGCCGGCGAGCCCCGGCCGCCCGCGCGTCTCGCTCACGCGGCTGCTTTCTCGCCTGCCGCCGGGGCGCACAGGTCAACAACGGGTTCGCCACGCTCCGCCAGCACATCCCGAGCCACGTGGCCCAGGGCTACGGCGACCGGGGCAAGAAGCTCTCGAAGGTGGAGACGCTGCGGATGGCCGTCGAGTACATCCGCGGGCTGCAGCGGCTGCTCGCCGAGGCCGACGCCGGCGGCATGGAGCTCGAGGCGAGGCTCGGCCGCGCGAGCCACGAGTCGCCGATGACGATCCCCTCGCCCGCGGGCAGCCTCTACTCCAGCAGCACGCACAACGGCTCGGCCGAGGCCTTCGGCCTGGACGACCACCCGCGGGAGCTCGACCTCGCGGACGAGGCCGAGCGCGAGGAGGGCGAGGACGAGGACGACGGCGAGGAGGAGGAGGAGGAGGAGGGGGACGACGACTACGACGAGGAGGAGGCGCTCGTCGAGCGGCGCCGCGCGCAGCTGCTCCAGCGGCAGCGGCAGCGCCGCGCGGACGGCCACCGCGAGCTGGCGAGCGAGCCGCCCCGGGACAGGCGCCCGGGCGGGCGCTCGCGGGTCGAGCCCCGGAGGGCGGCGGGCAGGTAACGAGACTCGGCGGCGCCCGCGCCAGAGCCGCCACTAACCGCAGCGAACGCTCGCGCGCTTGCACGCAGGCTGTCGGAGAACCAGAACCGCGAGCGCTGCCGCCGGCGCGAGGACGGCTACTTCAAGCAGGCGTCCTTCGGCGACGAGGAGAACATCGAGCCGCTGGGCGCGCGCAACAACAACAACAACAGCAGCCTCAGCAACAACAACAACGTGCTGGCCGGCTTCGCGCCGATGCTCGTGCAGGCGGCGACGTCGGCGATGGGCGGCCTGGCCTGCGTGAAGCGCGAGGCGCAGCAGCCGCTGGACGAGGAGGACGGCCGGCGCTCGGGCGCGGACGAGCCGCCCGGCGGCGAGGGCGTGATCCTGGCCGCGTCCTCGCCCTACACCGGCGAGATCTTCATCGAGAGCCCCGGGACGGGCCGCCTGGTGCCGCTGAAGATCGAGGAGCACGAGGCGCAGCTGGTGTACGTGGGCACCGGCGAGCCGGCCTACTACAAGGCCGAGCTGTCGGACGGTGCGGCCGAGCTGAGCTGGTGGGAGCAGGAGTGCATCGTCCAGCAGCTGCAGCAGCAGCAGCAGCAGCAGCAGCAGCAGCACCAGCAGCAGCAGCCGGAGGCGTCCGCCCAGCGGCCGCTCGCCCACGTCTGACCAAGGCCGCGCGACTCGCGTCAGGTAAGCGGCGCGCAGCCGGCCGGAGAGACGGCCGCTGGATGGAGGCGCGCGAGAGCCCGCAGAGCCGGGGCTCGCACACGTGGTCGCGCGAGAGACGAGAGACCTCGGAAATAGAAGTGTCACTCGAGCGCTGGAAAAATAAAACGACCACCTCGCCCGTATGCGCGTCGCGCGCGCCACGCGTCGCCCGCCTGCCCGCCCATCCGTTTGGGCAGCGTCTTCGCCTCCTCGACGCCAGAGCCCGCTCGCTATCTCGCTGCGTCCGCGTCCGCCTGTCTGCCGCGCTTCCGTCGACGAGTCGTCTTTGGGGCCCGCGCGTCTTCCCCGCGCTATCGGCTCCCGCGACGATCGATCGAACGTCGATCGGACGGCGTGTGCAAGCGAGTTGCACGGCCGGGCAGCTCCGGAAGTGGTCCAGTGCAGCGTGCGCGCCACGCGCGTGTGCGTGCCCGCGTGGACCGGAAGCGGCGCGCGCTCTCGTCCGGCCTCGACCTCGCCGACTCGCGGGACGAGCGGCGCGCGCGAGCCCCACTTGGATTCGATCCTCGTCGCGCTCGATCTCGAGAATCCGAGCGGGACGTATGCGCGCGATCGACCGAAAACGGAAGCCGGGCGCTTGAGAACGAGCGAGACGTCGGCGGAGCGACAGCAGGAGCGAGCGGCGCGGGCAACATATGGCCGGCAAGGAGCTCGAACTCGCCGCCATATGCCAGCGAGTTGTTTGCCTCGGTGGCCAAGGCTGTTGCCGACGCCGCGCCCGAGAATTTCGCGCGCGCGTGGCGTTCTCGGCGGAAAAGCGAGCGGCGCGAGTGCGCCGACGACGATCCTCCCGGCCGGCCGCTCGCATGCGGGCTCACGCGCGCCGCCTGCATGATCGCGGCTTTGTTCTCGTACGCTTGCCCGTCGTTTCTAGCGGCGCCTTCCGGGCTACGTCACTCGCACTCGATTAATCGCCTGCGCTATCGATACGCGCACGCTCTCGCGCGGTTCCGATTGTCCCTATTGGCTTTCTTTTCGCGCTCTCTGCCAGGTCGACGGGTCGCCGGGTCGCCGGGTCGCCGGGTCGCCGGGCTAAGAATATCCCCTCGCGTCCGCGACACCTCTCGCCTTGACCGTCTCGAGCGAGTCTCAAGCAAGACCGGCCTCGTAGCAAGATAACTTTGATCGTGTATCGTAGCAGTAAATACAACTTTATTATCCCTAAAATGTTCATAATTGCTTAACTTGGCACGAAGGTCGTTGGCAATGATGGACTGGAGAGAACGAGAAGGAGAACAAAAGGAAAAAGGCAGCCGCGTCTCAAAGCGAACGCCGAGGCGAACGCGTTAAAAAGCCGACTTGAGCGGTCGGCAGGGTGAAGCGATCCCCGCAAGAGGGTACATTTATTGAATTAATCCGCCGCCGCGTCGACGTGGCGGATCTCTGCTGAATTCCCTTTTTATAGATGACCTCACTCTCTTACGCACTCGTTGCAGTCACTTAGCGACGCTGCTTCTCGCGCTCTTCTAATTGCGTTACCCGCGCCTTTCATCTGCTTATTTATGAATGAGCTCGAACTGCGAATTTCAGCAGTCGTTGACGCTCTCTCCCTCTCTGTCGGCTCCGCTTTATCGTTCCTTTCGTTCGCGTCTTCTTCGGCTCGCAGCAGCGGATCAGCGATGGGCGACGACGAGAGGAGGCGCGCGTCTCGATTCGAGGGGGCTTTCCCGCGATGCGTATCTCTCCGAGCGGCGCACGGCTCCCCGTCGGCTTTTCACACTCCGCGGCAGCTCGACTTCCGAGGCGAGCCCACGTACGGTTTCCCACGGGCCTGGCGAAAAACTGCCGCGCTTTTTCACGTCGTGCAGCTCGAGTGCAGAGGGGAAGCGGCCGCCGCGGCAGATCGGCAGCTCTCCTCCTGTTCAGCGCGCATCTAGCTCGGCGCGACACGGCCGCGATCATTTCAGTTTCAACTGTGCGCCAACGACGTCTTGTGCTTGTTCTCAGTGCCACTGGAGCAGGCCAAGCGACGGACCGACAATGGCGTCGTCCGTTGCGCGCGTCGATGGACGTCGGAGATAAGCTCGAGGAGCGGCGTATTTTCCACTCGGCCCAGCGGCCAAATGGTGTCGAAGGGTTACGGCGAGGCACACGGCGGCGCATGGGAAAGTACACAACCCGACACGCGCACGAGACAGACATTTTGTGGGACTGTCGAGAGGAAGAGGAAAGTTACTACACCGTGCCGTTACACACCACGGGACCAAATCGAATCCATTACGCTTGTGCGTTGCATCCGACTCTATGTGTACACGTGATTTATACGTATAGTCGGAGTCTTTCTCGGATCACGCGCGATCATTGCTTGTTGTTAACGATAGGGATAATTGAACGTTGTACAATGGCCATACTTTTTTGTGGCTCACTCGTGTGCCTCCACATGGCATCATACATACTTAAGTATTATTGGATGACTTGCATATTTTTTATACTGTATAGTTGTCATTTTTATACATATACGTGCCTTAATTAGACACGGAATGGCCCAATGGTTATCCGTTATTTTTTATTATTATGCTTAAGATGTACATTCTTTATACATACATACTCTAAAATACTTATGATTCAGTTACGATTGTGACAAAATTATTACGCATACATGCCATTTGCCATTTGATTTGTCTGACGGGTGCGCGGCCCAGATTCGAATCAATCACGCAGACTTAGAGTTTTGCAGAGTTATCACGTACTTAGTTCTGCGGCATTTCTTGTAATTTTTAGTAAAGATGTATACAGATATTACATCTTTTTGTATATAGATATAGATGTATAGATATATTACTGTTTTAACGAGAGAATGTGGTTGTAAAGCATCTTTAATATGAATTAAAGTTACAAAAAGAGGGCCATTCAGTTTATCAAGTAACTAGTCTTCTAAGGGTTACGTCATTCAAATCCAGTGAATGATCGAGTATTTCCTTTTCTTAATTATCAAAGACGTGCAAAGTTTTGTGATTAGACAATCAGTACTTTTGTATAACATAATAGAGTAATGAATCTGACTCATAAGTTATTATTATATCGATGTAGGCATATGTCGAAAATGCTTGGAAACGTTTTGTATGTATTTTTCATACATATAGTAATGATACTAGTGCCTTCTAGCAATTGGCAATGAATATTTTTGATGAAACAGGTTATATTCGTATATTTTATATACCAAACGTCATTCAAATAAATTTATGTACTTATTTATAAAAACATTTGTTTGTTGACTTGATCAAAGTCCCAATTTTATCCCTGACAACAAGAAAACAATAACACCTAAAGATAGAGTAAGAAATGTTACGATTATTATGAAACTGTTCCTTCACTCGTATGTTTTCTATGTAAATTGCGGCATTTGCATTTAATTGATTTTAGCAAGAGGTTTGTGCACCAGCTGACAATGTATTTAAATATATTAGCATCTTAATTCACTGACATACATTGATATCCAAGTCATCTGCGACATTCAAATAATGAACAATTCTTTATCCACAAGCTAAAAAATACATTCGAGTAAGGCCACGTTTCCCAAGGTAACTAATCGACACGGTAGCTGCTCAGGGTATGCGCAATAGATTTACTCCCCCTCCTCTCCCCCTAGGCAGCGATTTACTTACTACATGGCGTGCGGCACAGGTGAGCGCAATAAAATCAATATGCGGGGAGAACACTATTTTATTTTTTAGTACGTGGCTGAACGAAAGGTAGTTACACAATTTCCGGACCCTAGTATGCACCCCTGGGGCAGGGGGGGGGGGGGCGCAAAATGAGCCACGTCACTTCCGCCGGACGTTTCGGCCGTTTTTGGGGGCTGCCTCGAGCACTCCCACGCACGTTACATCTGTTTACGCAGTCTGACAACCCCAAGATCATTTTTCTTTCCCTGGAGATCATTGGGCTGGGCGACAAGATAAACGCTGTTTTTTTCGATAATTATACAAACAACACTTGAAATTTCCACTTCTATTTAATGCGGATTAATAGGATGACATGACATAAAAACCTTGATTAATTTAACATAGACACTCTCAGTTTTCTCTATTACAAGAAACTTTTTTATATACGTTGACATGTTTTTGATGATCTATATTGTGGCTGCACTGGTTATTAATTTACGTGGTAATCGTGCAAATATTTTTGATTATTGGCAGCATTGATCGGCATAATGTTATTATGTACACAATAAACTTTTCAAAGTTTCATATTAAATATACGTGAGGTTTTGCTATTATGAATGATGACAAGAGACTAACATGGGAATATTGTTCAAAAAGCCCAAAACAAATATATGAACGGTATTCTCGTCGATTTCGCGGACGACTTGATTCGCGCGTACGTTTGCGAATTTGCGATGCAAAACGTCTAGAGTGTGCACGCAGACTCGGCGTTGTACTAAGGTCACCGCATAAGTAAGTTACAAATATCGGAATTTTTTTGGTTTTCTCACCTTCTATAAAACACCCAACTTTGCCCGCCAACGTCGGCAGTCTTATATCGGTTGGTGTTCGAATGATAGCGTTACTCCGACATTTTATGTTTGTCCAATCTGTTTTTCAAATCTGGAATAAGTGCTATTTACTCTGTTATCACTGTCGGTGTTTTTTATGATTAATTTGTTTCTTTAAATTGTAATTAGTTAATATAAACGGTTAAGATGGAGGCTGTACCTATGAATTCGTCTTATTTACCAACTGCTATCTTTTGGCCACTGGTCATCGTCGTTGGAGCTTTAACTGCATTGTATTATTACATGGAAACGTCTCGAATGGTTAAGATGGGAAACAAATTGCCAGGTATAAAATTTAAAAAAGGAAGTATTTAGTTACTTATCACGTTAACAATAATAATTCGTTATTTAAGGGCCAAAAACTGTGCCATTCTTTGGCAATGCTCTATTAGCATGGGGCGTGAAGCCAGAAGATGTTCTGACAGAGGTTCTAAAATATGATATCTACGGAAACGTAGCAAGAGTGTTTCTAGGTCCAAAGCTAGTGGTTTTTCTTGTTGATCCACGTGATGTGGAAATTATTCTCAGTAGTCCAGTTCACATTGACAAATCGCCGGAATATAGGTAAGAAGACATTTTCTAAATTAAACAAATATTTTTAACTGAAACTTTACCAATAACTGTTGATGCAATCAGATATTTTGCACCATGGTTGGGCGAAGGTCTACTTATCAGTACTGGTGATAAATGGCGTACTCACAGAAAAATTATTGCACCAACTTTCCATCTTAACGTTTTGAAGTCATTTGTCCCTTTATTTTACGAAAACAGCATTGATCTTGTCAACAGATTAAAGCCAGAAGTTGGCAAAGAATTTGATTGTCATGACTATTTATCGAGTATCACTGTTGACATTCTTCTGGAAACGGCTATGGGAGTACGAGGCGGTCAGAAAGAAAAGAGTAGCTTCGATTACGCTATGGCAGTCATGAAGTGAGTATTTTATTTTGTTATTAGACCATTCGTAAATATTGTCAACTATAATAGTTCAATTTTATCAATTACGCATTTTATTCAAATTTATTAAAATTTGTTAAAGAAATTTTCTTCTATTATCTTACATTAATATATAATTCGTTAATGTTATATTAATAATTTGGCTATGAATAAATCGATTAATTTCTCTTTTCGTAAATAGCTTAACAATTAATAAGTAAGGTCATAGACACGGCTCACTTTTTGCGCAGTCATACTCTAAAAAACTTGAAAATGTGCAAGCGAACAGGTATTGCAAATTTTCGACTGCTGAAAGCAGCGAAAACTTTAACGTACCTTGTTGCATTAAAGTTCCCACGTGCAGCATTAATTATTCACAGATTTTCATTCAATAGACTGTCCGTGTCATTTTCCACTTAACACATGTATGCATATTGAATGATACAATCACATAAACAATTTAACGTTTTTAATTTTGCATAGATTGTGCAACATTATTCATCAAAGACAATACAACTTTCTATTACGTATGGATACGTTCTACCAGTTTACTAAATTCGCTAAGCAACAACAAAATTTCCTCGAAACTATCCACGGTTTAACATCACGTGTGATCAAGAAGCGTAAAGCAGAAGTCTTTGACAAGCTCGATATTTCAAAGGAACCAGCAGCACCCAAGAAAGAATCAAAAAATGAATCGACTACGATTATTCATACGAAAAAGCAAGAACCCGAAATGAAATACGTCAGAGATGATCTTGATGATATAGACGAGAATGACGTTGGTTAGACCATTTTCATAAAATTTGATGTGGCAAAATATAAAATTTCGTATGCCATGAAATGAATGAATCCAAACATGATAGAGAAATTGAAACAAATAAACTACTGAATCATTTCTAAGTTATTATTTCTAAATGAAGCAGCTATTAATTATAAAATATAATTTTTTCAACAGGTGAAAAAAGAAGACTTGCATTTCTTGATTTGATGTTGGAAATGAGGAAAAACGGAGAGCAACTGACCGATGAGGAAATCAAAGAAGAAGTTAATACTATCATGTTTGAGGTTATTACAATTGACATGTATTTAAAAATCTTTGTATTGCGATAAAACTCTATTATATAGTTTACTATTGGTGTTGTAGGGTCATGATACTACTGCAGCTGGATCAAGTTTTGTTCTTTGTATCCTAGGCATTCATCAAGACGTTCAGGTAATTGCAGTTTTATCCTTAAACTGTTATAATATTTCGTCCTCCATTAGTAACGTATTCGATCTAGATGATCTTTCTATATTTAATGCGATCATTGAACTTGAGAATAATAGCAGTAATCAAACTTCTATAGGAATACGAATTTTGGAAATATTACATTTTCTCTTTTTATGTGACTTTTATCAACAAAAGAGAAACTAGAAAAATAAATGACATATATTAAATATTTAACGATATATGAGTGGTTAAACATTAAACAAAGAAAAATTGAAAAATTAGATATTTCACAGTGCATTAATACTTGATGATGTCATTTAGAATAGAGTGATGGAGGAACTGAATGAAATATTCAAAGGCTCTGATAGACCTTGCACTTTCCAAGATACACTCGAAATGAAGTACCTTGAAAGAGTAATTTTGGAGACTTTGAGATTGTTTCCACCCGTACCCGCCATTGCTCGGCAACTTAATCATGACGTTCAATTAGGTAAAGCACTTATCAGTAATTTTTCCACAAGTCATTGTTCTAAATACCTTCGATTGATATTCAAAACTATTTCTAGCTTCTGGAGACTACGTTGTGCCATCTGGCAGTACTGTTGTTATTCCACAGTTTAAGATTCATCGACTCAAAGAACATTATGCTGATCCTGAAACATTCAATCCTGATAACTTCTTGCCAGAAAATACTCAAGACAGGCATTATTATGCTTATATTCCATTTAGCGCTGGACCAAGGTATGTTTAATAATTTTTATTAAACATACAATGTAAATATTTTTAACTTACTCTAATTTATATACGTAGATCTTGTGTCGGTCGTAAATACGCAATGCTAAAACTAAAAGTTCTGCTGTCGACAATTTTAAGAAACTACAAGATAAAATCCGATCTTTCTGAACAAGATTTCAAGCTACAGGTAGACATCATCTTAAAAAGGTCCGATGGCTTCAAAATAAAGATTGAACCACGAAATCAATCCATAGTTGTATAGATTTGATTGCATGATTGAAATTCCATCTTCTTGTACATTATTTTTACGATAGTTTAAGTAGTTAGTAAGTGTTTGTGAAAATCGAGAAATCAGTCATGTTCTATAGGCAAAAGATTATCATCTACGTTTAGAGTTGAACAATTGTCTTTTGACTAATAATTTGTATTTTAACTAGACTGCATCATAATCTATTATAAAAAGTAAAACTCTTAAAAAAAATTGAAATAGTTATTTTTGGACCATAGTTACATGCTTTATGCTATATAGCAGATTACTAAATTAGTTCATTACAAAGATTAAATCACATTGACGAATAAATTCCACAATGTTATCTTTTGTTATCTCTTATCGGTTAAAGTAAATCATCATTTTAATAAATAATAGTATTTTGCTCATGAAACTCGATAAATAAACGAAATCCACTTGCATGTACAACTGATGACTTTAATTTCGTTCATTCGTAATAATTTTAAGCAGTTTTTTACACATTCTCAATGTCACATTACGTAAGACACATCACGAGTGATTATTATTTAGAATGTTTCTTCTATCCATTGCTAATTCCATTCCCCACGGCACAATAAATAATGCATTCATTACCAGAAGTACAACTTGGCACACAGTGAAACTATCAGTCCAGTCTTTTATGAAACCTTAAATAAAAATATATTTCTCGATCAATCTATGTAGAATCCATAATTATGAAATAAACGTAATTGAAATCGGCCAAGGCATAATAAAGAATGTTGTATAGAATACAATGATATGTACCGGCAAAGGGACCCAATATGACAGATATAACGCCACTAACAATACCGTAGACGCCGTAAGCGGCGGCAATCTGGTCGACTCCGATGTCTTCCACGACAACAAGTGGCTGGGGCACGAGTAACCACGAGCGTGTGAAGCCTATTACTACGACCATGCTTATTGTACCCGTCAGCGTGTCCTCTAGATAGAGATAGCCTGTGCGTACAATGAAATGAGATAAGAGGTGTAAATTGCAAGTCACGCTATGTTCGGACTGAGGTGTTTTCTATTTTCAAAGATAAAGATAGTCGAGTTGACACTCCGATGTGAAAATTTTGTTCACAATGGCTCAAAAAAAAGAAATTGTACCGCGTGAAAAATTGATTTAATAACTCACCAGCTTTAGCAAAAGTCATAAGAATCATTGCTCCGAAATAGATTACTTTTGGTCTAACATCAACAAAAATAGTAAATACTGCTAAACAAATGCGCGATATTAACTCAGCACTAGCAGATACAGTTATTGCTAGAGCGGCGTCGGCTTTTGTGAACCCATTTCGAGACATCATCATCGGTAGAAATCCTAAGAATGTGAAGTCACTAGTAGATACGAAACTTAGTCCTAGGCATGCATTCAAGAAAGAGCGATTTTTAAGTAGAGAAAAATCAATTAAACTATCTAGTATACGCCTTCTGAAAGTAATTTTTTTTCTAGTAAATTATAAAGATAACCGCAAACCTAAAAATAAATTAATTTTCCTTACTTAGTTTTTGAATTTTCCACCTTTTTCCGAATTCCGACGGCTTCTCTTGGTTCACTATCCCTGTCGTCTTCGTTAATAGCCATTCTAGGTACTCCAAATTGTAGAACCGCTTGGTTCAAGCTTTCGCTACCGGGCAGCACTCGAATGTTTGTCAAACTTGATGGAGTGAAACTAGCCAATAAAGAATTCTTTCGCGTCTTGCTCCAATTTGGTCGACCAATTGGTAATAAAGACATGCTACGACCCCTTTGAACTCCTTTTTCTACGTCCGAGACTGAAGCAACTCTTACTTCAGACATCTTCTCAGAATGCCCAGTCACGAGAAATATTTCATAATTCCATTACTTATTCGAAAGTAAACGTACCAACGCTTTATGAGTTTTGACTGAAAGTTCCTTCATGCTCTATAAAATACACAATAATTACCAGTTCCGGAACATCAATTCTCTTCTCTTCTTGCAAACTCCTCGTACTATTCCATTTTTCATTTTTCTTAAGGACATCTACTTCACGGGGTTTCGGCTGAGAGTTCGCTGTAGACAGCAGTTCTTCTCGTTCCTCTGCTAGTGTATTTTCCTTTGTTGATTTTCTAGCACGAATTTTAGCCTTCCAAATCGCAGGTGGCTTCATTAGTGCCATAGCCGGAATACAATTGAGACTTAATGCTCCTATAATTAGTGAAGTTCCTGTAATCATTTTCTTTTTTAAATTAACAATACTTATATATTTGGTATCCATTTCTTCACCCATAAGCAAATATACACGTAATACAATTACACCTATTTGGATTTTTTCGTTTTTGATAATTGATCACTCTTGATAATAAGTTATTATAACAGAAAAAGTTTGATAAATTATCATACCTCTAAATCCATATTCTTCCATCATAAACTCAATTAATATTGGATATACAATCCCACCTGCACCAACGATAGCTTGCGACACTCCCATCACCTAAAATTTAACAATAGAGAAAGTTGTTATCATTATAGATATTTTCACGATTATTATCGTTTAAGTTTTTGTCTAAATACTTTGCATGTCAAACTCATTCTTGTAATTATTTTTAGAAATTATACTTTTATTTGTTACACGAAATAAGTGTCAATATTTTAATCTATGCTCGAGGAACATATCCGTAATATATTGATTCATGTGATATATATATGTGAACGTGCTCCGCATCAATCACAATACAACTTTTTTATACATGTCATAACTCTGTATACTGTATACCAACAAAAAATAATAATGCATCTATCGTACGTTTAAATAAAATATTCCTTCATTTTAGTAAAAGAACAGTGTTTTTGTAAAACACTACTTTTTACCCATTGCAATCAGATAATTATTTATTTAATGTATAAATCAAGATTTGCCCATTAATGCAGATTTCTATGTGAGTAGCATAATATTAAGATAAAATTTAAGATGAATTGTAACATGATAATAATGAAGCAACATTTTTATTTACAATAAAAAAGTCATTTTTAATATCATTTTGAAATATACATGGGTGCCTACTACTAGTTCTTGAACTTGCAAATATTCACATATCCAGATTAAGCAGAAATATATCAGTTAGTGTTTCCAGCTTTTCACTCAGTAGTACTAAAAGTTATACCGAAATAATAAACAATAAACAAACCGATTATAGACTGAATATTGTTTTGCAAAAATACAACCATATTATAACAAATAATAAACATAAAGACTACATATCGTTTATTCTGCTATTGTATTGATGATAATTTTCTTAAATTGTAAAGTGCAGTTAATCGTATAACGATTTCTTCTATTTTCAACGCTTTCAATTTAATAAATGTGTCTATATAAGAAATTTCATTGTAAATAGATTACTTTATAGAAATTACATTTACCATTGATCTCTTTTTTTCAAAGTAGGCATTAAAATTGGTGTTACATATAGTAAATAGTAGTCCCATACCAATGCCTTGGAAAAAAAATATCACAGCCATTTCTATGACATGACGTATGTACCCTAAGGTAACATTCGGTACTGCAAATAACATAGCGCCAATTACACCTACTGTTCTCATGGAGAACTGCTTCAAAAGGGGACTAGTCACTAAACCTGTAATAAGCATTCTTATTTAATTGATTGACATTTGAATATTCGTATTATTATTTTGATTAATTTAGTAAGCAATTACGTATAAAAAATAAAACTCATATGAAAGAACTTTTTTAGCAGGTGCTAAAAAAAACAATGATACCCAAAAGCTTATTATACTACGCTACGAAATATAAAATAGCAAACTCGCGTAGTATGTGATAATAGATTTTATCCCAAGTATCAGTATATTATGTATTGTCAATAAAACTCATTGCAATACTTGTCACAAACAAAAGTTGTACAGGCCGATACATCAATTACGAAATTATAAATGACATTAAAGGTTTAAAATTTTTCTCAATTCGTCACAAAACTGTTGTACGGCCATCGCAAAAATACAAATATAATTAAATAACATTCTTTACAAATCATTTGATTTCACGTACCCAACGACAAATATTGACAAACTTGAATGTTTAATATTTAAAATACAAAATAATCCATAAACGTCAACTTGGCAAGTAATTTGAACTTCGTTGACGAAGCAATTATTTAAATTCTTCATCGTCAATTCAAAAAACCTACTCTAGCGAGGAAAAGTTTTATGCAAAGTTTATGCAAAAGTTTTATTCCGTAATATTTCAAGCTTTTTCTTATGATTAAAATTTGTTTTAAGTATTAAGAAAATTAAAATTATATCCAATTGATTGAAATAGAATAATATTTCAAATTAATTTTTCTATTAAGAATATGCAAATTGATTAAAAAACGTATTCAGAAGTATAGGTAATAAGTAGATAAGATAAAAGAGAATTTGAATAACGTATCATTCTCAGAGCGAATAACTTATGTGATTTAAAATTCAAATATAGTTTCAGATTGTATTTAAAAGTATATAGAGGTCTTTGAACTCTATGTTATTACAGTACTCATTTGTTATTTACAAACTGCAACTGCAACTGCATCTCAACTTACTTACAAGCTTACATTCAACTGTAAAAACTATTTTTACACCGTTGGTATACAATGTATACTTACTAGCTAAAGAATATGTTACATTGAACAATGAATTCAACATTGTAGTAACTGAACCAGCTGCTCCCGTTGAATCAAAAAAATCACCAAAAATAACTGTGAATGAAGCATTAGGCCCAATGGTTGTTACCTACAAAAGATCAACTGATAAGTAGACTATTATTCAATTCTATTACTGATCAAATAATAATTATCAAACGACTAATTGCTAAATTATATTTAATAATATTCTGTAACAGTTCTAAAAAAATTCATTCAATTTCATACATAAAAAAATTAATTGTTATTTTTCCTTCAGATTTATATTATTAATACATTCCTATAAAAAAAACGGTAAAACAAACAATAATTGATATTTTGAAAGCATAATTATATTCTTACGAAAACAACAATGAGCCCGAGGGTGACCATCCATCCCCATCCACCATCTGGTGCCTCGTAATCATTATCTATGTTCATGAATGTATTTTCTACTTCATTTTCTTGTTTGTTTGAATATTGTTCTATTTTATTTTTTTCGGCAAGTGGCACTTCAGTTTCTAGTTTTCTCTTTTCTTCGGCAATTTTGAAGCTATTTTTCAAATTTTTCTTTAACACCATGGTCTTAACTGCATTAAATACTGATCGCAAAGTTTATTGTCTGAATAATTATAAAATTATAGAAATAATAATAGAAACGTAATGTATAGGTATTATTTGGATTAATTTTTTTTATTTATTCTAAAAAGTTCTTGTAAGCGTACTGTAATGGGACAATAATAGATCTTAACATGTTGATAACAACTGTCTAATACCAATACAACATATGGTAGAATGTAAACGAAAATAATTTAATGTGAGTGCAGTCGACATGGTTTAATTGCTATAAACTGTTGTTACATAACTTTCGTTATGTTGTATTTATAGAATAGTTTAAGAATACATTAAAACGTTCGCCACTTGTGTGATTGTCATGATTACTTAATAAATACTGTTATTATGTAATTGTGTAAATAATGTAATATTTATTAATTTTATAAAATTGCTATGAAATTAGTATCGACAAGATCGTAGATATGATTCAAAATCAACGTTTATAAATGAAAAAAAACGTAATGTGTAGAACTTAAATTACCTGTTCTATTTGTATTTATTGTCGTGGTGATCCAGTCTTATTAATCTGCGTTGATAGCCAACATTACTTGAAAATTATCATTGAATAATAATTTTTGATGCATTTTTGTAGTGATTTCAATATTTATCCATCTCTCATAGAAACATTAATATTTTAAAAAGGTAAATTTTCTAAAAATTGATGAGTAATCTAGATAAGCACAACAATCATTAATGTTATTGTATTTTGAAATACAATAATCATTTAATCTATTTTCACAGGTAGTCTGAAATGAAAAAAAGACTAGCACTCGATATTTTCTATTCAACAAGTAATTTGAGTAGTTCTTGCCTCCGTCAGTCCTCCAAATGATAATGTAACAGGAACAAAATTAGATGTTGTACTTGCAGTTATAGCGATGTACATGTCAGGTACATTCGTAAATCACGATAACAAACTCATTATGTGAAGACGAAGAGGGATAAAAATTTGTTAAAGCTTCTGAGAAAACATACTTGTTCAACGTCTGTCTCGCATTTAAGCACCTTTCAATTTTTTCTGACTTATAATATATTCCTCTTCAAAAGGACTGACAGTGCCTCACATTCTTATCAGGCCAAGATATCTTGGAAACGTCCGTGTTGAGAATAAAATTTATATTCAATTAAGTAGGTATTATTATTTGTTCAATAAACCATATAAAGATTCCTTATCAATTTAATATCGATGTCAACAGATATGTTTCAATAAGATATAAGTACCAATAATATCAATGTATTTTAATTAATCAGCAATTGATAAGTGAATTATCATTAGGAATTGTAAAATTGATCAGTAAGTGCAGGCGTCGGTTCTTTTTAATAAGCTCGTGAGATATTTTGCGTGGAGTCAGTATCTTGTTTCTGTTATTATTCAAGAGCATTACAAAATGACCGGATCATAATTTGTATGGAGCGATTCACACAGGTAAGATTTTACTTTCCGACTGACAAGGATGTATACGTCTAAATAAAATAATATACGTCTTCATCGTTCAAAAGACAAATCATTATTGCTTATTGAGCGATTGCTCTGGACGTTTATATTATTAACTATCAATTTATAGTACGACAAAGACGAAAGTGCATGAAAGAAGAACGAGAACTATTAAATTACGCACAATGTACGACAAGTTTTTAATCCGCGATAGTTTACCGACAATTTGTTAAACTTTGATGAAGCATATCGATAAAATAATACATGCTGGAAACTATTAATTTGATTCTCCATTTCATTGCTAGCTTTGGTAAAGAAAGCAGATTAAGCTGAAAACAAATTATTTCTGCTTGAGTGTGTTCAATCACCAACCTCCCAATAATCCGATAAAAATAGTGGGTTAATTCATAATCGATCCTATTTAAGATGGAATTTCTAAATCATTTCTAACTTCAGTTTAAAAATATTTTTAATAACATATAGTTTATACCATTGTGAATGTTGTTATTTGCAATCGCTTACATGAAATAAAATGGAACTATTTTGATTCAAACTAAGCACAATGAAGATAGTGCAGATTCAACCGGTATCAATTTGACGCAACAAGTACAGTGCCCAGAAAAAAGCATAAAGCATGTTAATATTTTGTTTTATTTTCACAAGCTTTGGAATTGAAAGCTTACGAAACTAGATGAAACTATTTTTTTTGAAACAACTTAAACAGAAATCAGTCAATTAGGTCATTGTAATATCATGAAAAAGTAACTAATAAGAATATTAAAATATTAAACGGAACTTCTACAAATCGCTTGAATTTATCGCAAAGACTATTATCATTACGTAATGTCAGTTTGAAATCTAAAAGTACGAGTAATGAGAGTATATCAGACATACACAGCGATGGAGTGTACAGCTTATGCTAATATGAGCACAAGATCTGACGGCGTTGCGATCGCGACCAAGTTATTATTACAGATACGATTGGCAGTTAGATGTTCGCCATTCGTTATTGCGTCCTACTATCGCGCGCACTTTGTTAAGTGGCTCTAATCGTGTAATTTAAAAATATTAATTTTAATATCAAGCGGCCTCCTGAATTTATTCGATAACCCATACAGAAATAACACTTGATTTTATAACAATTCCGCAATTCTCCATATGAATCAAGCGACGATTCATAAAAATTTGACTTTATTAAACTGCACTACCTTTGTTTGTTATCACCGAGATAGTTATATGGAATATAAGGAATAATTGTATCAAGATGAATTTATTTGGCAATATCGCTTGCAAAGGTTTAATAAATCTAAACTTATTTAAAACTTCACATCTTATAAATATTACGTAGCCTGTACATACCTGATAACTATCATATGACTGTGCATTGCCGTAGCTTTTACTCCTTAATTAAGCAACTAAATGTTGGTTATCGATTATCTCTGGATTTATTACCAAATGTAATTTGTCCCCTTTCAACTATGTATTCTTACGTCGCACATAACTAACAAACGCACTGTATTTAAGATTAAACAACATTGTCTTTTGATGACATAGGTAGATTATATAAGCATTCGAAAATAAAGACGTGCATCGAAAACTTTTTAGAAGCTACAAACCATTATGAAATAAGACATCATATGTAATAAAGTAACATAGAACAAAACCTTCTTTTGATTATTGTGCTCATTGATTGTATTGCTACATGATTAAAATTGCCACAAGGCACATGTTCGAGTGTTTAAAAAAGCACGTGCTTATTTTGAATTGGCCGTAGATTTAACAAAATCTGCCATTAAACATTTGAAAAAAGTAATAAACGACTCAATAAGAAATAACTTTTACTGGCAAATGTTTTCAGAAGCTATAGGAAATGATTAGGCTTATATGTGAAACGTGAGACTTTCTGCGCTAATCTATTGCAATGAAGCGACGTCACAATGGACTCTTCCGCATTGCAGTCTCTCAGCGCTTGTTCACCAAGCAGACGCACACTCTCCCCCTGTCTATCTGCCTCTCTTTCTTTCTCTCTCTCACTCTCCTCTCTCTTTCTCTGTCTACGGTAGCTGGTCGTTGCTGAACTTGGCCCACTCATTAAGGTCGCGTGCCTGTTGCCATAGTGCGTCCTTGTTGTGAACTGCTATATGCGTTGCGGATCTAATTACCACGGCGCTTGTTAAAGACTTTTCACGCGGAGAGCGAAAAAAATCGCACCCACACAATGCCCTTCTTTTCTCACGTCACCCTTTGGCGCCCTCCTTACTTCTCACCGGTGCATTTCGATTCCGACCAGCAGGCTATGAGATATTTCGTAGATGCGTGCTCGATCTTACCGCGAGAACGAAGTGCAGAAACGAGAGAGTGAGAGTGAGAGAGAAACAGCTTAGATTCAAGAACGAGGATTTTTATTCAGATTTGAATCTTGATGGCTCATATGCAAGATGTGCTCGTGAAAATGTTTGCCTTTTCCCCCTTTCTCTCTCTCTCTCTCTCTCTCTCTCTCTCTCTCTCTCTCTCTCTCTCTCTCTCTCTCTCCCTCTTTCTATGCTACACGAAAGAAATTTCGAATTGGTAAAAATACTTGTTAATATTGACGAATAAGTTTAGTTCCAAGTAAATTTATGACAACAATAAACCGTTATCATCTTTTTCAGTGTATTTGCGTATCACTTGATCGCTAGAGAGGCTGTGCGTGGCGCTGATCGATACTAGGTTCGGAAAGTCAATGGAAATTGAACAATTAAACATGAAGCGTGTTTTAGTATCATTGAATTATATTTATCAAATACAACATTAATTTTACATAGAGATGAGAGGAAAAAATATTGTACAATATTGTCCGCCGTCGGCCTTAATATTGCTCCAGATCTTCATCAATTAATATTGATAAAATGTCAATGAGAACACAGAATAAAATCTTAACCGTTATCAAGTGTAGGAGATAACTAAAACTTAACAATCTTTGCAAATAAATAAAATAGCGTTCCATCCCATACACACTTATGATATAAATGCTCGTAGCCACTTGTTTACATTCGATTCGATATAATCTTACTGATATTTATAATTAACAATAAAACTCGAGCAATCATTCGTAGGGTAGACTTGATTGATTACTGGGCAATCCTCGTTAAACGTCATTTCCATTATAGCCTAACAATAAACATCTTTATCGGTGTCTTTCCTAATAACGTGAATACTTTGAGATTCCTCGTTAATACTCACTCATCACGAGCAGATACTTATGTAACGAGTCGCTAGCGCGGTATTAACAAAAACGCGAAGACGTACAAGCGCAAATTCCACATCCGTAAAAGAGGCACACGTGTATATACACAAACAGCATTAACAAGTGCACAGGAGAATGAAACTTGATTGATGCATCGAGAGTCGTAGGAAAAAAGAAAGGAGCGACGAGGAGGAAGTTATATAGCTTTGAGGCTCGCGGCGCTCTCGTGTCTTCCCCGTCGACGACTTTATGAAAATGCATATTCTCGCTCGCGCGCTGGAACCCGCTTATAACTCGGTCATGCGCGCGCGCGCGCGCGCATCTCGGGCGGCGTGTACGGTCTCTTTTTACCTCTCGTCGTCGCTTTCTCGTAACCTCCGCGCGCCCGCGAGTTTCACGCCACTAAAACTTTTCACGCCGCTTCTCGCCCCCCCACCCGCGGCACCCCGGCCGAAAACGTTCGGCCAACGATTGCCGTTGGCCCTGCGACGCGTATCGACGTTCGATTCACGGCCGATGCTCTCCCGTTCGCTCGTGAAAGTGAAATGAAGCCTCGCGTGACAGCGATGAGTTTTCCCTTCGGTTAATCTTAAAAAGGACGGACGTGCAATTGAGTCGCGCTGCACGCCGTGGATTAATAATTTTCCCTAATCATCCGCTCGCGCGCGCTCGTTAGTGCCTTCTCCTTCTTTTTCCCTTCGTCTCCGCTCCATCGCGGAGTTTTCACTTGTTGCGCCGAGCGCGCGTAACAGCGCGGATCGCAACGAGCGGGAACTGTGTCTCGCGTCCGTCGCGGCGCGAGAGCGAATCGCCGCGACCGTTCAGTGGACTTTCGTGCGAAAATACGTTACCTTGGAGTGGCCGGCGTAGAGGACCGGCGTCGAGGCCGGCTCCGGAAGTACGTCGGACTCGCTCCTCCATCGTGGCTGATTCGCGCTCGCCGCTATTTGCTCGTGCTCCATGATGCCCCAGAGCGCCGGAGCGGCGGATTCCGGAACGTTGGCCTGCACCGCCAGATTGTTAACCGCCTGCGGCAGCACTTGATAAGCCTGCTCCAGTACGCCCGAGTCCTGCTTCACTTTCGCTCTTCGGGCCTTTGATCTGGTGCCGTCGCGGGCCTCCTTTGTCGCCGACGACAGGCTGTCCAGCGAGTTGGGATTTGGAATCGGAGTGACCACGTAAACTCTTTCCTTCTCCTTCTCGCGGCTACCGATGCTACTAGCACTGGCCGACTTCTCCAGCTGCTCCGGCTTCTTCGTACTCTTTGGATAAATGGCGTTCACTACCTTCACCTTGCTCGTCGGCTCAGTCCTCGTCGTCGTCGTCGTTGTCGTCGTCGTCGTCGTCGTCGTCGTCGTCTTCATCGTCGTACTCGCCGTCACCTGTAATGTCGAATGTTTGCCTCTTTCAACTCAATCACAAACTGGAATTCAGTCGCCACGCGTATTTTCATAAATAAAGAGTAGGCATGGTAGTAAGTGTTAATTAGAAAAGTATACAAATAAACAAAATAAAAAGAAATCAGTGATCGTTGAGGGAGCGAAAACGTGAAAATGTGAAGCCTGATATTGGTCGAGTGTTGGGCTAAAACGATCGAAAGTGAACCTGAATTTGGTTGGTCCCTCGGTGCAGCAGCGTTTCGTGACTAAAATCATAATACTCGTTACTGTCTTCCTCAGTAGTGGCTAGCAAGTATTCATCGGGTATTTGTTTTGAAGAAATCCAGCGAGGATAAGTAGTATTTATCGAGTTTCTAATTGCTGATTCTTTTTTAGAAAATTCCTAGAATGGTTTTGTTATAATTGTTATCGTTAATGAAGAGATAATGATTTGTCAAAGTGATGTCATGACAAGAGAGCAAGAGAGATAGAGAGGGGGGGGGGGTCGATTAGTCACAATTGTTCGTTAGCATGATTGATTAAGCAAATTGAAGTACTGGAGCGTCAATGAAGCTGCGAGTGACAGAGCAAGCGACGTACCTGTATCGTCCAGTTGTCGATGTTCTTCTGGAGTCTGTGCACGTCAATGCTGTTGTTCGTGTGATTGTTGCGCGAGGCAGTCTCAGGTGAGCGCGTCACTGGCGCAGCACGCCTCGGCTCTTGAATCAGGACGCTGTTCTCGACGCTATTGTCATCCCCGACGTCTAGCTGTACTTTCGTCGCGCGGTGCGTCGTCTGTTCTGGCTGACGGTCGTTTCCTTGACCCACTGACTTGGTCGGGTGAAAGGGACTCGGCGTGTATTGAGAAGTGTAAGGGATGATTATCTGAATGATCTTGAGAGGCATGCAAGTTAGTCGGGAGAAAAATACTACGATGTATATGTGGCGCAAGTGGCGACTTTAGAAGCTGGTACCTTTTTCGCGGTGTCGCTGGAATTGCTTGGAGCCAAGGCCTCTCGACTGGCGCTAAAATCGTCGCCCTCGCCGAATGCCCTGCTGCCGGTCTTCGGCGCCTCGTTGGGCTCCGTGCGACTGCTGTTGCTCTTATAAAACTCGTACGCCTGGACTAGAGTTTCCACGCGAGACTCTTGGTGCTTTTGGTCGACTGCGACCTCGACGTTCCTATCCGTGCTCGTGGCAGGGGACGTGGTCGTGGTCGTGGTCGGTCTGGTTTCTTGCTTGGCGCTCGCTTCGCGTGGACCCGACACGATGTAATCGATCAGAGTCGCCGACAGCGGGACGGTCGACGATTCAGCACCGGCTCCCGTGTTCGTCTTCGCCGGGAAACGGCCGCCGCCACTCGTCGGCGTCGACTCGCCCGCCACGCTCAGCTCCACCAGGGGCGAGCGCTGAAAGTGCACGCCCGAGCCGCTTGTCGGCGAGTACTCTTTCGAGTCGGCCGCCGCCTCGCTGGCGATGAACACCGGCCGGGACTCAGCCTGGTCCGCGTCTTGCTGATTGCTTATTTCGACGTTCAGATCGAAAGGAGCGTCCTTCGTCACGCCCGTGTGCTGCTGCGAAGTCGCCTCGACATTTGTCGCGACCCCCTGGTGATAGTCCAAGCTTGGCGCTGGATGCTCTTCCTCGGCAATGGATGCCGGTTCAATGTCGATTATCGGTGATTGTTGCACTTGGATGCTGTAATGCTGGTTGCCCTTTGCCGGGTCCTGTTGATTATATCGAACTTCCGACTGAAAATCAGCCAGCAAAGGCTGACGCTCGAAATGTTCAAGTGCCGGCGGCGGCGGCGGCGGCGGCTGCTGCTGCTGCTGTTGCTGCTGCTGCTGCTGCTGCTGCTGCTGCTGCTGCTGCTGCTGCTGATGGTGATAAGGGTGACGAAGATGCTGGTCGAAGTTTACGGGAGAAACTTGATGAAACATTGGCGGAGGTAGCTCGTCGGGACTAGACGCCGAATAATAGCCTTGAGTCTGCGGTCGGGCCTGGTACAGCTGAGGCGTCGTCCCGGAGGGCAGATGCAGATCCGGGTTCCGATGACCGTTGCCTCTCTGATCCGTCGGCGCCGGGTAGGAGTAGCCGGGCCCGTCGACTGGTCGCGTCGCTGCCGAGGCAGCGGCAACGTCGTTGGAGCCGAATCCGGCGGCGTATTGAGCGTGATGAGAGGCGAGGTCGCTGCGAACGACCGGCGTCCAGGGAAACACGTCGCACGGATTGCAAATCTTGCCGCTCGTCCAGGCGGACGACGCTCTGGGAAACTGGCCCGGCGTCGGGGCCGCCGGTGGACGCGGCAGCGGCGCGTTGCCCTGAGCTGGGCCGCCGGTGTACCTGACGGCGAGCGATTGCGTGAAACCAAAGCAGCCACTGGAGCGACAGCGCGTTTATCGCAGCCCTCGGGCCTCGCCGCCGCTCGCGCTCCCCGCGACACCGAAGGACACGCGCGCAGCGGTTACTTACGGCATGCGCGGTGCGTACCGCGGGAGGGCGGACGAGTCCTGGGCGTGAGCGTCCTTGGCCGCGGCATCGAGTCCGCCGCCGAGCGTGTTCAGCCAGCCGGCCAGGTTGCCCAAGTATCCCGGATCGGCGCCCAGCGGCCTGGCGTGGCGGCCGTTCCGGGCGTGCTTCGGCGGTGGCGACAGCGCCGGCGGGTTCGGCTGCTGGCCGCGGCCGCTGCCGTTCGGTTTTCGCAGGCGGTGGCTCGGCGCGATCGACTGGGCGTGGCTGCCGACGGGGGGCAACGGGGGCGGCTCGAGGAATTCGCTGACGGCGCGCGCCGAGCGCCGCAGGACGGGCGACCTGGCCCGCTGGCGCCTCGGCGCGATTCGCGACGAGCTCCCGGCAGCCCGAGACCAGGCGGCGCTCGCGCAGGCCAGCAGGAGCAACAGCGACATCTGCAAAGGTCAAGGTCAGGCGCGGCTGGTCCGGTCGGCCGACAGCGCGATCGAAGCCCGGCCCACGCTGTCGGCCGAGAGCCGCGCCGAGAGAGCGACGAGCCCGCGGACGGAAAGTGTGACGCGCTCCGCGAGAACGAGACGCACCATCTGCCGAGTGCGCGCGCCTATGTAGGTAAGTGGGCTGCCGCGAAGAGCGCGGCGCCCGCGCCGGGGCCTGGAGCGTCGCGAGCCGTTGCGAAATCGGCGCGACGGAGCGACGCGCGGCTAAAAGCGAAAGCCGGCGCATCCCGGAGGTGCGTCGTGCTCGCGGACAGCGGGCCACGGGCGAAAGCGCGCGGCGAGGCAATTGCAGCGACGTCGCGCGCGGTGATGGACGGAGCATCGCCACTTTCTCCTTCGATCGAGCCGCTCGAGATCACCGATGCGCCAGCTTATACAACGATCGATGGGCTCGATGCCCGGCGCGCGTAGCCTCGTTGCAAGCGTCCGAGATCCCACGGCGCGTCCTTGCGACGAGTGCGAGCCAACGCAGTGCAGGAAGATACACCGTTAGCCGACCCAGCAGCAGGCACCTCTCTCGCTCTCCGCTGGTGCCCTTTTCCCTCTCCATGGCGTACGTACGTATTAGGCGGCTGTGAGAATGCCGGCAGTGAAATAGGCGCGAGAAAGCGATCCGTCGCGTGTTCGCTTATTTGGATTCGCGTTTTCCTCTCGGCCTCCCGCTTTTCCGAGCTTCGCGTGCGTTCCGCCCGCGAGTCGGACGCGACGCTTCCGTTCGTCAACGCGCACGCGGCTCGGCTCGAAGCTCCGGTCCCATCGACGTCCACTCGACGAAAGCGCCGCCAAGATTGCTGGTCCGATCCGCGGCCGCCGAGAGGAGCGAAATTAGCCTATTTCTCGTGCGCATCGCTATCTGCCCGAAGAATCTGCGCGGAGTGAAACCTGCATGATCCGGTTGCCGCGTGCAATCGGTAAAAGCTCCCTATCAATTGACAGCGAACGCGTTCTACATTCGACGCCTTCGCCGACGCTTCCGCGCGGCCGATCCTCTGCGCAGGCTGGCGCCCGACCAATTTCTGATATCGCACGTTATAGAAAGTACCGTGTTAATATTCAAGAATTTCGTGCGCGAGCTGCACGTGTATGATATGGTCGCCAGAGTCCATCGGTTCGTCAGAAATTTATCTAGTGGTATCTGGCGTGCGATCGCCTTTCCACCGATTACACCGTAACTGCGTGTGTTATCGTATGTGTTTTGATAGTTATGAAAAGTCGCAAATGCATTCATACTTGTTTACTTTCTCTTGGATACACGAAAGATAAACCTCTGATGCATACATTCTCGTGCTCGTTCCTTTGATCGTTTGTCAAACAATTCGATCTTTTGATAAGCTGCTTGATTCGATACTCTGCTCGAGACACGATTCTCCGATAGGCAAGCTATCGTCGCATTGCGCGATTATCTCCAAATACTCATAAGCTTATTAAGATGACGGATGATAAATGTCAGTAATTTTAGTTTCTCCTAAAATACGATAAAAAGTAAGACCGAAAGAATTGTTACGTGGTCAATTTCATTGGGGAAGCGTTTGGTTGCTCATAGTAATGAAGCACGTACAGTCTTATGTTCTTTCCGTCGGTTCAACGTTGTTTATTCTATTTGCTCACGTCTGTTTCAGAAATGTGCGCGAAGAAAGAAACGACCTGACTCGGTGCTGCACGTCGCTATCGGCTTCCGAGTTCATTCGGATCGAAATCTAAAATATTCAAGTGCTGAAAAATGAGTTTATCTTCGAGAGTCGAAGACTCTACGAGGGCTGTGATAAAGCAGCACGTTCTCGTTCGTCGAATAGTACATTTCAGAAATGCGGATTTGTAAAAGAAGAATAACGTTAAAAGCATTCGGTCCATTCTTTCAAGACTTCGCAAAGAAGCTTTAAACCATCAGTTATGAATTATGTATTTTCCCGAAAAAATCGCTATATTGTAAAAAGCTGTTTCGAGAGCAACGGTGTTACTGTTATAAGGTATGAATTGCACGCGACATCGTAAGAGTTGTAAGCCTGCTTACGAGGCGAGTGAGCAAAGAGTCGAGAAAGTGCACTTACGAGTCGAAGGTCCATCGTCCGTTGTCCGTGAAGCGTTGGGCTGTGCGTATCACTGACGAGTCCCGCGTTCTGTCATGCCAGCGTATTTTAATCACTCGGCACTGCTGTCACCGAGGCTTCGAGCAAGCTGACTAGACAGCGCGCCGACCTGTCGACGCCAGAGCAAAGCGTCAAGACCGAAGCGCGAGGCCGGTGCCAAAACAATTTTGAGTCGGGTAATTTCGAAGGAACGGTTAAAGTCGGGGAGGTCGACGGCAGCGGGATAAAGGTTAATTGGCCCGAGGCCGGGGCAAGAGCTGGCTAGAGGTGCGTGCCGCGGAAGCGGAAGGCGCGAGTAGACTAAGTTGAGGGATGGAGGCGACGCTCGACGGGTCACACCGGAGAGAGTCCTCCTCCTCCTCCTCCTCCTCCTCCTCCTCCTCCTCTCTTTCTCTCGGCGGCGCCGACTACAAGCAACGGCGCCGCCGCCGTCGCCGCTACACTTTTCTCCGGCCAGCCACCTCCACTTTCTTCCCTCCTCTCTCTCTCTCTCTCTCTCTCTCTCTCTCTCATTGTCGCTAGATTCTCGAGGACTCGGTCATTCTCTCTCTCTTCGCACGCGCACTCTCGCTTCTTCTGCCAGATCGAGCGCACCGATTGTCGCGCCTTGCACTTGCGTCGCTATCCAGGCCATTTCACTTGCAGGGATGATATTTCACGTTTGCCGCTCGTCCATCCGAGACTTTCCGGTGCTTGGTTCGACATCGTCTCACCGAAGCGCGACCGCGATCGCGCGACAACGAACTCATCGACTGCGTGCTGCGCGTTTGCTCGTGAGCGATCGATCGCTCTTCCCGATAAGAGGCAAAGACGTTAGCTCCCGCGAGAAAGTGCGCGGACGATGAGGCAAGCGCGCAGGGGGCTTCCGGATTCGTGCTTTTCGCAAGACCGATTCGATATCGCCGTCGTATACGTGCCGGGCCTGAGCTGACTGACAAATTCGAGAAACCTCCGCGAGTCCGTGCAATCTGAATTTACGTGCCGCGTGAAACTGGCGATGCGCCACTACGGCTCACGGAGACGCGAGCGCGCGAGTCGAATACCACTCGAGACGGCGCGCCCCTCGGCACTCGCCTCTCTCTCTCTCTCTCTCTCTCATCGCTGCGCGTGAAATTGCCGACGAGCACGCGTCGCTCGAAAGCCAGACCGGCTCGCGGACAATGCAGGTGCCGTTTTCTCTCGCGGACTACAGAGGAGCGCCGCGACGAGAGGAGCCGGCCCGAAAGCGATCCGCTCGCGGTCGCCCCGCGATCGACGCCGCGGCCGCGGAATCGATCCAATTACGCGCATTTCGAAACGAAGACGAGCCGCGAGCGCGCGCGCGCGCCGCTAGAAAGCGATGATCTTGCGAATTCGCTGGCGCGCGCGCGCGAGCGGATTTCCAATAAGAGCGCCATTTCGCAGCTGCCGCGCCGAGAGTTTTCTCTGCACGCGCGCCGCGCGCACAACGTTTTATGTTTATTGGCTACGCGGACGGCATAAATTAGCCCGGGCGCGCTGCTCGCTGGCCTCCTAATGGAGTATTAATAATTTAAGTGCTCACCGGAGAAAGACCGAGTGAGACGCGCTGCGCCGCTCTTGGAGCTTCTCCCTCGTTTCGACGACTGTATGATTCTTTCTTCCCGTAGCCTTTTACAGCAGCCGAGACGCTTTCGTTATTGGTGCCGTGTTCGAGTGCAACCTAACGATCCTATTATTAACGCGGAATCATCGGCCTTGCTGTGAGTCAGGTCAAGTGGCGGGTTTCGAGGTTGAATACGAAACGAATCTAAGATGATAAACTGTAGCGTCGGAGAAGAAGATTGCAACAAGCGACCGTATCGATGTATTCGTTATTCTACTGTGCTCTTTGAAATTCATCGCATCGCGCATTGGCGCGGCGATAAGCGAATCGCCCAGTCGAATAGAGAGGTGCGAGTCGGCGCGCACTTACCGCCTACAGGATTACGTGCACGCAGCACGTTTTCTCTTCGGCGCCGCGATGCAGCGATGGGCACATGTGAAAATTGGCTGAATTCGCCTTTTCAGGGTGAGAACAGCTGAAAATTCGAGAAATTCGATCTTTGTGTTGGAGCGAACGAGGAGTTGCTGATTTCTCGCGCTGCCTCGCGCTGCCGACTCGCGCCAGAAGCTCAACGGCCCTGAGAATCGACGGGTCGCGGCGGCGGCGGCGGCGGCGGGCGCACGTGGAAGCAAGGAAAGCAACGAGGCGGGCACAGGGTATCGATCGAGGGGCAGCGACGCGACGGGCGTTGAGCAACGTCGAGACGTGTCCGGCGGCAGCTGAAAGTGAAGGTGCACTCACGCGCGGGCTAGAAGAGAAACCGGTACGGCGCCTACACCGCGGGTTGCGCTCCTCCGATTACTCGCGCGTGACCTTGGCCAACGCAACGCAACCCGGCGCGGTGAAGGGGGGGGGGGGGCACTTGGGCGAGCGCACGTCGGAGTTTTTCGGCCGAGCAGTCCGAGGTGTCCTCCGGAGGCCAAAGCACCGCTGTCCGCCAGACGATTTGCCGTAGCCCTCGAGTCTTGCGCCATGTGGCTGCTGCCGCTGCTGATGCTGCTGCTGCTGCTGCTGCTGCCGCTGCTGCTGCTCGACCTCGCGATGAAGCGTCGCGCTGCTCGCAAGAACTATCCCCCAGGTAGGCAAACGAAAAGTCTCGCCGCGCGCGTCACGAGTAAGCTGACTGGAGCTCTCGATGCGTAAGGGCCGATGGCGCTGCCGATCGTCGGCAATCTGCACCAAGTCGTGCGGCTGGTCAAGCAGACGCGTTTCCATTGGGGCGCTTGGAGCCGCCTGTCGCAGATTTACGGCCCGGTGTTGAAAATTCGGCTGGGCATGGCCAAGCCGCTGATCGTCGTCTCCGGTCGAGAGGCCGTGCTGGACGTGCTCCTGAGGCGGGACTTCGACGGCAGACCCGACACCTACGAGACTCGCCACAGGTGCCTCGGACGAAAGCGAGGAATCGTCTTGAACGACGGCCAGGACTGGTGCGAACAGAGAAGGTGCGCGCAACGGTCCACTCGCGTTGAGGTTGCTCCGATTCGGCGATACGCGGACTAAAGACCAGCCGCTACTTTCAGATTCCTATTGAAAATCTTGAAAGACTTTGGGTTCGGCAAGCAGAGCATGGAAGAGCTGACGCTGGAGGACGCCGCCGCGCTGTGCGACATAATCCACGAGAAAATGCTCGACAGGCCGATCGATATTCATGAATTCTGCCAAGTGACCGCGGTTGCCGTCATAAGCAGTCTGTGGAGTTTGATCGCGGGTAAAAGGTAGGCCAGTTGACTTTGCGAAATTGCGCGCTCGGCTGTGCGTAATGCATCGAGCTCGTTAGCCCAGCCTCGAGCGCTCGACCGTGCGCGAGTTATTGCGTCAAGCATTTCTTGTTTTTCCCCCCAATCGACGCCGGCGTTATTGCGCGCGCAGGTGCGATCCGAGCGAAGAAAATTCGGAAGTGAAGGATATCCTGAGCATTCTGAACGAGTCGTTTAGAAATGGAAGCGCCACCGGTGCGCTGTGGCAACACTTGCCTATTCTGCGTCGCCTCGTGCCCAAGTACTCCGGATTCGCCGAGCAAGACAGAAGGGTCAGCGCGATGTCGAAATATTTCTTGGTAAATAATTGGATCGACGCTCGTCCGTTCGCCGATTAGACGATCAAATTCGCTCCAGTGACGAATCGTTATCAGAGTCGCGTTGCAGGACGAAGTGGCCCGGCACAAATTGACCCGAGTGCAGGGAGAGCCGCGGGATCTGATCGACCACTACCTCGACGAAATAGGGTCTCGCTGCGGCAGCGGCGAATCCTCCTCCTACGACGGTAAGTCGAGTCGAGCCCCGACGAAGGCGCGCACGAGTCTCGAACTGATCAGTCGCATTGGCGTTCGCCGTTCGAACAGCAGAGCTGCAATTGTCGGTACTGCTGAAAGACATGTTCTCGGCGGGAATCGAGACGACATCCAACGCAATAGGCTTCGCAATAGCTTACCTGGCCAAATACCCAGAGGCTCAGAGGAGAGTCCGAGCGGAGCTGGACCAAGTGATCGGGAGCGCGGGCGTGCCCAAGCTTGCTTACAAAAATTCGTAAGGGCCGTCGGCCGCTCCGTGGCTGCACGCGCGCCGCCGTCCGCCAACAGGCGCCACGCGCGAGATGGGAAAGCGGGACAAGTGGATTACATTACAAGGCCCTGTTTTTGCTGTTCCCAGACTGCCATATCTGAGCGCAACAATTGCCGAAGTTTCGAGGTTAGCGAACATCGCGCCAACAACAATAGCGCACCGGGCCGTCGTCGATTGCTCGTTAATGGGCTACGACGTCGAGAAAGATTGGTCGCTAATTGCCAATCTGCGCAGCGTTCACATGGATCCGGATCACTGGGTTGACTCCGAAGCCTTTCGCCCCGACAGATTCATCGACGGCGCCGGCCACTTCGTCGAAGACCCCTGGCTCATACCTTTCGGGGCAGGTAATCAAACCAAATCAGACCGACGCCTGCAAGCCTAAGCGCCCGTCCATCGATCACAAGGATGGAGCCGGACTACCATGAAGCCTGCCTATATATAGACGTAACGACAAGCTGCGGGCCACTCGAACGTTTTCTGGCCTGTCGCTGTTATTATATCGTTTCAATGCTGCTTCTCAACTGCAGCGACCTATCATGCGAGTGAAAGCTCCCGAGTCGGCGGCCACTCCGCTGATATTTGTCGCCGCAAATTTTTTTTCCTCGATCGACTCTCCCTACCGATCGCCAAAAATCCTGTCGGTCGCCGTTCTCTCCCCCCGTTGTCCGCTTTAAAATCAGCTATGGGCTTTTCAGGGCGCAGGAAGTGCTTGGGCGAAAACTTGGCGAGGATGAGCCTGTTCGTGTTCGTGGCGAGCCTGCTGCAAAAGTTCCGATTTGGGCTGGCGCCAAACGAGACGGCGCCTTGTATGCTCGGAGTCAACGGTTTCACCGTCGCGCCGCCGCACGTCAACGTCCTCATAGCGTCGCGCTCTTGCGGCTCGCGCGACAACGCATGAATTACACATCTTGCCCGGAATATACAATGGACTCCGAGCTTCTCTCCGCGTGCTACATCTCGCTAATTGATTGACTGCGATTCTGGGCTTTCACCTCGAACCTTCTCAGCAATTATTATCATCGACACGGCTTCTATTCCGAAAGCTTCGTATTACGGTTGCATCTATTCGCTCTATTCGCTGGCACACGGCGCCTAATGACCCGAGTGCCAGAGCAAATCAACGGCAGGGATATTATTAGAGTCGGAATGAGCACTTTATGCAAACAATGCAGCCAAGTCTATTCGCTAATAAAACTACTTTCACAATTCTACATTCGCGATCATTCATTGTCGTTGCACGTGCGACTGGGTAACGAAGTTCGGCTGAGAGAGTTGCGGATAAATCCCTACAGATGGCCATCGTGGCGCTAAAATTTGATCGCTCCTGAGCAGTGAATCTCTTAGCGCGGAGCGACCATTATCCTGCGTGGTAAAGCAGTCCCGTGCTCCGCGTACTCTGGCCGCAGCGTGGACGTGCTGTCGGGATAAATGATCATCCCAATCGACAGTTCAACGACGTTGAATAAACGTAAGCCGGGCTCGGCCGCTACTTTCTCTTCAAATTCTAAAAATGCATCTTTGGACTTGCTATTTTACTTTCATTTACAAACGTCTTATCTGGAATTGGTAAGACAGATTTTGCTGCGACGTGACTTTCTAAACAGATTTTTTATTTAAAACGCGATCGAATCGCGGAATCTTTGTGTCGATGCCGCCAGATGCGCGTAGAATCTTCTGGGCTCTTATACATACTCAACGGATGCTTTTAAAACTAAATTTAATTTTTTTCGACGAACAGTACCGAAATGCTGATACTGAAAAGCTGCGACGATATGCTTGTTTGTCACAATCGTTTGCCGCTTTTAAGGACGCGCACGAATGATTATGTTATCGAAAACAACTAGATAAGCGTTGCATTGACAGCGCGAATTAAGCAACTTCAACTCTAGCAACATAACGAGCAATCAGTAGATGCTGGAACTCATCGCGGCGCAACTATGGAGACAAAGAAAAACTATAAGCGCAGGCACGCGGCACATCGCGATAAGAAAACTTCGGCTCATTCGCGCTTGCGCCCGGAAATTCTTCAGCGCACTCTGACGCGATCGTCTGGCCGAACTTGCTAATCAATGCTCGCCACGACGGCGCGAGTTAGCCTATGCGAGGAAATTTCTCAGCGGCGACGTTCGCGCGCGTCTTGCCATCGTCGCCGGCGCAATAGCCCCGTCGAAGTCGTAAATTACGCGCGCGGGCGCCCAGCACTCGAAATTGACTATTTTTCCGGTTGTCTTTTCGCTTTCTTGGCGACGCGCCAGCGAAAGCTCGCGCGTTCGAGCCCGCGGCGGTCTAAGTAGCGTTAATATCAATTTGCAGGCCCGACGGTGAATAGGAGTGAGAAGTAGGCCAAACGAAACAGAAAGAAAAAAAAAGTAAAAGAGAGCATGTACGCACACGCACGTCGACGTAAAGGAGCGCGCAAGCGCCCAGCCAAGCGCAAGTCTCCCATGCCCGGACAGCCATGGAGAATGGCTGCGAGTGGCGCAGAGTGAGCCATTCGAGATGAAAAGCGACGACGGACGGATGAGTCAGATGTGCGTGGCGCGCGAGGCCAGGCTAAATTTCTGGAATCCGAGTTGAGGATTCGTCGCGCCGTGGTGCGATCGGTATATATGCGGCCGCTGGCGCTCTGCCACGTCGCGCTTCAGCGATTTTAATAGAAAGTAATCGGGCGCGGCGTGTGCGTCGATGGTCCCGGCGCGAAAGCGCGCGTCTTGAGGCCGCTGCGAAGACGGCGAGCGTTCCGACCGTGGGCGCGCGCGCCGTCTTGAATATCGCGATCAGGCGCGCGCGCGTGCGCACTCGTCGCGCGGGCCGTGCGCGCCAACTGACTGCACAACGCCAATTAAGTATTATTAATTCTCGCGCGATAAAAGCGTTCGCGGCGGGGTCGAGTGGACATTAGCGAGCGAGCGTGGACCGGATAAGCGGCGGCAGAGGCGCGAGAAGATATCGGCGAGCGCAAGGTCGGCAGGACGCGTAAGGTCACGAGATGAGTCGGGCTAAGCTGCCGCGTCCACGGATATTTCGGGGAGTAACGAATCCAAGCAGAAGAAGGAGTATAGCGGAGGCGCTGGGCGGCGCGGAAGTCGGCACTCAATGTTAAATAGAGGAGGCAAGAAAGAGATGGAAGAGGCGCGGTGACGGCGGCGGCGGCGGCGGCGGCGGCGGCGGCGGCGGCGGCGCGTCGATCGCGAGTAAACGCGTAACCGGGCCGTCCTAGAGTCAACTGCAGCGTGCGAGACTATTATAATTGTTCGCGTTCTCTTGGAAAGCTGCGCACAGGTCGATCTGGCACAGTGTCGATTGCGGCCGCGCGAGTGAAATATATACAAAGCTCCGCGACGTGTGCCGAATGCATACGAGCTTGTATGTCAAGCAACATTGCACGATCGTGGTTGCCGTGGCGCGTCGCTGTTAAGCTCGTTACACCGTGCTCCGTGAGCAGCGCGTGGGATCTCTCCCTCCCTCTCGCTCTCTCTCTCTCGCTCTCTCTCTCTCTCTGATTTCTGTACCCGTGCTCGTACTATACACCGAGAACGTCGTCCGCCGCCCGCGTGGCATCGCGGCAAATCGTTCCCTCTCTCTCTCTCTCACTCGCTCTCTATCTCTCTCTTTCTCCAATACGCGCGCTATCGCTATCGTAGTTGTAGTTTAGCTATACCACGTGTACGAGTATGACAATTGTGCATGTGGCTGCTGCCGTCAAGACTTGGACATTCTGATTCATCAGATTGTGACCGGCCGGTACGTATCCAGCACCTTCATCTTCATTCCGCCCATAATTCCCCGTTCGGGATAGCTCTCCGTCGATGCCGCTCGCCTCGGTCGCCCGTGCCCAGTGTAACGAGCATCAGCTGTTGCGACTCAGCTGATCGGACCGCCGTGAAAATGTCCCCGCGGACGAGCGCGCGCGGCGAGGCCAAGCGTCGCGATCGCCGATGGCAAAATGGACCGCGCACCGCTGGCTCCGACTGGTTGTAAATGGCCGACGCGAAGAAGCGAGCGTTGCTCCTCGAGGGCCCGCCGCCGTGCCAATCGTCGCGAAAGATCGTCGCGAGCGGCCGACACGCACGCGTGCAGCGGTGCGCGCCACTGGACGCGGACAAATTCATCCGCCGCGAGTGGACTCGGGCCGCGCGCGGCGAAAGGCAGGCAGGCAGGCGGGCGGGCGCGCGGCCCCAAAACCAAAATAGCCCAGCGTGGAATTATTAATAACCGCGGCGGCGCGGCGCGGGTGACGCTGGCCCACGCCTCGCGATCGTCCGTCGCGCTTCGCAGACAACCGGCCGCGCCAGAGCCAGCGGTAACGTCGAGGCGGACCGAAGACGCGCGCGGAAGGACGGGCGCAGCGCAGTCCGGCGAACGAGTCCGGTCGCAGGCTGCGCGCCCGTGACCGGAAGTTCGCGTCGCTTATCCGTGCACGTGCGCGCGTGCGTCGGGCGGCAGCGCGCACCTCGAGTCACGGGCGCGCAGGCGCCGTGCTCGCGGTCGCGCGCGAGCTTGCCGCTCGGTTTTCGGCAATCGGTACGTGTGCGCACGCCCGCGGCTCGCCATAGCTCCTCCCGCGACGTCGGCCTTCGTCGATTCCTCGCCGCGCGTTTGCGTTTCCGCCGTCGGCGCTTCGAATCGCGTTCGCCTTCACCCGCGCACGCAAAATCCTCCAGCCGCTTCTCGGTCGGCTTCCTCTCGTGGATTCGTTAATTGCACTTTTGTCGAGCATTATCGAATCCTTCGATCTCTTCGACTTATCGCACAGCGCACGGCAGCCCAAGAGGCTGTGTCGTTCATTGTGGAAGCGATTAAACTTTCACGTATTTGCTAGAAAACTCTCTGGCACGTATTATCTCGGGAAGAAAATAGATAAAAGTTGACAATTTGCAAAGATGCCTTGTTTCCCATGCTATATATTCATTTCGTACTTTCAGTCTATTTGTATGTAGCTGGCCGAGGACCCAAGTAATCCATTTATCGTGAATTTTCGAAGGTGATTATACTCAATTTTATTGGCAACCTCAATTTTGCAAAAGCAAAGGATGATGTTGTCTTTAATTTTCCCACTGGAAACTATTTCTTCTAACTTTGTTCGATAAGAAAGTACCGCAGAATCCATCCACATCTGACTTTATCTAGGAATGTCAATATTCAATGAAGCATTTTTGAAAACGATAAGTATTTGATTGTTTACACGCGCATCTATAGTACATCCTGAAAACAATTGACATCGATAAATCTCGAAAAACATTTAAACTTGCGTCCATTCGCAAGGCTCGAGAACGCGATGCGGTTGCTTGCGTTGCTGCAACGCGCCGACGACACTACCGCGATCGGAGTGATTGCTCGCGTTAACTTGTTGTGTGCTCGGGCGCGATTCAAATGAGACGAGGGGGCTGCGGCGGGTACATACCGGAAATTAATGCGTGCATCGCTGATGGCAGTCTTACAACAGACGCTAACCATGACGGATCAGCTGATGTCCATGCAATCGAAATGACGCCGCTGAAGTAGCGTGCCAAATGCCGCACCGCAGCGACGCTGCCATTGTCGCTCTCGTTGGCAATTGTCTTTTCTGTTTTTTGCTTCTCCAGCGATTGTCGGATGCACGAACAAACGAGCCGCGCGTCGTCGCACGCGCTTATCGAATTCCCGCGCGTACGCGACAGGCTTCCCTCGCGTCGATCGACGGCGACGCAAGCTCGCGATTCCGAGCAGTTGTCCTTCGCTCGCGGCCCGCGATAGCGAGTGTTCAACTGTAAAGCTACGATCGAAGGCAAATCGGCCGCCGCGCTCATCGAGCCGGCAAATACGAGCGATAAGATAACAGCGCCGTTTCCTTCGCGAGAGATCGCAAGCCTTCGTTAGACCATCGGTTGACGGTCCGCGTCGCAGAGGCCAATTGCGTTCGCTCGACAATCGGAATGAATCGAGCTTGCATCAGTGGCGAGCGCGGCGATAATGGCTTCGAGCGTGCCGCAGCACTTTACGTAAACGCCAACGGCGCGACTTGAACGACCCGAAGAAAACAGGATCCGAGTAGGCTCGCGCTTTTGGCCTTTATCAAAGCGGAGACGAGCCTCGGTGCTTCTTTTTACTTTCGCCGCGGCAGCAGACGTATCGCTCTCGCTCTCGGGTGCGCGCGACGCGATAACGCCAGTGCGATAAACGCATCTGCCTCTCGCGGCGCATCCGTGACTCGGTCGTCCGTCCGCGCGGCCGCGGGTCTCGCGATTCGACGCCACCTGGACGAGAGATCGTCGTTGAGCCGGGACTCGATCGCCAATACGCGTCGTGGCATCGTGGCATTACCAACGCGCGCCTTTTCGCCGAGTGCGTCGCCGCCGGCCGGAGTCGCATCGCGGATGGCGACGTTCTCAGGTACGTGATCAGGCGAACTCGACCGCCGCTCGGTTCGCCGACGATTGCCGGCGATCGCGCAAAACGTTTCGAAAGCCAAACGCGCCGGTCGTCGATCTGTGCGTCACGATCGCGACGATGGCTAATGACGAGCGAGCGATATGATCTATCGCGGCAACGGTGCGCGTAGCCTTGTGCGATCGGCGATCTCGTGCTCGCGCAGCCTGCGACGTACGCGGAATCGACGGCTGTAATTATTGACCGACGGCATCATTGCCATTTCCACGATAAACTACAATAAATTAGCATAACAGCGACAGCATAACCGACAAGTATTAATTAGAGCTGATAAACCATAAATTCATTTTGTTTTTCCGTCTTTCCTTTTATTATTTGCACTGCTCGTTATTCTCCGTTGCGTGGATGCTCGGCTAATTGCTCGCGACGGCTCGCATGCGTCGTTCCGAGGCGCCCCGCGTCGGGTCGATCGCTTCTCCGCCGGCAAATCGTTCGCTCGGTCAGCGATTGCTCCCCGGCGGCGCGACGAGCCGACGTCCGACGAGCGGCCGCGCGCGTGCTCGCGGGGCAGGGCCGCGGCTCACGCGGGCGTACGACTTTGCTTGCGACAGGTGAGCGCTCGCCATGCCAGTATGGAGCCAGCGTGCTCGCGGAGCGACACGGAGGAGGCGCTGAGCGAGAGCGGAGAGGCGCAGCAGCCGCGCGACCCAGCGCCGGCCGTGGCGGCCGAGTCGCCGACAGCCGGCGGCGAGCCGCGCAACGGCCCCGTCGCTGCCCCGACCCTGGCGCAGCCACCGCCGCCCAAGGCTGCGCCGCCCAGGCGAAAGATGAGCGTCATGCTGGAGGAGGACAGCTCCGACGACCTCGACAATGACTGCCCGAACAGGTGTGCACCGACGATTTCTTACCCCCGGCCTCGTCGCTCCAACTCCAAGCCTCGCCAACGACGCGCCGTCGCGGACGGCTCGAGTTGTGCTGGCGACGCGACTTTATTCGCTGACGCCCGGAACGCCAGCCTCGGAATCGGTCGGGCAGCGCGAGCGCAAAACTCCGGCGACGGAGAGACCGAGGCTCGTGCGAAACGGCGAGTCGAGACGTCGAAGGATGCGCGAGGCCAGCCGGGCAATTCGCGTTATCCACTGCTGAGAAGCAGCATGTTTGCTTATTAGTGCGCGTAGCATTGGAAGCAGCCACCCGGACAACGACTCGGACTCGACGTACGAGGAGCGCGGTCGGCTGCTCAGCGCCGAGTCGATCTCCGCGTGTCCGACGATGCGCAAGTCCCTGCAGCACATCCCGAGCGGCCGGACAGCCAGCCACGGCAGCCAGAGCAGCCGAGCCTCCAGCCGGCTCAACAGTCCGGTGGCCAAGCGCTCGGCTGGCAGCGCGTCGCTCGACAGCTTCCACGAGAGATCGTCGCGCTCGCGCACCGACACTCCGCCCCCACCTCGACGGCCGCGCCACCAGCATCGCGAGTCGCAGAGGCGACCGGCGCCGCCGCTGCAGCCGCCGCCGCCGCCGCCGCCGCCGCCGCCGCCGCAACACCACCACCTTCAGCAGCAGCACTCGCAGCGCCGACAATTGCACAGGCCCTTAGAGAGCGGCAGCGCCAGTAGGCGGGGGGACTCGGCGAGCCGACACTGCAGTCGGAACCCCAGCATGCGCTCGCTCAAGTCCAGCTCTGCAAGCGACGAGCAGCACTGCGCCTCCTGCTACCCGGTAAATTCGCTCGCGCGCGGCTCACTTACTGACACGGCAACTGACATGTCAACTCGCTGTCTGTCGCTGTCAAAGCTTCCTCGATAAACAGAGTGACTGCAGGTGCTGGTGCTTGTGAGTGCGCGTGAGTCCGAGCTTCTCTCTCTTTCTCTTTCTCTCTCTCTCTCTCTGTCTTTCTTTCTACCTCTGCTTGCTATGTCACGCTGTATTATACTCTGCTAATTACCATATTATATGTTCAAATGCCTTTGGAAATCAAAGTAGTGCGTGTACTTTGGAATGACGTAACAAACGCGAATCAAGCCGCGAATTTCAAGTTCAAAGTAAGTCTCGCGTTCGCGCGGAGTTGACTCAGCGATCGCTATCTCTCAGCTCGGCTATTCAAAAAAAAAAAAAAAAAAACTAGCCACAGCTTCGATGCAGTACTCGCACTTATATATCTCGTGTCATCGTAGACAAACTTGATAATACTAGATAAGGCGAGCGTGCAATGCCAGTGTAACGCGCGAAAAATTGTGTGCCGCAACAGCTTCAACATCAGCAGCAACAGCCGGCGCTGCAGCTCTACCCGTCCAAGACCTGCGCCAGCTGGGGCTCGATCCTGTTCCCGGACCAGTCCACCGTCATGGCGGCCAGGCCCACGGACGTCGTCTCCATTCGCTCGCTCGCCTCGATCGGCATGGGCTCGTCCGACGGCAGGAAGCTGACCATACGGCGCGTGCCCACCTCGCCGTCCGAGCTGCTCAACATGGTCCAGCCGGCCACGTGAGTACGCGACGTGCCCGTAACGAGCAGCGAGCGCTCGGGCGTCCAGCTTCGTGAGTACAGCTGCGTGTCAAGGAAGCGGACGCGCGCACGCCCGCACGCCAGCCGCATTTGCCGCGGAGGAAAACAATTTGCGCTCTGCTCTGCGCGCGTTTCGTAATCACGCACCGCGCCGCTGATGAATCGCGTGCACGCCAGCCCGCGCGTATTCTGGCTCCGCGCGTACGTCGGCCGATGCCCGATCCGGCGCGCGCCGACTTTTGTCCGGCTCGGAGCGCTGAAAAATTCTCCCTCCGCACGTCCAGTTTCCCGCTCGCCGACCCGATCGCTGACTCACGAGTGCGCGTGTCCATTTGTTTTCTTCCTCCTTTTCTCTCTCTCGCTGTCTTCTCGCGCCGTGGCCGAGCACCTATCACTCGACTAACGAACTCCTCGTTGCCCCTCGCAGCGCGTCGCTGCGCTAGTTTGCCCGCTCGCTGACGCGCGCTCCAGATCTTGCGTCAGATTCTATTCGGGCACCGACAGCGTGGGGTCAGCGTACTCTCGTTGCACCGCACCAACGACAACGCTGTCGCGCCGCTTTTCTGCCCTGCGCCTCGACAGGATCGCTCCGTTTCGTATCGGCACGTCGCGAGAATCAACCGTTTCTCACGGCGCCCGCTCGCTTCGAATGTCGCGGCGCGCGATTTTCACGACTCCCGATCCGCGACGGCACAGTGACGCGGGATAATCGTCTCCGCATTCTTTTCGTCTCCGGTAAAGACGAGCTACGATCAGTTTTGTCCCTCCGTAGCGCATTTCGAGCGTACGTCATTTGCTTATTTGCCAAGAAAATCATTCCGGTGTAAATCTTATTTGCCGTGTTAGCCGCGTTGCTAGTCATAGCTTCGCTGAAAATATTGACAAACGGCGTCAAGAGTTTATAATTTGAAAAGCGCGCGCCAACTGACAGGTCATTATTTGGATTCCATCTCTCTGTTACGACGCATTGCTGCGCCAGCTTGTAGTTGGGAGTATATCGAGTTTTCTTTTTCCTTTATCTCGCGCTAATTCAAATCGCACACTATTCCGATGCTCACTAGTTGGCGCAGAAATCTCCAGCGTCCGCGCATCGCGTAGCTGCGGATAATTATGCCCACTAGTCGATTGATTTTCAACCGAGGCAATCGAGCACTGTGGATTCATTTTTGATTGAGATGCTTGATGGAAGACGATTAATATTTATAGAAGCGTTAAATTGTAATGCCGTAGTAAAATTATTGAAGCGCTACTTTGAACATTCGTTTGAATAACGTACATAGCCTAGATAATTTTAGATGTCACCTTGAGCCTTTGTAGCTGTGAAAAATTAATGTGCATCTAACGAGACGAAAATGATCGCAAAGTAGAGTTGAGGAGCTTCATCGTGTGTCCGGGGATATTATTTTAGGAAGCTGTTCGTGCAAAGAGAAAAAACCTTGGCAACTGTCGTTGTAGTTTATGCTGCGCTTCCTTGTGTTACTTTATGTTTGCTCACAAATCAGTCAACAACAATCGAGTAGTCGGAATCCACAGCAGATGTGATAATTTATCGACGGTATATTTTGCCGAGTCAAACAATTGGAGCAGGCTAGCTACGATCGACAGCGCGAAACGGTGAGCGAGTACACGGTTGTGTGTGTGCACAGCAATTAGATGACGCAAGGTCAGTTTACTTAGAGGGTAGTAATCTAAATGTTTTCACGTTCGACACGAGAATACGAGAATCGCATGACGAACATCTCGCTAACATCGTGGCGGCTGCTGAGGCGCAATTTGCACTCCAATACTCAGTGGCTAATTCGCAAGGAAACCGGAGATATTGTGCGAGTTAAAGAGCTGGAAAGTGGGCCAACTCGCATCAGTCCGCGACAATAGACGGGCGCACAAGTGGCAGCGCGCGCCGCGGTAGGAGTTTGATCGTGAATTTCATTGCGGGCGATCATTCGAAAATGTTGCGGAGGCGAAGTAAGCCGATTAGGCTAGCTAATCAATTGAGCGCTGAATTGAGCGGGATACACGGCGACTTAAATCAATTCGTGGCAGGCAATCAAGGTTCGTCGCGGCGACCGCGAGCGAAGAAAGAAAGACACGGACGCGCGTTGAAATCGCGGCGCGGCGCCCGAACTCGCGAACGGCACGCCGAGGCCGGTCGATCGAGAGAGCGCGGCTGCAGCTTCGCGTCGTGACGGGAGCTTTCGCTTTGCAGGCCCGCGGAGGACGATCTGTCGACGTGCACCAGTTACGACGACGGCGACGCCGAGGACCCGAGCGAGTATCGTCAGCCGAGGCGGCCGCACTGGGAGAACAAAGTGCAGTTCGTTTCTCGCCTGCATCGGCTACTCGGTCGGCCTGGGCAACGTCTGGAGGTTCCCTTATCTGTGTTACAAAAGCGGCGGAGGTAAGACTATTTCGTTACGCTTCGACGCGTCGATCGCACGCAGCAATTTCTCAACCCTGTCCAGCCTGCTATTGTCGATCAATCGAAACGCTCGATCGTTTGTTCGCACTGGGCTGGTAGCGTCGAACGAGCAGGACGATCGAGAAGCAGCGGCGTCGCGAGTCGCGCCGCGCCACTCGATAGCGCGCTCGGCGCGGACAAATTGAGCGCGCAGACTCGTCGCCGAGCGCTCGTGGTGGCGGCAGATTTGATTACTCGCGTCTGCAGGCCAGGAGGAATAATTGATAAATTCGAATTTCCGGAGCGAGATTATACAACGATACAGTTCCCTCGGCTCGGCTGGTAATTCGATCAGACGAGAGAGAGAGAGAGAGAGAGAGAGAGAGAGAGAGAGAGAGAGAGAGAGAGAGAGAGAGAGAGAGAGAGAGAGAGAGAGAGAGAGAGACAGAGCCATTGCGTAACGCCGGCTTCTGCGTGTGCAAATGGGCTGCGAAGTGCAGGTACTCGTCGCGACGTAGGCTCGTTCGGTGGGCCGCCGCGGACCGCTAGAAAGACGAGCGGCGGCGAGCGCGGCGCGTGGCAGGCGAAGAAGCGCGAGGCCGCGCGCGCGCGCCGATTGGCGCGGGATTACGTCAGAGCCGAGCAACGCTGATTCTCGGGTTGCTCGCGGAAACCGGCCGCGATTTTTCATCCGGGCGTTTATCCGGGAAGGCCGCTCGCTCGCCGAGCCAGGGTCGCGCGCATCGAGTTCCAAGTGCAGCGGCGCGAGCGACGCGCGGTCGGGTGGGGGCCTAACTGGACGCGCCGACGCGCGCGCCGAGTGCCCTTGCTCTCGCGCGCGCGGCCGGATGCCCGCGCGCGAGGCGTACGCTGTCGTTTGGAGACATTGGAGCGGGATCGAGCGGCGATCGCGTCGATTAGCAGGGGGGCAGTGCCGACGAGAGACGCCAGCGAGGGCGTCAACGGAAGGCCTCGTCAAATATTTGGGTTGTTTACCGACCTTATCCCCCCCTCTCTCTCTCTCTCTCTCTCTCTCTCTCTCTCTCTCTCTCTCTCTCTCTCTCTCTCTCTCTCTCTCTTCTCTCTCTCTCTCTCTCTCTCTCTCTCTCTCTCTCTCTCTCTCTCTCTCTCTCTCTCTCTCTCTGCAGCTGCGTTGCTCGATTGCGCAGTGCGATTTCTCTCCCGAGGACAATGTTACTGCCATTCGCTCTTGCGGGTTGGCTCTTCGAATTCGGCTGACGCGAGGGTATTTGTCGACAGGGGTATTCCTGATACCGTACTTTCTAGTGCTGATCGTGTGTGGCGTGCCGCTGCTGTACATGGAGTTGAGCATCGGGCAGTTCACGCGGCGCGGCCCGATCGGCGCACTCGGCCAGATCTGCCCGCTGTTCAAAGGTAATTAAGCGATAAAGTAGTGGTTTGGAATCGCTGCTGGCTCGGGGCAGCTGTAATTGAAAAAGTAGCGCGCGCGGCCTCGTTCAGCGGCCAGTCGCGCGTAATCGAGAGCGGCGCATTTCTGAATAATTGGCGCGCGCGATTGTCGTGCTTAGGGGCAGGACTGTCGTCGGTGGTCATATCCTTCATCATGTCGACCTACCACAACGTGATAATCGCCTACGCGATCTACTACTTCTTCACGGGATGCAAGTCCATACAGCCGTGGTCCAACTGCGACAACAAGTGGAACACGCCGCACTGCTGGCCGCGCGACGAGAGCCTCCTGAGCAACCACAGCCGCGCGCTGAAGAACCGAACGATACCGGCCGCTGAGTTTTTCGAGTAACTATGCTCGGAGGCGTTCGCGCCTGGCGCTTCCCGACGCTCAACGAGCGCGCGTTGTTGCAGCCGCAAGGTGCTGAAGATCAGCGACGGCATCGAGCACCCGGGCTCGCTGAGGTGGGAGCTGGCCGCCTGCCTGATCGCCGCCTGGGTCATCGTCTACTTCAGCATCTGGAAGTCGATCAAGTCGTCGGCGCGCGTCAGGTACATCACGGCCACGCTGCCGTTCCTGCTGATATTTCATTTTTTCTCACGCGCTCGCTCACCCTCGAGGGAGCCGAGCAGGGCCTGCAGTTCTTCTTCCATCCGGACTGGCAGCTGCTCAAGACGCCAAGGTACGGCCGGACGCGACCGCTCGCCGTCCGTTGCGCTTCTCCCGCCGCTCTGATCCGACTGTTCGCACGCAGGTGTGGGTGAACGCGGCCGCTCAGATCTTCAACTCGGTGGGCATAGCCTTCGGCTCGATGATCTGCTTCGCCAGTTACAACAAGTTCCACAACAACATCCTCGTCGACGCGGTCGCGGTGTCGATGATCAACGCCTTCAGTTGCCTGTTGGTGGGTATATTCGCCTTCGCGACTATCGGCAACATCGCCGTCGAGCTCAACATGACGGTACCGCAGGTGCTCAACGACGGTACGTCACAGCCCAATCAGTACATCTCCGCGTCTCGATATTCATTTTCGTTCGCGCGAGAATCGTCGCGCGACCCACCGCGAAAACCAGCAGAAAGCCGTTTGTCCGCACAAACTCGCGTGCCTACGGCGACAGCGATGCTCATCGAGTTTTATCGATGTTATCCACAGATCAGCTTCTCCCGATGCTTTAAAGATAACGTATAACTTCCATTTAAGGACCCGGCCTGGTATTCGTGGTTTATCCACAGGCCTTGGCCAAAATGCCGTGGTCCCAGATGTGGGCGACGCTCTTCTTCTTTATGCTGGTCTGCTTGACTCTCAACAGCCAGGTTGGTAAAGGATTTATCTCCGTCCCCGTGATTGCGCCAGTCTGCGCAACTAACGCATAACGAAGCACCGTCGTTAAGCTTCGTCTTCCCCTCTCAATCGTTTGGTCTTTCAGTTTGCGATCGTCGAAGTGGTGGTCACCTCCATACAGGACGGCTTCCCCAAGTGGGTCAAAAAACATCTGATGTGCCACGAGATGCTAGTTCTGCTGGTGTGCATAGTCTCTTTTCTCCTTGGCTTGCCGAACGTCACGGAAGTAATTACCGCCGCATTATTGGCTCGCGCGCGCGCGCGCGATTCTCCTTTTCGCGCGGCGTAGCCTCAAGGCGAAAGAGAATCGAAGCGCGCGACAAGCGTTACGTCAACAATAAGTACAATGCATTCCGCACGGCGTACGTTCCAGGGAGGAATCTATTTCTTCCAGCTGATCGACCACTACGCAGCCTCGATCTCAATTATGTTCCTAGCCTTCTTCGAGGTGATCGCCATCTCGTGGTTCTACGGGGTTCGACGGCTCTGCAGCAACGTGAAGGAGATGACCGGCCGGGCGCCGGGTATCTACTTTCGCTTCTGCTGGCTCATCGCCGCTCCTCTCCTCATAATGGTATTAGTCTGAGCTTGCGCGAAATTTGCGCCCCTGACCTCGCGCCCTTCCTCGCGCCCTTCCTCGCGAGCGCACGCCAACGTTTCCCTTGCTGTGCGCTCGACTTTCGACGCAACCACAGCCGCGTCTACATTCACTGGCTGGATTTTCAGGCTGTGTGGGTGTTTAGCTTGATCGACTACGAGCCCCCGCATTACACCAGAAATATGGGCGTCAAGTACCAATATCCATGGTGGGCGGAGGCCATTGGCTGGGGTATCGCCTCGCTCTCGCTCGTTTGCATTCCAGCCTTTGCCGCTTGCGTTCTGTACCGAGCCGAAGGAACCAGCTTCACCGAGGTGGGTTCCCGTGCGCCGACTGCGCGTGCACCGACGACTCGCGCTAACGCCTCGGCCACTTTCCAGAAGCTGCACAACGCCATCAAGTCCGATTTCGAGGCCTGCGAGGTGTGCGGACAGGAGTACTGCACCGAGCCGTCGCACAGCACGGACGACGACGTGCTCAAGGAGCCACTTCACGAGATGAACAACGTCATGGTGAACGATGCCAGCCAGCGCGCGACGGTACGGCGAGCGCCGGACTAATGCGACCGTTGCGGCGTTTTGCAGGTGGTGCAAACATTCCAACCGCCGAAAACTCAATTGTGAAGCAACAACGATGACTTAGTTAAATTGACGAAAGCCAGAGACTCGACCCGCGAGAGGCAACCAGATCTTCGCCTAGAAGCCGATCTCGCTCGAAGATCGCCTCGCGACGGCTGCGCGCTGCCTCGTGCTTGCTCGAGTCACGCGACGTTGCGATTGCTGCGCAGACCAATCTTCTCGCGGGCACCTCGCGAGCTTTCGCGTGTCAGCTGATATTTTAACTTATTTAATTGTCTAATATTGTATTACGCTGTATTCTTCACTAGACATTCCGATAGTCGGCTTCAGTGCCGACAGCGCCGACTTAGTGATGCTCATCCAGGTGTGAGCGATGATTTTAGCTTCAATCGGCAGAGATATCAGAGCATGGCCTCTGGGACAACGACGTACAATACCTATTTTCTTTCTGCGAATAAACTGTTGTTTTTCTAAAAAAGAAAGTCAAAAGCCAGCATCCGAGCTTCAGTTATCTCCATCTCGATTCTCCTATAGGCGCTGCGCTGGGCTAACACTTGTGCGTGTCCGTTTATTCAAATAGTGCTAGGGCTACCTTGCACCGATAGGACTTGAAACTGTACAACCTCGCGGGCGCTTCGCTGTGACTTGAGTCGCGATCGCAATGTGAAATAGCGTTCGCGTTCAAGCAGTTAATATCGTATGTAACAGCTTATAAAAGGAGCGTGAATTGTGCTCCGTCGTGCGTGTGGCCTCCATCGCTCTTATCGACGAGGCCTTCCTCGCGAATCGCTCCAGTCGAGAACGCGTCGAGACGAGCGCCCGAACGTCTCGCCCTCGTAAAAATTCTGTTCTAGAAACACTGGAACGCTACCCCGATCTTTGGCGCTGCCACCAAAGCCGTTTGCGAGCTTACGTATATACAATGCTTCGACGTTCGAACAGTCACTCAGTTCTTGCCATGTTTGTAGAAGTTCGCGTTTTTCAGGACATGTCATTGTTTTATTTTCTCATACTTTTGGACCTCGAGAAATGGCATTTTACAACAAATTAAAGAGAATGTCGTCTCGCTGCAACAGCATGGATTTCGAAAGACTGTACTACACCGACTGTATCACACAGACACTTTTTTTCAGAGTAAATCGTGCCGTTCTTACTCATGCTAACACGGAACAGAAATTGCAAATATTTCTTCTTGTAGCAAGGAGACGCCAAATGTTTTCAAGCAACGAATTCGAGCACAAAAATATCAATAAACCGTCGAATCGTTGTGTCGAACGAGCGAATTGCATTAGCTTTTACCGATTTGAAAGAAAGAAGCGAACCTGACTTTTTTTTATTGCGAATAAGTTTTAAGATCACCCAAACGGAATTTAGTTATCGACATCTACCAAAAAGATCAATTGCCACGTATGTAATTAGGAGCTGCTTGCTTACCGTCGTTATGAACATTTAATATACTTCGCCGGTCATGTTAATGACAAGGGAGCCGCGAGAACAATGGAATTGATACACACACTGGCGAAGCGATACCTTTTCTTCTGATATGCATCTATCCCCACTTGTACAAGGTAGCTGCCTGACTGGGAATGGAAATAAATGCACTCGATCTATGGGATTTCTAACCGATTGCTACTTCGGTAAATAAACCATTATTCGTCCAAACGGATATCGAAAGGGATCGATATTAATTGAAAGGACTAACGATCGCTGCTTACCCCATTCCATTGGTTGTTTATCAAAGTTCGCCGGCAATTTCGTCGGTGCTGCAGATGGTGAGTTCGGTTGCGACAAGCGCGAATATTGGGAATATTGGGATTCCACAAGTCAGGCGAGTGATATTGCAAAACGAGCGCGCTGTGCAGGCGTGTGGAATCGAAGAAAGGCTGGCAAAATAAGGGAGATAAGTGAGCGAAACGAGTCATACGCGCGACAGAATCTTGAGATAAAGTGAAGGTGTACCGCGCGCGCGCGCGCCTGTGTTGGATGTTTGCTCGTTTGGCGCGCGCAGTGAGGGGAAAAACGAGGACATGCCGCGCGGCGAACAAGAGTGAACGTTCGTTAGATAAGCGCAATCGGTAATAAATCAGTGCCACTTGGGATGCAACGTTTTATTTCATACGTGTACAATTATAATGCGGCATCGGCTGCGCCGAGAAGAGTATACAAGTACTATCAGTAAAGAAGAAAGTGCTTATGAGCTACCGATCGTGAGGTCTACCTTTGCTTGTCTTTTCATTGAAAACCGCGCGTCTGCGGCGAACGGCAAGAGCCGATACAGATCATCGGATGCGCGTATACATAAATACATATATTTTAACGTGGACGCAGGTAAGTTCAGATACCTTGACGCACGATACACAGGACATCCGTGCGGTGGCGGCGGCAGCGGGGGTGGCGGCAGCGGCAGCAGCGGCGGCGGCAGCAGCAGCAGCAGCAGCAGCAGCAGCAGCAGCACGACACACGCGCTCGTTCGATCGAGGAGGACAGCGGGACGCGTATGTACAGAGGAGGGAGAGAGCAGAGAGGCGAGGACTCGATCCTTGGGACGAGTGCGCGCGAAGCAGAGGCAAGGGAAGGCGAGACGGGCGCGCGCTCAGGACTTCTGGTCGTCCTGCTCGGGGTGGGCGGCGTTCCACTCGAGCGCCCGCTTGATGGCCTCGGGGATGGGCGGCGGCGTGGGCAGGTGCGCGCCCTGCGGCTGGAAGCCGTTCTCGTCGGCCACGTAGGTCATGGCGATGTCGGCGCCGTCGTCGGCCTTGTAGCTGAAGGCGCCCTCGGCGTGCATGGCCTCGTTCTCCGCGCCGGCGTTGTTCAGGTGGCCCTCCTCGTTGGCCTTGATGCCGTTGCCGGCCTCGAAGGCCCACTTGTACGAGCCGTCCGGGTTGGGGCCCTCCTGCGTCTGGCTGACGATCGGGATCGGCTCCTCGGCCGCCGGCGCCGCGGCCGCGCTCGCGCAGCCGGCCACCAGCAGCATCGCCGACAACTGCAACGACCGAGCGGCCACGCGGCCTGTACAAGCACCGACTCGCGCTCCCGGCCGCGCGTCGCTTACCAGTGCAGCAGCGTTCATGGTGGGCGCTCCGACGGTCTCGCTCTGATACGTGAGTCTCGGCGCTGGGTGCAGCAAACGGGCCCGACGATCGTGCAGCCGCCTCCGGACGAAAGCTCGCAGCCGGTCTCGGAGCCCAGCAGCCGCGGTGGCGTCTTTATATATACGCGGCGCGCTGCACACCGATGCTCCTCTCCCCCGTGACGGCGCCTCCGCCTCCTCTCGTTCCTCTCTCGCTCGCTCCCGCGCGGAGCTCCGTCCGCGCCCGCCGAGCCGTGCATGTCGCGGCCGACGAGAGCGGCCTCTCGGCCACTTTCGGCGCTCGCGCCCGTCGCCTCGGGGATGCGCGACCGGCCCTCGGCGTCGCTCCACCGCCGAATCCGCCGAATCCGCCGAATCCGCCGAATCCGCCGAGTGGAAAGCGACGCTCGCCCCGGATTCCGAGCCCAAAGACAAAGCCGCTCCGGCACTCCCGCCCCGTGCCCAGACAGCTCCAATCCAGCGGATAACGGCTGAATTATGACGATCGGCCTCGCTGCTCTTCGGATAGCGGCGACGCCGGCAGGAGCGCAGAGCCAACGCGCCTGCACATACCGCAGGCGTGTCGTCGACGATCGAAAGAGAGAGGCAGACGTATCCTCGGAGTCTCGGCTGCGCTGGGCTCCGCTGAGTAGTCGTGTGTGAGAAAGAGCAGGCCTCCCAGTGCATCATGATGTACGTTTGTTTTTCAATCGAGGTGCTGCGCCGTGCCCCCTCGGCCGCCCTGCCCTGTTTTCTCTCTCTCTCTCTCGCCGTGAGACCGCCGACGTTTCCCTTCGCGCGACAGACTCTTTCTATTTTTGAACGGCTTTTGCCGCGTCGTTCGAGAGATTCTGGCGACCACCCCTGTCTCGTCCAGCCGATAGCCTTTCTTCGCGGTGACGACCCGAGCAACGATCTTGCACAACGTCGCCAAAGTCATGTCGGCGACGGCAGTCGCTGAGAGCGCGAGGCAAATAAATCTCGGATCGTTCGTCGCGGCGCTCGTCGCTGGCCGCGCGACGATAAGCGGAAAAAAGAAAAACACGAGAAGTCATCGGCAGAACGCCGCGGCGAGCGCAGAATCGCAGCCCAAGGTAACGTCCGCGAGCGACCAGTCAGTGCCGGAGTCGAATTGCTCGCAGGCGAAAAACAAAAGCAGCGCTGCTCGGGAAAAACATGATCTCCCCCCCCCCTCTCTCTCTCTCCCTCGCGCGCGCATCTTCTAATTAATCGATCAGCCACGTTACGTCGCTATTCTGCGATTGCTCAAGAAAGTCTCACCTCGCCTCTGAATTCGCCTCTGCGTCGTTAAAATCCCATTGCGCAACGCGCGGCGACGCATCTCTCGAAGAAGCGGCGCGTGTGGCGTATTTTTTTCTCGCGCACATATTTATCTACATATGTGCATAATGCGTCTGTCTGTGTGCGTACAAGAGTAGGCCTCCCAATGCATCATGACGTATATTTTCCAATCGCGGCGCTGCACTATGTACAGTTGCATACGTACACTCCCGCGAAACAGCGTGCAGACTGTTGCCTTCGTCCTCTTTCTTTATACACTTCTGTGGATTTCAAATGACCGACGCGTCGAGAGACGACTTTGCATCGACTATTTGACGGCCTTGTCGCGCTGACTTTTTGATTTCAGCTGTTAGTTGTTCAATTTTTCATTTATCCCCTGTATCATTCTCCTTTGCCGCTTCACTATTGTTTCTTGCGTGCTCGTGTCGTTCTGCAACGGCTCGTGTACGTCAGTTGTTTCTCAATGATGGTGCTATTGAAGAGGAGCTATTCAAATTGTAACCTTTTAAGACTCATACATAAGAAAACATTCATTTTCTCGTTGATCACCTCCGTCTTCCACCTCTAATTCATTCGACTAGATATTCAAGAATTTCCACTTGGCATTAGAAAAAGGAAAAAAAAACGTTGCGATATCCTTTGTAACAAAGACTCGCACTCGGACTCGAATCCATCGAGACAACGAAAGACCTCCGTCGAGCACAGTCAAATGTATCCTGGTCGCGAAGGACAATTAACGCGAGCGAGCGATTGCCAAGGAGATTGTTTAGTTTGCGAACAGTAAATTAGCGATCGCCATCTTGGCAATAATGACGATCACGGCCGACGATCATCGAACGATCATCCGATGTGTCTCTCCGCTTCTTCAGCTCCGCTCGACAGCGAGAGATCCTCGTCGAATGCGCCCGATCTGGGAATGCAACGAGTGAGCGCTCGGGAAAAAAAAAAAAAAAAAAATGTGCACAATCGCGGATAAATGCACGTAGCCACAATTGTAATTGGCGGCTACCGCCTGAGCGTTCGCGGTGGCGAACAAGTTTTCGCCCGGTGAACGAAGACAAGGAAAAAAAAAAAAAAAAAAAAACGCAGAGCGCGACGCGCGTGTGTTCTGCACGTCGGGCCGTTGCATTGTTTTGCCAACAGCGAGCAGCGTTGATCCATTGAATGGAAAAGCTAAACGATTGCCAATGGTCGCTACTGATGGTATCGATGTTGCGCAGCGGCCTGCTCGTTTAAAGCTGGTCGAGCGACAATTGGACAATTGGGATGCAGAACAAGCTTGCGCGGGAACCCAGCGCGCGAACCGACGACGAGATCGATGTAGAGCTACGTCCAACGAGGCTCGACGCAAGAACAATTAAGTCGGTCGTGAAGGGTGGGCACGACGGTAATTCGCTTGCGCGCCAAGAGTTACGACAATCGCGAGCCGCAGTCTACCGCACACACTGGCATCGCGGCGCTCGATCGCGCTCGTTCGCGCTCGTTCGCGCTCGTTCGCGAACTATCGGGATGCCCGCGAAGCAGAACAACGAGAAAGGGATAATCGGCTTGGCCTACCCGAGCGCGATTGATCTTTGCGCTCTATTATCGTAGTCCAGGCTGCCACTGCAATTTCTGCCTCTTTTTTTTTTTTTTCACATGCCGTCATTCTCTATCGATGTAAACATGTTCCGCTCTTGAGGAATATTTCCAAGCTACGTCACGAATCAGACAAATCGATTACGCGCATTTGCATGGATGAAACGAACTGGCGGATCGTCAGTTTTAATTGTCGATTCACAGACGGCCGAGATAGAGAGAGAGAGAGAGCATCCACAATGTCTATTTCCGAGCCGTATCGACAATTTTCGCTTTGCTACGGCATTGACGCCATGCATTCATCGCATCACCAGCATCGACACGAGTAACGACGACAAAATGTCACCCAAACAAATTCATCTTCATAATTCTAAGCTTTTCAATGGCTCATCCAAGTATATGTTAAAAAGTCAATGTCGAACGTGTTCGTAAAGCTTACTCCGCATCATTCACCAGGCTAACCCCGTCGACTCAACCATTTTCCGTTTATGCATTCGATCGTTTATCCAACTCGATCGCGTTTTCGTATGAACATCTCTACCTTGGCGCTAAGAGCGCTTCTCGTAAACCGCCCATTGCCGAACAATGCATAGCTGCCTCGATTTACTTTACACATTAGCTTCATCTTGTGAGCATTCACGTCTTGATCGTCGTTAATGCCACACTCTTTATTTACTACTATTTGGCATTGTGACTTGAACTCATCAATGTTTCGTGACACATAGTATATTGTAAGTCATCTATACAATTCAATGTGTACAACATGTTGTAAATCATCAATGCTTATTAACATCAATAAGAATCACATCAAAATAAAAGTAATTTCTTAGTAGGCCTGTCACTGAAAATGTTTTTACTTGAAAATTTCGTCAACAGTTAATAGTCTTGTTACGGATACTTATAAGGTGAAACCCTTTAACGAAAAAAATTAGCATTTACTGCTGTCTTTACTTTCAATTTCTACGAACTATTTCAATCGATGATTTGAATGTAGTTGAGAAAGAGCCGATCTAACGAATCAATGAATGAAAATGGAGTTGTGCGCGTTTTCAAAAGAAAGATGAAAATCTTATCGAATTGCTATTGACTGTCTTCGCTCATTGGCGGTTCGCAATGGAAAAACATATACACCTCGACGATACACGTTGACCAACCGCTGAATGTGATTTCTCAGGCAACTTCCTGGACAGCTCCGATGAATAACGGTTAAAGTGTAACTTGTGACATCATCGCCATTGTCGCCTCATCAGCCCTCGGCAACAGAAATTAATGCTAATAATCGCGCCTCGATTGCAGTGCGCGACTAATGAATTATCGTCGAAAGCCGGCGCAATGCGAAAGTTATTATCCGAGCATAAATATGTTGGAAATTTGCAAGTTGCGTAAATGTCCCTTCGCGCTCAAGTATTTCGTGCAAGAATTGAAGATTGCACACGCGGCATCGCAATGCTCTCGCCGCCGCGTAGCCTAGGCGGCCGCGAGACACTATAAATTGGGCAATTACCAGCGCGCGACGAGACGAGGCGCGACTTGCGTGCTCGCTGCTGGATTACATTATGATTCCCAGTGGTCGTGGATACGCGCGTGCACGGGCGGCCGCGTTCGATCCGCGGCCCGAGCGACGGCGCGGCGGGACCGATTGCTCGCGGGCAGGCGCGGCCGATCGCCGAGAGCGGCTGCAACCGGGCTCGCAGTGCCGATCGGCGCGCGGCCTCGACGCAGGCGCGCCAAACCGCTCGACGACGCACGCAGCACCTCGTGGTGCGGATTGCGCCGCGATTTCGGGAACAGCAGCTTGAATTTTCCGCGCGTCTCTCGTCGTCTCGATTTGTCACCGCGTCCTGACGAAAGAGCACGAGGTCGGTTGCGCAAGCGACGAGACCACGTTAGACGCTCGGTGAGTCGTCCGCTGATAATCGTAGCTAAGCGCGGATGAGCAAAGCCGGCAATTCGAGGCTCGAGCCGCTGGTTCATTGGCAAAATGGAATTTTAAGGGAATAGCCGCGTCGCGGATAAAGGCGCAGCGAATCGATCAAGTCGCAAGTGTGTCGCGCGATTAGGTAAGCTCTGCGGCGTCGCGGCTTATCGGGCTGCAGGCTGCAGGCTGCAGGCTGCAGGCTGCAGGCTAAATTTATCATCGACGCCGGCCGTATTAAATAATAGACCGTCGGCCCGATGATGCCAGTAGGCGCGACGGGTTGGGTTTTTACGGGTTTTTTTTTTCGCTGAATGCTCGGGCGAGGAGAAAGAGTCGCCTCGGCGCCGCTGTGCGTTCGAGCTAACGGGCGAAGGCTTTGTGAAAGTCGACTGACGGACCAGACGCGAGCGAGTGCCGTGTGGTTAACAGTGTATTTTGGCCATATATCTACATACTTATGTACAAATATTTACAGCGAGACGCGGAACACGAGCGCGGCGCTCGGCCGGCTACAAGTTGTCCTCCTCGGGGTGGTGGGCTATCCACTCGAGGGCCCTGAGGATGGCCGGGGGTATCTCGGGCGGCTGGGGAATGGCGGCGCCCTGGGGCCGGAAGCCGTTCTCGTCGGCGGTGTAGCTGATCTCCACGGGCGTGCCGTCGTCCGCCTGGTAGCTGTAGCTGCCGCGCACCGAGGCGATCGTCTCGCCGGGCTCGGAGCCCGGCTTCAGCCGGCCCTCCTCCTCGGACTTGATGCCGTTGGCCGTCTCGAACGACCAGTTGTAGGAGCCGTCGGGCTTGGGCCCTTCCCCGCTGCTCCTCAGGATCGGGATGGGCGGCGAGGTGCCCGGCGCCGCGGCCGCCCAGCCGCCGTGGCTGCCCACCAGGCACGCCAGTCCGAACAGAAACAGGGATCTCTGCTGCAACGCCACGCGGCCGATGCGTCAGCGCGCCAAAGACAAGTGCGAGATAAGCTTTACGGACTTACCATGTTGGGTGTAGTGCGGTCACGGGTGTCCTTACGACGTGTGCTTGGCCAGCGCCGGAGCCGCAGCTTTTATATAACCAGAAGGCGACGAGACGTGGCCCCTTTGATGCGCATAACCGAGCCCCGCCTAAACGCGCATGTGTGCCGCGAACGGGTCCTACGGCCGTCTTCGGGCTCCCCCTCGATCGCCACCTGCCACGCGCTCCTCTGGCGCGGCTTCCCGCGCGGCGCTCTTCTCTGGACACCGGCGTCGCTATTGCGACACGCCCGAAAGGCTCCTCGCGCGCGTGTCGCTCCTCGCGCGCACTACGAACCGTCTTGATCGAGACCCTGAACCCGGCTCTTTTGCCCATAAATTTCCTTGATTTATCTCGGCCGAGCCTCGACAACGCGCTGCGCATTTTTCTTCTTGCAACATTAGATCTCAACGCGAGCCATCTCTCTCTCTCTCTCTCTCTCTCTCTCCGGTCTCCGTTTCACAGCCTCGTGCATTCGATCGATCATGCACATCCGCGCAGGCACCACTTGCGCTTTCATTGCAAGCCTCGTTCCTAGCGATCGTTTCAATAGCGCTCCGCTAGTCCGTTGCAACGACGCTCGCGGATTCCCAAACTTCAACAACACTTTACGCGCGTGCTTTCCCCGGTCAATTACGCAACTGGCTGCTCAGCTCTGCCGCCAAATTTACAAAAACTAATCGAGCGCAGCCCCGCTCTATGCAAGTGTCCAAGCTGATCTCGGCCAAAACGGTTGACCGTCGTTAGGCGTAAATAAATCGCGTCGTCCGGATCGCCAACGGAATACGCTTGCCAAGGAATCCATACTATATGGGAAGTTTCGGTGAACCAGCTGCTCACTCGAGTGCTAAATTTATCAACGCTTAAGGCAAAAAGTCAAAGATAATTGAAAGAATCTATTGACTTTTAAGGTTGATGCCACCTTTATAGTATGAATGACAATGCCGACTAATTTAAATAACAGATTTCGTGCTTTAGCTTAGTCATCGTGAAATCTCACAGCCGCTTATTTTCATCGCACTTGGATCATTTCAGTTGGACATTTGATTATTGATAATTTTTCGATGCTATTGGTTCAGCGAGCAAATAAAAAAATGAAAATTTTCAATTAATCAAAGTTACATAATTTTGCTATGCAGGTATGTTTTGGCAATCGTCAATGACAGATAGTTGTGGAACACGAACGTCATCGGATATACATATTTAATCGACAATCAAAGCCTGACGTACTTGAAAATAATTCGTTGCTATCACGTGTTAACACGTAACAAGTAAAGAGAGAGAGAGAGTGGCGTAGCAGCATGTGATATATGTCCAGGTATTAAAGATGAGCTGCCGAAATGATGGTAAGATTAGCAAGAAACAACTATGCGGTCGCATTGAAGCTGGTAACGTGATTCGCAAGAGTCGAAACAGTCTTACCTATAGGAGAACTCTCAATTTGTCAGCCCGCGGCGTTTCGTCCGTTGCTCGACTGCGATTACATTACATGGACGGGGCACGATAAGGCTGCACGAGAGGAGCTAATATTTGCGTGAATTTCACTTTTCACGGGACGTCGCTCCAGCGCACGCGCGAATAGAAATTGTCTTGAACTAACTACGCCATCAATCTGCGGCGACTTTCATGATGGCACTTGCCAATTATTAGTAAGTTTGTTCAAACAATAATTTGAGGCCACGAGATCGATACATCGATGTGCGCTTGTGCAATCGTCTCCCAGAAATCTTTCCAACCAATTTGGCTCCCACGATCGTTTCGTTCTCATTGCGACGAGCTGACACTTGTCTCGAATATTTTTCATTTCTTCCTGTCACTAAATATTGCAAGCTTTCTAGTGCTTCGACCCGTGATTCCGATATAATCTGGAAACCAAATTTTAAATTTGAAAGTTGTCGAAAGGCAGAGCACTACGTATACATAAAGAAAAATTTAAGTAACTTTTCGCCGCGGATCGTCGCTCCAAAGAATCGCACGTCGAGTTGGTCATTTTATACCGAATCAGCAGAAGATGATTGGCACTTGAGCATCTGCCTCCAAATTACCTTTACTTTTCAACAACATATTCAATATTTTAGCCAATGCCGAAATATAACTTTAAAGATGGTAGCGGTGACGATGACAAATGCACATCGCAGGTATTGGCTCATCTCCAAAAATAAATGAGACGGCAGACGCGCGAGACTTGTTGAAATTACAGGAAAAATCGGTTTCTTACGAAAAACATCTGCACGAACAATGACGCGATGAAGCTGTGGGAAACTCCGGGAGCCACAAAAATGTATAAGATATCGCCGATGCTCTTGCCCAGCAGAGCACTGTTGGCAGCGCGCTCGGTAGGGCGATCCGTCGCTCGCCCTATTCAATCCGCGTTAGCGCGCGCGACCTCCGACGCTCGCCTGGTTTAATGGTCAAGGCGTGTAAGGTCGCCTTGTCTACAGCAATTACGCAGATGCGCGGGGCCCGATCGCATCTGCGCCGGAAAAAAAAAAAAAAAAAAAAAAAGAAAAAGCGAAAAAAAGAAAGAAAAAACGCAATTGAGCATAGCCACGCGAGTGGGGACTAGTTTGTTTTTTGTCGTGGCACCAGCTATATAAAACGTAAGGCCCAGCCGTGGGCAAGTGTCAGTTCGCTAAAAACGCTCTGTGATACATCTGCCGAGTCGCTCCCGTACTCTCACCACTCATTCCAGGATGAACCGATTGGTGAGTAAGCGCATCCAGGCACACTCTATACCTGCAATTGCCTTAGGCATTAGGAATATCATGTCCTCTCCATTACGCAAAGTGGAATGCCACGTACGGCGCTTGTACGCTAAACCGCTCGTTTTGACTCTTCTTTTCGTCTACGCTTGAATGAGAACCAGCGTAGATGCCCTCGTTCGGCAGGTATATCTAATCGAAACGAGGGGCTGCGTTATCGCACGACGTTAATGGCTAAAACTAATCGCGACAAATGAAGACGGTCGTACGTAGTGTACGAAGAGGAGCTGCTGCCGAATGAATAAATGATGAAAGCTTTGCGCGCTGGTGCGAGGCTGCTAATAAACAGCCAAATATTTATAATGCCGGGTGCTAATTGTCCGAATGGGGGCGGTTCAGGGTCGCGATCTTGGACGGTGTAACGAACGAGGCGAAAGGTCCAGGGCCAGCTGTTGTGCGGAGCTCGACTCGAGAGCGGTTGGTCAAAAGGCAAAATGAACAAGGTTGCGAATTGCAGGTATTGTTGGTCGTCGCCAGCCTGGCCGCCGCCAGCGCCGTGCCCCTTCAGCCGGACAGCAGTACCGCCGTGCCGGTGGCCATCGTGCGCTCGGCCGCCGACGGACCCAACCCCGACGGCACTTACAACTGGTCGTACGAGACTGAGAACGGCATCAAGGCCGAGGAGCACGGCGAACTGAAGGCCGTTGCGCGCAGCGCGGACAACGAGGAAGGCCGCCAGGCCATCGCTGCTCAGGGTGCATACAGCTACACCGCCCCCGACGGCACTCTCTTCGAGGTCAAGTACGTCGCCGATGAGAATGGATTCCAGCCCCAGGGCGCCCATCTTCCAGTCGCTCCGGCCATACCCGAGGCTATCCAGAGGTCTCTCGAGTGGATCGCTACCCACCCCCACAAGGAACAAGAGGACCAACAATAACAACCTGAGCGTCGTCTTTTCTTCCCTCGGCTATAGATGACCAACAGCCGGACTTATCGGGCGTATCTAGCGCTCTACATTAGGAGTCGCCTCACTCGTCGATAACGCACGCCTGTTTATTGATTACCTCTTTTATTATTCCTACATACTCTAATCCTACTAGTGCATCACTTTTGCTCCATTCACCTTTTTTGTTTTCGTTATGTTCTTTTGTGTTTGTGTTTGTGTTATTTTTCGTACGTTTTGTATCTACGAATTTCTCAATCTTGACTTTTTGACATTGATATCACTCCAACTTTTCACATGATAAATCCGAGATTGATAATAATTAATAATGCTGGCGAAGGTACATAAGCAAATTTTGTCAAATAGTAATAAATATTATTTGAATGAAATAAACGGTTCATTATTACTCAGCCACAGACTAACAGTATATAACAACGCGTGATCATAAAGGATACATGAAATTCCTCAAACATTATATTCGGTACTTTGGAAATGGCGCATTATTCACAAGCGTATATAAAATGCCTCACCCAGGTTTCAAAGAGTCTCCTATTATTCACTCTTAATGCTCTTTGAATGCACTTACGGCAGCCGTATATTACTTTATATCTATAGTTACGTAAATAGTTTGCCACTCTAAAACTTTATTAGATTTATTTTTTCGCTTACATGTGACGTGCGTGAAAGCTTTCTCGGCGCTATAATCATAATAAATATGTTTTACGCGCCACCAATACCAATGAAATATTCTTATACTTTATAATTTCACTGACTCTTTTTCTTTTTCCATGAGACTTTTTTAGTTTACTGAAAATATGATGAGAATGGAGTTTGTGAAAGAGTCGATTGAAACACCATAAATATTAATAAATCAATCTTTGAACATTAATATCGATTTAATTTAACTCAATAGGTATTCTCATAAATAACACATTCGCTTGTAAACGCTCACAGTAAAGTGAATTATTTTTAAGTAATTATAACAGCGTGTGAGCCTGCGTGTAACAATATTGTTTAAATTGGAGATAATCTCGAAATTAAGAAGTTGATAAAATATTCTATGTCGCACGGGGCTGTTAATTTCAATTTCAAAACAATAATAAAATATAGATCGGTCGGTCTCTCAACTAAAGATTGTAAATTCGAGTCTGGTAAACGAAATTAAAGCAATTACCACATTGAAAGTTAGTTTGATCTCGTCGGTAGGTAATAAAACGTACGCGGACGCGCAAGTTGTATGTGAAAGAAAATCTTTATCCGGAACCTTTCACCTTGGAACCAAGTTACAGGTTGTTATTTGAACGAAATGAACCGATGGCATCACACATACGTTTACATGAAGTCATGTGGTATTCGGAGGCGTTCGAGAAGGAAAAGAGAATGGATAGGCAAAGCCACTTTCGATCTCTTCACCGTGAATCGTGACCCACAATGAAGTATTCCAACTTCGTCTTGATACGGCTTAGCAGCTCTTCTCACTTTTTTTGCCGCTTGATGGCCTTTTATCGCAGCCGTACATCGAACTAAATTTATGCGGTTTTACGAATCGTTGGATTCGGTAGCAAGTTTTAAGATTGAGGAATAAATTGTTCCTCTGGGTTTTTCTTATACTATCATATGACGTCATTTACCAAATATATCATCACAAAATCAGCACAATTACATATTGGTTTGAACTATTCATTGATATTCGATGTGAGAATATCCGGAATACTGAAAAATGTGAAAGCAAATCGATATAGAATAGTTTTGAAAATATTCAGCACGATTTCTAGCGTCATCTTTGAAAGATCACGTCAAACTTGTCTGATTTTTATCGTCGGTAGATTGGCTAGCCCCGTAGATTTCCGGAATTCGTCAAGGACGATAACGTAGATTCGGCAGTATCATCTGACGTTAAACGTTGTAAACACGGCAAAATGGTAATTATATTATTCCGCGTTCATGTGCACTGGCTGCGTTAAACTACAATTTTTATTCGAATTATTATCGAAGCTCACGTTAATTTTGAAACTCACTGGAATAGAGATCATACGATTTGTCAATCATTGCTACTATCGCCTATACACTTATAGGCGTATTTTTATCTATTTACTAATTTATAAGTTAATCCGTTACATATAGATCGTCTATTATCTGTTTAATCGCACGTATTTTTACATACCTAATTTATACTGACACCTTATATAGTAATCAAATATTTATTCTGCCACTTGTGAGAATCGAATCGTCCAACTACACGTGATTCCTGTAACTTACTGTCTGATCTTTGCGCAAAATGCAGTTAGTAGCTTCGCTAGGTGGCGATAACTTTAACTGAGAGCCGATTGACTTGTGTTATTAACTACTATTACGCGATAAAACGATTACTTAAACAAAAAGTTATTTTATCGCTTTTACGGAGAGAGTGGTGAAAGCTCTGTAATACTCAGGGTGCCAATTACCTGAATACTGTACTTACAGTTCGAGGTGGAATTCGAATCATCGGAGCCATAATGTCACAATCTTGGAACAAACACTTATCGAAAAAAAAGCCATTGGTACCCCAGATATAAGAGACCAACGTTCTATGCACTAAGACACTGGGTCTCTTCAATATGCACGCGCTAGGAACTCAGATCCGACCCCACCCTAGTAGTTGTTAGTGTGTTCATTGTAAACATTATTCAAATTATAATTTTATAATTGTTCGAGTTTTCTATGTTTTGTAGTAAATTTTATTGCAACTATAGCACATTTTAATATAACAATCCTCTTAATGAGGGAATTATAAAACAATAATATATTTGTTGAACTAACCTAAAGATTATTGATGGCGGTGTCGCATGTGAAATTGTTTTTTTGTTTGTTTCCGATAAAGAAAAAATACACGAGTGTCCTTGTATTGGCAAGTGCAAATATTTGACAAGCAACTACGTGTCTGAAATAGGTATAAAATGATGAGTACAAGTGCGAGATAATCTGCAACTGATTGACATCCAGGAGTGTGAAAAAAATACATAACAGAAAAGCCATCAGCATCAGCGGGAGTAGGAGAGTCGGGAGGTGCAAGTGAGCCCCCGGAATCTATACAGAGAAGGAACTTGCAGGAGCTGCAAATGGAGGAAGATCGGAGCAAGACAAAGAAACTAGAAAGACTGTTGTCTCTTGAGTGGGAGAGGCTTGTTGAACTGCTGCTTCTTGATGAGGATGGGCTTGGGCTGGAGGGGTTTGAAGCTGGTGGGCGCATCGTAGTCGGGCTCCTCGGTGGTGGGCTGCTTGGCGAGCCAGTCAAGGGCTCTCTGGATCTCCGGGGGAATGGGCGGCGGAGTGGGCAAGTGGGTGCCGGAAACGCGCGCCCCAAACTCATCGGCGGTCCAGCTGATGGCCACGGGGGTGCCGTCGGGCGCGTTGTACTGCACCGAGCCCTGGATCAGCTGGGTCTCGTCCTCGGTGCCCTCGTACTTGCGCTGGCCAGTCTCGCGCTGCAGGATGCCGCCCTCGGTCTCGTACGCGAACGCGTAGTTGCCCAGCCTGTCGCCCACCTCGTTCTGGGCCTTCACGATCTTCTCCGGCTGCCTGAAGTACAGCTCGTCCTGGCAATAGGCTGTCGCCAGCAGGCAACTCAGCAGCTGCAACACAACGAGCACGCCTCGTAACGGCAGCATCGACGACGCGGTCGCTTTCGCCTGGGACGGCTCGGACGGAGCTCGCCAAACTGGGCGCTGGCGCGTAGCGCGGCCTGCATCTGGCTGACGCAACGTGTGTACAATCGACGAGCCTCCTCCCACAGCCTAGCTCTCTCTCTCTCTCTCTCTCTCTCTCTCTCTCTCGCTCGCCGCTCTCGCCATTTTTCCGCGCGGATTCTCATACCCTCTCGCCGCGATCGGCCGTTGCCTCCGGCAACTCTACTGCACTGCGATGGGTCGCACCTTCTATCGCGTCTCCTTCGATTTTCTCCAATTAGCTCGCGCTCCTCGCTTCTATGCGCCGCTCCACACCAGCACCGACAATTACGTGATTTTACCAATTGCGAAAAGCTTTGCTATTTCATTCAAGGCCATTTATGCAACTATCGTCAATCCGACGCGCGAAGAATGTCGCGGCTGCGTTCGATTGGAAATGGATGAGTATGATGAAAAAAAAATAGATAAAATGAAAAGACACAAACTGAACGATTAGCTCGAGATCCGACTGCGAACGACCGATGAAGTTTGCCACGTGCGACTGAAAACTCACCAGGATACGCATGGCGAAAGCTTCAGGTGCAGGATCACTGGCGATTGGGTGGCGATTGGGACCCAAAGGTGCGTTTCGTCAGCTGACGGATAAAACGAGTACACGGGCGTTCGCCGGGTGAGCACAAACACGCCACACTTGCCGAGCAGCAGAGCCAACGCGAAACCGTGCAAAAAAAGCGGCCGCGCCGAACGAGAATCGACAGGCAGACTGAGGCCCAAGCAGGAGTGAGGTCCGCGAGAGACTCTTGGATAGTCGCGGGGGCACTGCGATCTTTATACCGTCTTTGCGCACCCGCGGTCTACACCCGTCGCACGGGGCTTTTACATAAGTCGGGAAAGTACAATTTCGGCGCCGCTCCTACCACTCGCGCCTCACCCTACTGGGCTTTCTCATCGCCGATCGGCAATCTCCCCCCTGCCCGCTACGAGCTTCCATTGTCCCGTCATTTTGGACAGGATTGTCGACATCGTCCTCCGACTCCCTGTCGCTCTCTCGATCTTTCTTTCGATTAGTAGGCTATTCTTCTAACTTCTTTGACATTGCGTTAATTAATATAAAGTTATTCTTAAAAGATTGCTTGTTTTTTTTGTGTCATTGTGAAATATTACACTTATTTAGCAATCGTGCGTTCATATTTATGTTAATATTTTATCCGCGCATGTATGATTGCTTTATAGTTACATGGCCGGTAGCAACACAAAGATTTGAAAAATCAAATGGAATCTCTGTCTAGGAGTTATTGTAACGAGGAATGCGCCATTCGCCAGGTAGATTGAGCCACGAAAAGCGCACTGCTCGACGAGCTTTGCGCGTAACTTCTCGTCGGCAAGTTTGAGGATAATTCTAAGTCTCTTTATGCTAGTGGGTCACAGCTGTCCCGTAAAAATGCAAGCCTCGCGCGCCTTCAACGATTGAGCGATAAAATGAAGTATTTTGATAGAAAGCACGCTTCTAACGATTCGCACTTCCCGCTACATAATCCTACATAATCATTGCATAATAGGCCGCGAGTAGATAAACTGTCTTTTGATCATAGACGAATATAATAATTAAGCTTTACGTAACGTTGCATACAGGCAAAGTATCTGCACAAGTACAAAGTTGTGTCAGACGAACGTGCGCACCTCTATAGGGCTCATTAGAAAGTTTATTTTTGACAAACGAACGACGCTGAGCGAACGATTATAGGATCGTCGTGAGCAACGAAATATAATCGTCGCGCGTATTCGTATCGATCGTTTACACCTGAATTTAGCGAAGCTCCATCCTGCTACGCGCCGCCGAAATTCATCGACCACAAGTGACAAAAATCCACGAGCATCACTTTATTGCAAAATACCATCTGCGCCTTCTTCCTCGGGGTCGAACTTTCAATAAATAACGTGTCCGAAAGCACGCGCCAGTCTGCGACATACTCGCGCGCATAATATTTACGTGCACTTACATTACGTCGAATTCGTTATGAAATGATAAAATAATCAGCATAACTGAATTAACTTGCGTTAACTAAAGGTTATTTAGACATTTTGGACTAAGCATGCCGTCTAACCTTCGCCTACTTATATACATAAATTCTAATGTGAAATTTTCGTTTCATTTTTTTAAGACAAGTCGAATGAATTATTGCCAAGGTCAAATTTAAAATGCAATCGTGCGATCCAATCTGCAGGCCTGCACGGTAAGATGATAGTTTTGCCTTCTCGATTGTGCCAAGTTAAAGTTTTTGATTATGCTAATCTGCAGAGCAGCTCGTGAAATGTTATCTGCTCTTCGACTGCTCAATTGAGTAATACTATAAATAAATTTTGGAGTAATACGAGTAGGCAGTTTGCCTTGCTTTAACGCATCATCCGAGACATCATTTTCCAAAGCGAATGGACGCACTGATCTGTCATCGGTCTAGCATTCGACCTTTGTCAATGGTTGTCACCAATATTGTCACACCCCATCACCTTTCATTACTTTTTCCATAAGAACTTCATTAGCAAACACACCTTTCCACCTGACAATGGACGTGAGTAACAATAGCATTATTCAATCGGCTTTACGTTTGCCTAACAATGTTCATCAATATATTATGACAATCGTGGAAATATTATTAGCTCTCCGAATTGATGTCACTCTTAGAACAATAGTGCCAAATATTACATGCCAACTGAATAATTCAGTGATTCGACAATGAGCTACTTTCTCTCTGACCAAATAGCAAGAATTATTGAATCGTGAATTTTAAATGATCCAAGACTGACGCTAGCTGCTATGTCATGGAATCCACGGAGAGTCGTTGCTCCGCAGGATATCAAATCGCAAATGTCATGTGCGGTTGAGAAATTGAATATGCAAAACGAGCAACGCCGATTACGATATCGTTGTCAGGATCGATCATTTCGTAAAAACAGTTTTCGTTTCATTTATCGCGATGCAAGTATCTGTCGATGAATTTTTGGATTTGCCTCATCTAAGTTTTTTTTTTTCACTCGCGACACCGATCGAGCTTCAATTTTCCATTCCGCGAATCGTACAGGCTTCGCCTGCTAAATTGCTGACCCTTTCGTTTCTCAAGCCATTTTCAGGCATACAAACTGAACGTGAACTACGTATGCCCCAGGAAACCACGAGCGGTGCATGCTCGTGAGAAAGAGCGCTCCGGGCCCGCCGAGTCTCTTGTTTTATGAGCGCCAGCCTACCAGCTTTGCGAACTCCTTAGCACTTATTTATGACGTTCTTCCTACGAAATCGTTCGACAACTTTTATCGTGTAACGATAAAATTCCGTACAGAGAAAAAAATAGATCCTCACTCGGACTATTGCGATGTTTATTTCACGTAGGCGCAAATGTCATTAGAATGTCGTTGCTGCAATAACATACGATTTTGTCATTATGAACAGCGATCTTAAAAACCGTACTCCTCTCCATCACAGATATTTCACACAAATAAAACTATAGCGAGGCAAAGATTTCCATCAAATATACAACAGCGCCATTTTTTTTTTTTTTTTTTTTTTTTTTTTTTTTTCAAAAAATTAACTTGATAGAAATGGCAAGTGGAGGGACTGTTGTGCAATCAGGAAGCGCAACACTGATAATTCATGTTGCTCGTTAGAATGGTCTTGCTCGGTGGGAATAAAACCGAATACTCTCTCAAAGGATCAGCAGCGAGTAGACTACGGGCGCCGAAACACTCCCTCGCTCTCGCGTTCGATGTACGATTCGAGAAATTGAACGCTACCGTTAAGCCATCAAAGAAAGTCTTTTACATTCAGTCAAAAATATGAGATATCAGTAACAAAGTTTATTTATCTTCTTTTCTTTTAGAAAGCATACTGACAATTAACGAAAGTAATTAAATGTAAATGTATCATTATTTCGAGTATAGGATAGCATTAATTGAAATATTGGAAACATATAAGATTGAAGTGAGTTAGAATAGCTTCAACTCAAGGTTTTAGTTAAATTGATCTGTTTCCGGTTCAACAAGCGTTTAGAAGATAAAATTCAATGTAGCGTTTCATAACTTTTAGCGATACGTTATTCCAATACTTCAAGTTTTATCTTACTTGATTCTGTCCTGTATTTATCGTTATCTTAATGGCGAATGTTTCGTGCGCATACCACTTTGACCGAAATAGCTGTTCTACCGTAGCTCTTACTTCGGATTTAAGTGCAAGAGCCTTGAGCATCGAGTCGTTGGTTGGGATAGAGTACTTGTTTAACATTTCAAGTTTTGTTTTTCTTTCCAAGTCATTGTCCATTGTATGGTTCTAACGTTTTGACTTCTTTGAGTGAAAATCTATTAACTTACAATAATATCATTATAGGTGCTTCTCCGAATAAAGACGAGAGTCAGTCAAGTTGAATTCTTTTGCTAACCCAGTTTCGCCAGTTTGTACAGATTAAGCAAGGACTCAATCCACTGTGTGAAATAACAAAAATACCAGTAACTACCTCATACAATTGATCTCAGGGACAAGATAGTGCAGTAAGTAGTTAATCGTTGCAGAGCTCATTTTCTTCTATAAAGGAGACTTTGTAAAAGTTATATCTTGCGAAATTATAGAGCAAAGAAAGAAGAGAGTGATGCGTAAATACTATAAATAAAAACTATCTCCAATCAATTTATGTTTGATAACGTTTTGCTGGTTTATCTTTATTAAAGTTAGTCAAATTACCGAAACCCATCTCAATAAACTAAAATTTAACATGAAATTTTAGAAGCAACGGTGATTTTTAACGTTGATTTATTAGTCATCATTTACACTTCATGCTTGACTTCAAGTTGGATGGGCTTCTGTAACAAAATTTAAATACCTTGCAAGGCTTCATCTAAAGAAATGAGCCGTCGAACGACTATTTTAATTGAAACAGCAAATGCTTGGAACGTTTGAAATCTCGGCTTGCAAAATAATTTAATATCCTTATAGGAGGGACTGCAAAAAATCAGAATGAAAAACTAAACGAAGTAGAATTTTAATAAAAATCCACTTGAAGGTATGCCAATTATTTTTTAATCTTTGGCACTTCACCTGTGTTGATAGACATTTAGAAAAATATTTTCTACAGAGCAGAAGTTGGTAAGTTGCCATGCTATGACACCGCCGTATTTTTGATCCAACAGAGATCTCATATAGTACAGAGCAGTTGACCGAGCTATGTCGGATTTCCTACCTTTCCCTTGTCCGACAATAGTTGCTACGCTCACCTACAGAGACCGTTTCTAGCAAGTTCCTATCATTTTTTGAACCACCAAACACTCTACCGTTGCACTAAGAGAACTATATAATTAATAAATGTGCTAGAGTTGCAATAAAATTTACTACAGAGTTTAGTAATCGTACGGTATACTCAAGTCATTATAAAATTTATCAAGTTTTTGTTAATTTGAATAATTTAAAAATTTATTATAACAAATAATATAAATTATTATTATTATTATTACTATGTAATAATAATTGTTAACATAGATAATAATATATTTTACAATATTCAGTAAAAGTTATTATGATTTGAACAATTTTTACAATAATGAACACAGAGTCGTTAATTACTGGGGGGTCAGATTGCGCGTTCTCAGTGGCAACTGCATTTTATGCAGAAGGAACTGGTTGGGACATAAGTTACACGTGCCACGTACAGATGGCGGTTCAATTCTCGCAAGTGATAAAATAAATAGATGTAACACGATGGCAATGTATAAATTTTAACAAGCCAATAAAAAATACTATTCAATTCAGAATAAATATTGAAATGCTATATAAGAGCATCTCAGTCTAAATAATACATGTAAAAATGCGTGTACTGATGAATCGTATACGCCCTATTTAAAAAATAATGTAACCTTCGACAATAATTCGAATGAAATATAACATTTTAATCTGAGAATTGCTTTGTATGTAGTAAAATTTACCGAACTACATAAATCTGCCGTATTCTGTTTATAGCAATAATTGCCATGGGTTCTAGTAAATACTATGTTACTTAATACAACTTGCAACACTTAAATTTTAATATGTTATATAGCAATTTTTACTACACTCAGAGTATATCTCACGATTACTGTGTTCTGTAGTAAATTTTACTATGGATTATGGGAGTTTTTATAATATCGATTCCTTAATGTAAATTCTTTGAATAATAATATTAAGCTGATAGCCAATTATTGCACATCCAATACTCGCAAAGTTCTTAATCCGCTCGTTTACGTCAACAGTCAAGGTGGCATTTTCTATTTTCGCAATTATTAATTTAAATCAACGTTACATGTTGAGTGTTACAGAATGTAGTACAGTGAGGTTTTATTTTCAGTTGATCAAGGGTAGCATGTTGAGAACACATTGTCATAAGCAGCTAATTGAAAATGGGATTATTTACAGTGACAGAAAGAAATGAAAAAGTCCAGTGGGCTCCAATCGCGAATGTAGCAAAAACGTAGGAAATATTGCGAAATTGCAAGATAGAAAGAAAGGTCGTAAAACGGTCGGTGGTGTGCACAAAACGCACCGGGTGGGAGTACGGGCGAAGCGGAGAAGGGGGCAACTGCCCACACCTCAGGGACAATTGAAAGTTGAATCCCCACCAACGGACACATCTACGAAGTTTGGGAAAGAGAGAGAGAGAGAGCGAGAGAGAGAGAGAACGTGCGCTCGAGGCACCACCCGGCGAACGTATTAATGCGCTTCACGTAACCCACGCGTCCTTAAATCTCGTGCTCTTGCCGCTTATTAAAGTGGCATGAGGCTTTCTATCTCTTTCTCACACTTTTGCTCCCTATATTTTTTGCGCTTGCTTTATTAATATAAGACAGTGGCGAGCTTTTACGATTTGTCGAGTACGTGCTTGGCAAGTGAGTTTCGTTCGCAATTGCGAAAGCGCACGGTTATTATGCATTGATGACTCCGCGGCAGACGCTTATTGGAAAGATCTGCTCGGAGGCTCGGGCATTATCGGCTGACCAAGCGACGTCGAGGGTTCCGGTCGCTTTGACGATTAGCTCGTGACTAATTTACGATCGAGCTCTTTGCCGGCAACAACTGCTCGAGTCGCACATCGACAGCCGGCAGTCTAATTCAGTCGAAGGATTTCGCCAGAGTGAAAGAGAGTCCGATCGAGCGGCGCAAGGAGCGCGCGAGCCAGCATCTCCGACTCGTCGCCACGCAGATCGGCCGACGTAACAATCGCGGCAGCTCGCATTTGCATAACTCGGATCATCTCTTGACATATTCTGAAAACATGAGCAACGTGTAAAAATGCGCGCAGCTGATGCAACTGCAACAACCGAGCGATCCGCCGAGCGCGCGGAGCTTTGGATTCCAGTATGACGCAATTCGGTCGCGCGCTCATCGCCGCCAGCCCTCCGCGGCGGCGCTTCGCCGGGCTCCGGTTACCGCGCGGTAATCGCGATTGTGGCCGGCGCCGATTGCCAATCGAAAGTCGACGCGGCTCGCCGTGGCCGCGGCTGCCGCCTCACGGGCGATTGCTCGCGATCGGCTCCTCGCGGCCATCCCCGGCTGGCAATTGATACGAGCACGCGCCGTTCGGGCTAAGCCACCTCGGGGACGCTCCTCTCGCCTCTTCGCAATTTTCGACTGTCACCGTTTGCGCGCGCTCGGACCGATCGGAAGCGCTCCCAGCGAAAACTTCAAATTGGATTTCGATCGCGGGGAAAAATAGTCCGGGCGTGTAAGCGCGCTCGCCGCCGGGAATCAGCCGCGGTAGATATCGCCCCCGCCGAGCTACGTATCCGGTCTCGCGTTCGATCGCACCCTCCTCCCACTTCGCCCCGAAACTTGAAAATTATCTACCGGCTTCGGTCTGTCAATGATAATCTCGAATATTCCCTCCGCTCCTTCCTTTCCACCTTCTGCCGCATCGCCCCCTCTTCATATTTCTATACTTTTTCTATACATTCTTACTTCCTCGCGAATCATACTTTCTACAAGAATTTTTTTCTTCATATCGTTGTTAAAATATGTTTAAAACGGCTGTATATACATTGCGTATGCGCGAACTCGCCAATAACGCAAGCTCGACCTGGTAGAACTTGATGCGCGAAGGCTCATTCGATTTTCTTTTTTCTTCTCTTTTTTTGCCAAATGAAGAGTGGAAGAGAGATTCAAAACTCGAAGAAAATATCATGTTTCAGTTTTTGCAATTTGATTTTTCAATTATTTCCGATGTTACGCGTACATTTTATATTATTTTGATGCAAAACTTTGCAGTGGTTGAACTGTTTGCTGGCACCTGAAGTACTACGATCATTGGAACATGAAATTCACTTGATTGAAAAGAGACCTCTTTAGTTTTTACGATGACAAAGTACTTTTACTCAAACCGATCTGAAACTTCGCGTACGGATATTGTTCATTTAAAACAAAGTTTCATATGATCAATTTCATAAAGATAGTTGACCCGCGCAATTGCATCTTACCCCAACTTAACTTTAGTTTTGTAAGCAAAAATAAGTGTGTGTGATACGGGTTTTTCAATGAAATATCAAGACAATTGAGATAGTAATAGTTTGAAAATAGGACTTATCAAATTATTATCCAAAAAATAAATGTAGGCTTTGTTGATATTGTCTAGTTGACAATGTCATCGCAGCAGTTGATTATGATATATGTGGCATAAAATGTGAACAGCAAAATATGAAGTTCGAGATTTGGTGTTCTCGAAACAGCCGGATTCCTCTAGATAGAAGAGTACTGTCTCTCAAAATGGCTGTCAGAGGAATTTTCTCGGAATAAGACGAATACGGGGAATTATTCTCCTTGTTAGAGCACTACTCTCCAAGATCTTTGTTTAGCGCAAGAAAACGATTCTTGCGGGTATAACAGGATTAATTCTTGCAAAAAGCTTCACACTACTTTAAGATTGAATGCTCTTACGGCAAGAGGGTTCCTCCTGTATCAAGAAGATATAATCTAACGAACGAAAAAAGAATTTCTTTTACACGGATCAAAGAGGATGGCTCGTGCAACGAGACAGGAGTTATCTCGAACAATCCTCTTTTATCGAGATGATTCGAAATCTTCTTGTTGCAAAAGAACCTTTTTTCCTTTCGGTGTGTGCCACAGACATTCTTTCGGCACTGGAACGTGGCAAAACGGCAAAAGTTTAAATAGAATTGCGGGCATTCGCAGAGGAACACAAGTTACAATCAGGGCTTAATAGGATGCGAACGAGAATGCAACGCGTAGAGGAGGCCGATTAGGTGCTAAAAAAGAAGCGTAGCTTGCATGCTGGAAGATGCACAAGAGCGAGCGAGAGAGAGAGAGCGAGCGGTGCGGTGCGGCGTGGCATGGCGTGGCGGTGACGGCGAGGAGGGCAGGGATGACCCCTTTCACCGGTGTGCTCTTGCCGCGCGCTCTCGCTCCGACCCACGAGTGCTCGGCGCTCAGCACGTATATAAGGAGCCTCGCCTCCGAACGAAGAGCTAACATTAAGCCGACAGGGTTAACGCATCTGCCGCGAGCTCTGTTTTGCTCTCCGTCTGCCTGTGCATCTCGGCCTACCGCTCGAGTTCGACTCTGCCAAAGTTGGTCGTCTGCTCGAGTCAAGCTTACCGGCAGCCATTCCCGGACACCAGCGCGCGATATGCTGAACGCCAAGGTCAGTACGACACTCGTTCCTAGCTCGGAGCTCGCGCGACCTCGCGAGTCGCCAGCTGCGACGGAGCTTCGCCGCTCCACCCCGCCGACTCGCTCTCTCGCTCTCTCTTCCGCGACTCGCGGCCGCGCCTATTTATCGTGCCGAGCGCCCGCCGACGATGGAGCGAGAGTCGCGGCTTCGCTTTCGGCCCCTCGGGCTCCTGCGCCGAGATTCCCGAGACTCGTCCGCAGCGTTTTATCGCTCGTCGCGCTGAGCTCTTCCAGTCTATTTACACTCCGCGATCGCGGGCACGAGCTTGCGCGTCAATCCGCTTAGGGATACTGCCTGCGCTAATCCCGCGATATACCAGCACTCGGCGGCCTGAAACGGCGAAACTCGACTTGTAGCCACTTCTTGCTCGCCGTCGCCGCCACCGCCTAATCTCTCCCGGGCCGTGAATTTCCCTAAGGGAAATAAATATTCCCCAACCCTCTCTCTCTCTCTGTCTCTCGCGGTCTCATCCGCCAGATACTTTTGCATAGCTTTGCATCTGCTTGACGGGGCAAGCACAGCCACTTGCACCCAGCCGGCGCGCCGCTACAGTCGTCCAAACTCTCCCGTTTTTCGCCATCACCGCGGCATTATGATTGCAAATGTCGCGCGCATCCGCGAAGGAGGATCCGAGCCATGCTAATGTCGCCGGGTCTCTCTCTCTCTCTCTCTCTCTCTCTCTCTCTCTCTCTCTCTCTCTCTCTCTCTCTCTTTCTTTGCATCCTTCGCGACGCGTTCGGCGGAACAGCTTGCCGCCGTTGCTCCGCGGAGGCAGGACGGTACGCTCGTTGCGAAAGCTCGGCGCGGACGACGGCTGGTCGTCGTTCGGGGAGCAGCCGGGCTAATTGCAGCCGCGCGACGCGCACTTCGGACTGATATGTTCGCAATCGCGGCGCCCGTCCCGCGTCCTTAATCGCAATGGGCGCGCGGGCGCCTGCGCCGCGGCTGACGAAAACGAAATTGAAATCGCGCCCGCGAGCCGCGGCAATTCGCCAGAATTGTCTCGCCGCGTAGGCGCAATTAGGCTTCGCGAGAAAGCTCGGCGAGACAGAGCGGCGCGGAGGACCGCGGCGGGCCGGCTAATTATGCGCGCACCCCGGCAAATTGGCGTCGATTAAGACGTTACGGAGTGCATCTTACTGGCAAATGCGTTCGGATTCCCCTCGCGTTCTCGCGTCGAGGCCCGATGACGTATAAATCGCCACGCATCAGCCGCGAGGACGACCGGTGACTCAATAGCAGCTATTATTACGAAGGCTTCTTCCTCTACTTGTGCACGGCTCGCGCACCTTCGTTTTTATGCGTTTGCGCCTCCTCTAATGGCTCTCTCCTACTCGTCTCGCGCATTTTCCTCGAGGCAGTCCGCTGTTAAGCTGAATGCGAATCGTGCGTGCCAGCTCCAAGCTCACCTTGCGAATATTCAATGTCTCGCTTCGGAGACTTTGAGAAGTAGTGAGTGGCTTGGGCTGCAAGCATCGTCGCACTTGTGATTAGTTACATATAGATGGCATAATTGTCAAGCGCATCGATCGCGGAGGTTCAAGTTATACACGATAACGATGATCGTTGTTTACGAACATACCAGTCGAAGCTTGTCTATTTGCGATGAAAATTTTCCGAGAACAATTGTTCGTCTAGATCGCTGGAGAAACAAATCTGATAACGACATTATCCCGAGAGCGAAGGCTGTAACGTATTTGACGAACAAGTGAAATGTCAACTCTCGAGATCATGTTAGATGGCGTTTCCATGTAACAGGAAAAGTCAGCATACTACGTTGATATCGCTCTCTGCGGATCAGGCGTGTCTATAAGTCAATGAAAAAGCATTTTTATGAATAGTAAAAACACAAGACGACATTAGTCATAGCCGAGTAATTACACATTCGCAGCGGCACGCCTATTATTTATGCGCAGCATTGATGCGCAACAATCGACTCGGTAACTTTCCGCTATGGACGATTTAACTGTATCGTATAAAACTGTGATGGGACGCTACTCAACATTCACAAAATCAATGCTGCAATGCACTTCGCAACAGTAATCAGTACGAAATCTTGTCGCTTCAATTGTCGTCGAGATAAATGACGTCACTCGTTATTTCTCTGCCGACCATCGGTCGAAAGGAAGCGTTTGCTTTTCGCGGCACAGCGACGAAAATAGTCTTAATTCTAATCGAGCCGAGAGCAAAATGACGCTGGCGATATTAGTTATTTGTCGTGGCAACGTCGACCGCGTCGTTCGCTCAAACGGACAATTTTCCTCGTGGAAACACGAACGAAATGACGCGTGCGTTAGATCGGAACGCCGAATCCGAAGTAATCTTCCAAGTGCTGCTTACTGCGATCCAATGCAAGCATTGCTTTTCGGAATAATGTCGCGACAACCAGAATGACGTTGCTGCCTTCGACTCTAGTCGCGAGCTTATGAACGATCACACGCGTGCATGCATACTCCCGCGGCACGCGCATATTTGTGTGTAGATATACGCGCGCACACGCATATTTCGAGCAGCATAACGATTTATGCAAAGTTCAGCGCAGCCGTCCAAAAGTGATGGCTGCCGAACGTGCAATACGCGAGATCGACACGGGCATTTTGTAGTGCAAGGAGTAGCGCATTGTAAAATCACGCGCAGGTGATCATGAAGCTGCCGCGGTGACTTTCTGCGAGACGCGAGATAAGACAGCGCTCGAGCCGAAATTCCGAAGCAGTCCAGTCGCTAAGACATAAACAGTGCGAGCGGAATCAGTAGTACAAGTAAACGTATGACTCGAGCGGACCACGGAAATTAATCCTGCGCGGCATTGATCGTCGTCCGTTGGTTTCCTAACACACGTAAACGATTAATTGGCAAAATCAAGAGAAGTCTATCGCGGGCCTGAGTCTGGCGTTGGAAAATTGGAAGTTGGTCGGCGACGGGAGGAAGGGGGGGGGGGGGCAGATCGGAAAGTAAAAGTGCGCATTCGAGTGGTCGGCGCGGAACACAAACCGAACGAGTGGAGAATCGAATTGGTGTGGTCCGCAGCTGGAGATTGGCAAGAGAGGAACGGCGCGCGCGAATTAATTCATTGGTAAGACCTTTGTAGCCCAACAACCTGCCAGGCCCGTTAATCATTACTCGTAACGAGAGAGAGAGAGAGAGAGAGAGAGAGAGAGAGAGAACGAGAGAAAGAGAGTTGGAAAAAAGCTGGCGCTAACCCACATTTCTGCTTCAACGGCTGACACCTATTTTCTCCGTTTCATTCCATCTCTTTCTCATTCTCTCTTCGTGGCACTCGCAATATTTGTCCTAGAGGGCAAAAACACAATAGCGTACGTCACGTGGAGCAAAGAAACACCCAGCAGGCAGGCAGCGACAAGATCGAACGGAGCGCACTCCCGAGATAACAATAGGACGAGGCAGAACTCGCAACCGCAAGCTCTCTCTCTCTCTCTCTCTCTCTCTCGCTCTCTCTCTCTCTGCCGACTGTGTACAATGAGGGACATTCTTTCGACGATGATTGCCGCGGCTGGAATTCGTAATTGCGGCTGCTGATATTTTTCAGCTCGGCTGCAGCTGCACGTTCGGCAATTACAGATTTATAATAGTGCGTTGGCGCAACGGCCGTTTTTTGAATAATACGAGAGCGCATTGCCGAAACAATAGTCGCCGACGGGCGCGGAATATCTTTCGAGCGCTGGTATCGCGTGTACGCGTATGCATCGCGGATAGCAAGGAAAGGTGAATGAAATGCAGTTGCCGAGAACGGCGGAGTAGCCGATCAACGCTGTACAAGCAGTCGCTAATAACACAGGCCGCGCACTACGCCTCTCTCTCTCTCTCTTTCTCTCTATCTCTGCGTCAGCCCCGTGGACTAGCGGCTCGACTTGCACCAAAGACAGAGAGCTGCATGGCGCGTGCGTCAAAGCGCTTTGATCGCGATAGTCGCTGGTTTGGAGACTCGCTTAAGCGTATTGCCGACGTCGATGCGAGGCCGGGGCGCGCAGCCACAAAAGACATTCGCGCGAATTTTTCGTCAAAGAGATACGGCAAACAGCCGGATAAAGCGAAAAACCCGAGCCGCGCGACGTCTGCGTCTGAGCCCGCGACGAGAGCGAACAATAAAAGCGCTCTATCTGTGCCGCAACATCTGCGCCGCCGTGCGTCCATTTACATTTTCCATTTTCCCCTCTCGGCCCCTCGCACTGCCCGTCACCGAGCTCGACTGCTGCGCTGCCGGTTGCCCGAGGCGTCGCCGCGCGACATAAGCAGCCGTTAAGCAGGCTGGATAAGCGAGCGAGCGCCGACGCGGACCCTCCGACGAGCGACAAGAGCGTCTCCGCGGCCTTGATCGACGACGCTGAATGCCAGCTCGGGAATGCCTTTCTCTCGGCTGGATCTTCTGCTGCACCCTCGCCGTTCGCCCGTCGTCGCGGTGCGTTGCGACGTGCACGGCTGCGAAACCCAGAGAGAGAGAGAGAGAGAGAGAGAGAGAGAGAGAGAGCTGACCGGGATCCGGTGCAGATGCGGCTTCGCTCCGCCGGCGCGTCAACGATAATCAACGGCGACGCCTCGTCATCGTGAGCGCGACTTTTACTCGAGAGGGGAGCCGCGTCGCTCGCGCGAGCGAGTGCCGTGTATTTCATAATGTCATTTCTGCCGCTGATGTAACGAGGCGGCGGCGGCGGCGGCGCCCTTTAACGTGACTTTCCAGATAATTCCGCGAATATCGCGCACGATTCACCCGCGAGGCTGAAGCGCGACCCAACCCAGCGCTCAATGGATGAATGGCGCAGTGGAGCGCACCCATCCCGGTACTCTCTCTCTCTCTCTTTCGCTCTCTCGTTCTCGAGTCGCGCCGCATGCCACCGCACGATAACATCGGCCGTCCTTTTCTCGCGCGCCTCTCTCATCCGCATACAAATTAACAAAGTCCCAATCGCTCTTCAGAATTTCAGCAAACTTCTGCGCTCTGCGTTCGAGACGTATAGCGTGCGATCGCTCGAAGCGTTTCGACGAGAGACGCAACGCGAACGCCTCGGCCTCGTAGAACGCGCGTCAAGCGAAAACCGACGCAGCCGCTCCGCCAGCCACGATCGTATTATTTAGTCGGCCGGCCGCGCGCGCGACGGGTCCGTCGAACGGTGTAGCCAGGGAGGACTGATTGCAGATAGCGGTGTGGCTGTGCCTGCTGGGCTCAGCGCTCGGCGCGCCACAGAGGGGCGGAGGCGCCGACAAGGACGCGGTCATCACCTCCCAACAGCTCGAGCTCAACTTCGACGGCAACTACGTCAACAAGTGAGTGCGACGCGAACGCCGCTCGAGGATGCCACGTGATCGCGACGGGGTTGGTTGTTGCAGCTTCGAGACGAGCAACGGCATCAGCCATCAGGAGAGCGGCGCGCCAAAGGCCCAGGGCAGCGACGGCCCCGCCGTCTCCTCGCAGGGCGCGACCTCGTACACGGCGCCCAACGGCGAGGTGGTGTCCATCCAGTTCGTGGCCGACGAGAACGGCTACGTGGCACAGGGCTCGCACATCCCCACGGCCCCGCCCATACCCCCGGAGATCCTGCGCGGCCTCGAGTGGAACGCCGCTCATCCCGAGGAGGACAGCATCGACTCTCAGCAGCCCGCCAATCGACCGCCGGCCCGAGGTTAGTCTCCCGCTGGCACCTCGACTCGCCGCTACTTCGCGCCATCGCTCCGGCCCATCGCTCGTCATTGTCCTCGCGGCTCGTTGCCTCTAATTGCGGCCACCTCTCGCCTATGCTAATGACGCTGCCGCCACGTTTCCTCCACGCACGGCAACACTCGAAGCTTTACGACTGCGAGCTATCGATCCGATGCTAATTGGAATTCGCGGCTTTTCCACCGGTTTCGCGGCTAACGGCGAGAACCATCTCCGCGATGCGCCGTCGCATTACAGTTGCACTCGGAGATCAATAATTTGGGCGCTTTCCGCAAATTTGATAAAGCCCCTTGTTTGGAGTAGGCCGCTGATTGTGTCGATCAATTATTCAGGAGGGCCGAGGCCCGATCGATCCTCTCTCTCTCTCTCTCTCTCTCTCTCTCTCTCTCTCTCTCTCTCTCTCTCTCTCTCTCTCTCTCTCTCTCTCTCGGCCGGAGACCCGGGCGTTCGCACTCTGCGCGTGAGTCGATCATAATATCCCTTCGCGCTCAACGGATACACGGAAGCCATTCGCGCGTCTCCGCTTCGAGAGTCTGCGAGTGAAATGTGCCCTCGTCAGCGCTATCCGTTAACTTGCCCCGACGGAGGAGCGTCGATGTCCACCTACGGACTTGCGGATCGAACGGCAGATTCGCGTGTGCCGAGCGTTCGATCGCGGACAAGATCAAGTTTGCCTCGGTGCGCGCACAGCCGTGAACTACTTTGCGCGAACGATTGCGCCAGCAATTTTCCGTCCCGCCTCGTCCCGCTGAACACGAACGGGGGCACGGATCCGCGTGTACGCGTGTGCAGATGGAGATGCACGTGTCGGATGGACTAAAGGTGAAACTCTCGGCTTGCAATTGCAGGTTAACCGCAGAGCGTAACATAGGATCGCCGCTGTAAAGCCGAGCCCCAGCGCCGAGGATCAACGCGAGAGCGAGCGAGAAGAGGAGACTCGATACAGCTGCGAAGGACTCTATCTCTCGCTCTCCCATCTCTTCGCCGTGCAGAGAGCCGAAGCTGCGCGCGGCGTATCTTACTAATCTTCGTATTTTAATGGATCCGCAACGACGCGGGGACGCCAAACGCCCCCCCTCCCCCCCGAAAAAGACAAAAAAATATCGCACAAAAAAATAAAATAAAATAAAATAAAATAAAAAGATATATGAACGTTTCGCACGCGCGTACACCGACCCGAGTCGCGAGTCGCATAACAATGGCATCCAACCATCTATATCTCTATGTAAAACTAAACAACCATTTTACACACTTGCAGCTGCTTCGTGAACCTAAATTACACTACGATGCATGTACGCTTGCTTATATACTACATATGTTTTGACAGCCGTCGTGGGACGCCCGTGTGTCGCGCGGGAGTCATCTGTCGCCTTCTTACAGCTTGTACTTTTCTTTGTTAATCCGCACGCAGAAGATATTGAAAGAAAAAAAAATACAAATAAAAAGAAGAATAATGATCAAATCAAGCGCTTCTCTGTCCGAGGAGTGGCAGCAGCCTCCTCTTCTACTACCATACGCCGTAACAACGCATTAAGCGAATTGTATGAATGTATACACACTATTGTTCTTGTGATTTCTTTTTTATTATATGTAAATAAAGAGTTCCGCCTGATTTGCTGTTGTGCCTGGGCAATTGACTTTCCTCGAAGGCGCTTAGCCTTGAAAAGGCATCGTCGACGGGCCGCTGATCGATGCGCGCCTAGAAAATTGACATTCCAGGAGAATCGAAAAGAATGGACAATGGAAAAACAGCTGAGCGTGGCATTGAGCAATTAAATGGATAGCTCGACGGGCGAGCCCGACGGCGTTGACGTGCAGCCGCACATCGCGCGCGTTGGCTCGATCAGCGGGCGAAATTCGGTCGCGCGGCATAAAGCCGAGGCGAAAGGCCGCGAGCTTTCGGGTGAACTGGTGGCAATCGCGCGCCGCCGAACGAACGAGCAGCGAAGCGCGCAGAGGTCGGCGAAAGGAGCGACACCGGGGAGGAGCAGAGCAGCAGCAGCAGCGCGCCGTGTCGCTGTAAGCAGGTATTGGTATTAGCTGCCGGAGCGGCGTTGCGAAAGGCGGCGGTAGCGCGCGGCTGGGCTCTCCGTCGTTATCCTCGCTGACCTCCTCGGAGCGAGCGTTCGACGCTTAATTGCTCGTTCGGAGCGCCGTCTTCGGCGCGCGCTATCATCGGCAATTTCCGTATCGCCGCCGCCGACGCTCCTTGTCCAGTGCGCTCGCGCGTCGAGTTTCCGTCGATCGATCGAGTCCGCCAACTGGTACGCGTCGCGCGTCGGATGCGCGCTTCGCGATCGTTTCTGCGTAAACGCAAAAATCGAAATGCCAGTCGGGACGAGGGACGAACAACGAAATCCACTCGAGCCGAGCGGCGCAAACGTGTGCCGAAGAATAAAGGGAACGAGTCTGCACGGTAGAAGTGTACGTGTACGCTAATGAATGGCTCTATAATTAAATGGCTGCGCTACGGGTTCACGCTTTAGATGGGCAAATCCTGCCGAAATGATGCATCCGCCACTGTAACAATAATCAGACGACTGGGTTAATCCGATTAAAAGCGCTCGCCCGAATTCAAACTGATCTTTACCGCTCGGCGCAGCCGTCGTACATTAGAGCGCGCTCGGGCGATCGAGTTGGATTCGCTTTTAGCAGGCGCCGCGATTGAGCCGTCGCGCACACCGAAAGGGCGCTCTCACCGATAGGCGGCCGGCTGCGCGATCGGCAAGCGAGCGCGGGCTCTCGATCGGCTGCCGCCGTTGCGCACAGGCTCGCCAGGCAGATGCCGGCGAAGGACGATCTCGGGGCACCAGCGGCTGGATGCGCGCCGCCTGCAGTTTCGTCAGCGTGCATTTGCATCGCGATGGAATAAGAAAAAGAGGGAATCGAGGCGCTCTATTGCGCGAGGAGCGTACACACCTATGCGCACCGCGGCTCTCGCTGGATAATGCCGCCTCGTTCGTTAAATAACGAACGGCGCGGTATCGCAGGAGGCGTATTGCGACACTGTGGAACGAGCGTTTAGCCGAATAATTTTCTCGCGGACGTTCGCGCGCGTACGCGAGCGGCCGGGCGCGACCAGAGGCGCTGCTGCGTCGTAAAAATATAACCGTGGGCGCAGCAGGCTGCCGCGCCACGGCCGTCCCGAAACCCATTAAAAACGAAAAGCGCCTCTCTGCAAAAAGCACTTTCTCGCCTCCGACCTTTCGTCTCGAAAATAAATTCGCGCCTGCGCTCGTCGCGCAGCTTCGCGCGTACGGATTGCGCAACCGACTTGAGTGCCGTTAATAACACTCTCGAACTTACTCGACTGCGAGCAACTGCTCGTTTAATGACAGCCAATCCGCGCCGGCCGCGCTATTGATTATTCGCCTGCAGCGTCGGTCTGCGCGCGAAAACTTTGCAAAACTGCTCGCACTTTCGAATCTTCTCGGTTTCGCTCTTTGTATTTTTCAACTTCGACCTCGCGAATATCAGTCATCCCGGCGTCCCTTCCAGAAAGCCGAGTACGGTGCATTTGCTCAAGATCCTCCCTCGAGTTGTGCGAGTCAGCGGCCCCGTCCGCCTAAGCCTCGTACGTATCGATGTTCGAAAAATCCGAGCGCAATGCGATCATCGAGAAAAGATGAAATGCGCAATATGAAACTTATGCAAACACCTGCACACGGGTAACGCGTGTATTTACTCGAGGAAGAGGGAGAACATGAAAAATGGAACAGCTATCTCGCATTTCTTTATCTTTTGCAGTGGCACGTTCATCCCATAATCCGTCGCCCGAGGAGACTCGGCGAGAAAAAAGAAGGAACGAAGAAGAAGACGAGGACGAGCAGGGGGAGGCGAAGGTGGGGCGGTCGCGCCCCGCTCATTTATAGCGCAATTTCGCGCGACCAGCGCGCGTCACGGTGGTGCAGATATGTGCGTTGCCACGTTGACGCAACGCTTCGACCTGTGCCCGGCAGCGCGAAAGTGCGCGCGCGTCCGTGGGACGCGCAGCTCTATAAAAGCTGCGGGACGCGCTGTCCGCGCTTATCAGCCGAGCGCGTCAGAGTCCCGAGCTTGACCGCGGCGTTCCGCAGCCCCGGACGATAAAAATGCTGCTCCACTGTAGCTTGGCCCTGCTGGCGTTGAACGGCGTCTGGGCGCAGCGCCGGGCGTACCCCAGCTCGTCGGCGTCCGCGCCGCCAGGCCCGAGGCAGCAGCAGCAGCAGCAGCAGCAGCAGCAGCAGCAGCAGGCCACCGACATACTGGAGCAAGTGAGCGACATCAGCCCCGACGGCAGCTTCCACACCAAGTGGGCGAGCGCCAACGGGATCACTTTCGAGGAGTTCGGCCAGCCGAAGAGCCTGGGCCAGCAGGTGGCCGAGGAGGTGCAGGGCTCGGCTAGCTGGACCTCCGACGACGGCGAGCAGGTCAGCATCAGCTGGCACGCCGACGAGAACGGAGCGGTGATCGAGGGCGACCACGTGCCCACCCCGCCGCCGGTGCCGCCGCTCATCCAGCGAGCCCTCGACTACATCGCCGCTAATCCGCCGAGGAGCGCCGAGGAGGGCGCCTACGTCGCCGACGCCGATCGGCTCGGGCCGCCCCAGCCATCCGCGGGCTTCCCGGCAGCACCGAGAGCCCGGCTCAGGCCCAGGTCCCGACGCCTCGTCACCACCGCCGCCGCCGCCGCCGCCGCCGCTCGATCTTCCTGATCCGACTCTGCTCCGCGTCCTCGCAGTATATACCCAATGGCCATCCGCTTGTTATTGGCGTCTCTATGTAATATTGCGTCACCTATCACTGCAACCAGAAAATAAACTTTTATTGCCCACTTGAACCGTCTACTGGACAGTGTTCACCTGTCTCTTCGGCCAGAGCTCGGCTGAATCACCTGCATTTGTATCTATTTGGCCAATACCAAGTGCCGCGAGCCTTTTATCGTGCGAAATTCGCTCGTCAATGATCTCTCGGCGGCTTAGCATCATCCTCGATACCAACGACGCGATATGTCGAAAGGTACGAAGCGCAAGTGGGTGTCGATTGCGCATCATCCGATTGCCGATGGGCAAATCGGAGCCAGCCCAGTAGCCACTCGAGATTTTTCGTCGCGCGCCGGCCTGAACGCGCATCTTATCGTTCGAGAAAAGTTGGAGTAGCCCGCGGCGATCTCGGGCCGAATTCAGGAAAGCGCGCCCGCCAGCGATCGGCCGTGACGGACGCGCCACAGCTACTCGACAGCTCTCGCGCGCCGCACGGGAGATGAAAAAAAATCGCACGCTCGTTATGCAGATGCCGTTACGCGTACGTTTTGCAGCGCGTATGCCAATAGCCGAGCATCCGTCGCGTTAAAACCTTTGCTCGCGCGCCGGAGCCGCGTGGCGCCCGTGGGCACGGCACGCGCGATCGTTCGATTCCCTCTGCCGAGCGACATTGGCGCGACGCCACCTCGATCGGGAGCCGTCGCGCGAGACGCGACCCTTCGGCAGCGCGCGCTCTCGAGGCGAGACTCGCCGCGGAATGCGAGCGTAGCAGCCGTTCGGCGGGCACAACTAAAAGCGGCGAAAGTTGATTAAGCATACCGAGCGCGGATAAATTGCAGCCAAGTTGGCGTCGGCAGCGCAGGTCTCTGCTCGGCGAGCGCATGCACGTACGCGAGAGATCCTGCGCGCGCTGCGGTGCGCGCGTTCGACGGGCAGCTCTCGCTCGGCCGTGTGTGCGCGCACGCCTGTCCTTCGCGAGGACGTACACGTGCGAATGGCGAGGGACCGAACGACAGGACCAAATGGAAGATGACGAATTCAGAAAGAGACCGGCTTACAAAGACCCGTCCGTGTGTTTGGCCAAGAGAGAGAGTGTCGCGGTGGCAGCGCACCGACAAACGCGGCTGGCGAGCGTCGGACGAGGTGGGTTTTCGAGCGACTCGCTCCGATTTCCGGCGCGCCCGCGTGCCCACTCCAAGAAGCCCTCCCTCTCCTGCCATTTCGCTCGTGCTTTCCGACGAATCCGAGCTTTCTCTTTCTGTCTGGCTGGCGTCCCATCCCCCTCGCCCGCCCCTCGGCGAAAGCTAAAGAGTCGCGCGCAAGCACCGACCTCGGCTGCACCGTTACTTCATTTCGCGAGTGCCCTCGAGAGCTCGCGCGGGGAAATTGCTCTCGCCCGCGGGCGAGCGCGGAGATAATAAAAGCCGGCTGCCGGGGGAATCCCCTTGGCGGAATTCGACGTAAGGAGCCCGTTAACGTCGCTCGCAGGCGGGCGCGCCGCTCCGCGACAACGCGCGGCCGATCTCGCGGCCGAAAACGACGGGCTCTCGAGCAAGGCAGCCGGCGAGACTCGAGGAGCCGCCGCGGAAGGGGAATTCGATCCGCTCTCGGGCGTCCCTGAGCGCGCGGCGAGCGCGTCTCTTCGCGGCGGGACACGCGTCGCGCCGCGTCCGCGCGCTCGATCAAAGCGGCCGATAAGCCGTGAGTGCCGGGATCAATTATTCGCCTCCAGCCAATTAGGGCGAACGCCGGCCGCCGTCCGCACGGGCCGCGCGATCGAGCGCGTCGCTCGCGCACGCAGCCGCACAGTCGCGCTCTCGTTGCGACGAATTAGCGATGTATCTAGGCGGATGACCCTGCAGAACGGAGCGTCACGCACTTCGAGAGGGTTAAATCACTTGCGCGAGTGACGTTCGGAGCTGCTGGCGTTGCGCGCGCGTATATACGCCCGAGACAGACGGCCTCCGAGCCCACTGCAGTGGAAACGCGCGCGCTCTGCGAGTCTCAGCCCGGAGCATGATCGTCATCCTCGTGCCGTTTTTCTTGGGTTAGTATCGCCGCTCGGCGGCAGCGGCAGAGGTAGAGTGCACTGATAGCGTACGCTTGGGCGTGTGCAGCGGCCCAGCTGCGGGAGGCGGCTTGGCACGGCGGCGGCGGCGGCGGCGGCGGCAGCGTGCCCGAGGCCACCTATCGGTTCAGCCTCAACTCCACGGCGGTGTCCGCGTCCAGGCTGCAGGCGCGCGCCGCCGACCGGTCGACGCGCTTCGACATGAGCGCGCTGCTCAAGTGCAGGTTCCGCGGGCCGGCCTCCCTCCTCTGCCACATGACCGACTCCAAGGCGGTGAGTAAGGCGCGCGCTGCGGCGGCTCACGGCCGCGGCTCATCGCTGCGAGCGGTTCGCAGGTGAGCTTCGCCTCGAGCACCCTGGACCCGGCGTTGCCCGGAGTGCCGCTGCCCGGGACCACGGACCAGCACCCCGAGTACCAGCTGGCCGAGGAGGCCTTCGAGGTGACCTTCACGCCCTACGGCATCGGCAAGATCCTGGTGAACCGGAGCGTCAGCCCGGCCGACCTGAACATGATCCGGGCGGTGGTGAACCAGCTCAACGTCGGCGCCAACATCGCCCAGCGCAAGGAGGCCCAGTTCCAGCACACCGAGAAGTCGCTCATCGGCAAGTGCGACACGACCTACCGCGTGGCCAAGGACTCGTCGGGCGGCGCGGTCAGTGTCCCCTGCGGCGCGGGCGTCAGCGTGTGCCGGCATCGTCACTCGACCGCCTCTGTCGCAGGCAGCTGAGTCGGCGCCGCAGCCCTGGGAGGACGACTACCGGCTGAGCGGCCTGGAGAGCCTCGGGCGCAGGAAGGCCGAGACGCTGCGGCTGGAGAAGCGTCGCAACCTGCACAAGTGCAGTCTCCGCGCGGACTACTTCTTCGGCAGCCGCGAGGGCCTCAAGACCGACCCGTCCGACTTCGAGGCTCGCGTCGTAAGTGTGCCCGCGCGGCGAGTGCCGCTCGCCCCCGAAGCGTTCGCCCATGCCATGCCGCCGTGCGTGACGTTTCGCAGGTGTCGTCGGAGAGCACGATCTACGTGTCGGACGAGCAGTTCGCCTCGTACACGCACAACGAGCTGGAGATCGACCGCCGGTACGGCGAGGACCTGATCGTCTACGAGAACTACGCCATGAGCCTGATGTCCGTCGACCTGGCCGAGGTCGGCCTGATACCGGCCTCCATCGTCGATCCCGTCTCCGCTTCGATCTACGCCTACCAGTACGTCGACGACGACGACGACGACGACGAGTCCGCCGAGATGCACGAGCGCGCCCGAGTGGCCTCCTCCTCCTCCTCCTCCCCCTCGCGCAGCTCTCGCCGCTGACTCTTCCGCCCGTTCGCTCGCGTTCCCGGCGGCGCGCGAGGCAGCCCGAGGAGCTAGCGAAGCGGCTTCGCTCGAACGCTGCGCCGGCGCGACGCCGCCTTTCCCCTTTCTCCGCTTTTTCCTTTTCTCCCCCTTTCCTCGGGCGCGCGCTAGTGGCTTTATCAGCCTCGAGCCCGCCGGCCGATTGATTTTTTTTAATTGGCCCCGCGGACTCGAGTCCTGCATTTCAGCCAGGCCAATTTGCTCGAGTTCCACCGTGAGCTAAGGCTGCCAAGAAAAGTAGACCTTTTCCGCTCTCGTGAACGGGAGACATTAGCCGCGAGAATTTTTTAATAATTTCCGCTCGAGCTTTTTTTCCTTCTCGCTCCAGCGCCGAGGCTTATTTTCATCTTTGTAACGCGTGCTGCAGTTGCTGTCACCGTTTCATTAATTCCCGGAAAGCTCGCGTGAGAATGTACGCGGGGAACAGTAATAAAGTCGTTGAATAAAGGCAATTGGGAAGGAAAGGCAAATCATGGGACAATAAGAAACTGCAGTGTCATTTTAATATAGATAGATTTATTAATGATTTCGTCGTTAGAGTATCTGTCGATAATGTTGGATTATGTACAAAATAACGCTGAAGTATGACAGAATATATACTATATACAGAGAGGTGGGGCGCGCACGGGCAATCGGGCGCGCGGAGACGCGCGGAGACGCGCAGAGAGCGCACGTAATGCGTCGTAATTGAACGCACTTAGAATGCTAGACGTGTTATATACACGTGGGCCGGTTGCGAGCAGGCAGCGCTCGCAAGGACATATCTTACTCAGGCGCTCGTTCGGATTAAACTTTCTGGCGAAACTCCGCTCCCGCCGCGCTAATCTTTCGCACGCTTGGCGCTCGTTTGGCGCTATCGCATATCATCTCCGGCGCTAGAGCGACGATAAGCCCAGCCAGCCACGAGGAGACCGAGGCGCAGGCTTATCAGCCGAAGCCGCGGCAAGCGGGCGCAGCTTAATTCCGCAATCGCTTCGTTCCGCGCCTTCTCGCCTCGCGCGCCCCCCGCCGGCACGGCCCCAGTGCCGGCGGCCATCTATCATTGGCAGCGATACCGATATGTACACTGGCTGGCTGCCTCTTTCTTCGGATTAGCCGCGCTGGCTGCGACGGCGCCGAGCCAGCCCAGGAACACGCTCACCGCGTTATTGCACAGACGATGCGCATCGGCCGCCGACGCGCTTGTCGCTCGGACCGATTAGCGATTGCTAGTGTCGGTGGCGCAAACCAAAGATAATCCCTTCGATCGAGCCAGTATGCTTTCCTTCCTGCCCAGACGCACGCACCACTCTTAATCGCTTCGGCCTACATACGCTATCGCGTGGTGCGCGTTGCGTTGGCGCGAGTACGCCGGGCACATGTATGGACAGCGAATACGTACAGCTCGCAGCCGCTGGCGGCAAACTAATCGGCAAAGAGTTTACACGCACGTTCGGATCGAGAGGAGGAATGTATTTACAGCAACAAGAGAACAGAAAAAACAAGATAACAATGGCACGCCGTTGCGCACACGCACGCTCGTTCTCGCTGGCGCACGGATCCCCGCAATCGGACCGCCTCTCTCCCGTCAATAATAAATTACAAGGATTCGCCCTCCGCGAGGAAGACGAATGGCAAAGAGCTTAGCTTAGCACAAGTACAATTTGATAAATAATTTAAACGCGATACGTAGGTTCGCTCGTTTCCTTAAGTACGATCGAGGCGAACCCCCATCAGACGGAATATCGCCTCTCTGGGTCGCTAGTACATTATTCTTACAAAAAAATACACATATTTACACGCTTTGCGACTTTCTTCAGCTACGAGTTATGTATATATACATACATACATACATAGTTGTGCAATATATATACATATGTATAATATATATATATATATAGCACTACGTATTCGAGTGTAGATATACACGATTATTAGGTAGTATTATCAAGTTGTTTATTTCGGATACACAATCATATCTCGTGTGATATTCGAAAGGTTACTCGAAAGTTATATTGCTAGGTAAGACTTCTAGAGCAGTGCATACGCAAACATTAGAAACATTAGAAAAATCAAGTGGACAAGTATATTGCTTTTGGTTGGACGAACGCGTGGAAGAGCCAGCGCTGCATCGAAACGCTGCCTCGGTGCATCATACATAGATAGTGAAAAACCAAACACTCAAAGGCAGAAAACGTCCGAAAAAGACCGGAGGTAGATGTAAATGGAACGGAGGAAGAAATAGAGAGCGAGAGAGAGAGAGAGAGAGAAAGAAACGCGAGCTTACCAGGGAAGGGAAAAAAGGTGAGCGGGGGTTGGTCAGGCCGTATGTGTCGGCTTGTATATATCGGCATTCCTGAGATAGCGTCGAGCTATAATATACGAAGGAGGTGTGCTCGCATGCGGGGGCAGGAGGAGAAGGAGAGTTATGTAGGAGAGCTAGCCCAGTTCGTACGTTGTATTGCTTTCTCAATAAGGCGTTGGCTATAGCCATAATGCCGTAGCGAGCAGCGCGAGGCTGCGCGCGACGCTCCCCGTTATTAATGGCTCTCGATCGCCGGCAGCCTTGCGCGCCAGAAAAATTAGCGGGACGAAGCGGCAACGAGCCGAGGACATTGATTTTTCTATCGCTAAGCGATTGAGAGCTGAATTGTACTTATTTCCAGCCAGCGAGAGAGAGAGAGAGAGAGATTTAGCACGGTCGATGGGCCTTAAGTGAAGCGAGAAATCGAAAACTCGCGAGGCCGTGTTCTCGATTGCTTTGTCTCTCGCTTCATTTCACGCACTTTACCTCTTTTTCCAAATTCCCTTTATCGCCTTCTTCCGCGCGCGCGTCGAAGAAGATTTCCCTTTCCTTTCTTCTTTTTTTTTTTCGGAAAAGCTCGTTCGCTCGCAAGTTTAGGCATAAAAATTCCGCTGGCCTTTGGGGCCGAAAGTTTCCGGGACGGGGGTGGGGCGAAGGGGAGCCGCCTAAATAAAAGACGAAATCACTCTTACATCCGAGGAACAAATTTGGGAAGCCTCCGTTCGGAGTCGCGAGGCCGAGCGTAAAACATTTATGAGGGCGGCGAATCACTCGATTCAAATGAAGAAGAGCGAGAAAGCCGGCCAGTTGCAGGAACTAAGTTTTCTCTCCGGGCTCGCCCTCCCGTGTTCGGCGAGTTACGCTTTCACGTACTCGGTAACGACGACGATCACTTTCTTCGGGCGAACGTGCCGAGTATGCGAGAAACGAGCGCCTCCCTTTTTTCGCGTCAAGCACTTTCCGAGTTTAGCTCTCCGGCGGATTTGTATAATCGGCTGAGGATCTAGAATTCCGCTCTTAAAAGCAGAAGAGAAAGAGAGGCAGCGGGGATAGAGAGAGAGAGAGAGAGAGAGAGAGAGAGAGAGAGAGAAAGAGAGTGCGCGCGCCGGGATCTGTTAATCAACGTGATCTAGTGCAGCGATTTATAGCCGATTGAACAAGATTTAATTGAGTGGATTTTGCTGTCGGCGATAATAGCCGCCGTCCATTTGCATCCGGTTGTATAGCTAGTCGCAGCTCGCTCGCGCATAATTATTTTTGTCGCATGAAGCTCCGACGGCCGTTCGCTCGATCGACTGGCTCTGCCGCTGGAAAAACGTGGACAAGTGCGCGGCCCAGTTAAAAGGTGATTTCTCGCTTCCGCGCTAGAAAAAGCTCCCCCTTCTCCCTCGCTCTCCCTCTCTCTCTCTTCCCCGCCATAAAGCACACACGACGGGTCTACTACGGCGAATGCATGCTCATCGAGCTGTGCATCAAAAGAAAACAAGTCGAGGGCGAAAGCATTTGGCGGCTTTGATCTTCGATCTGAGCTTGCTCAGAGCCGCGGAAATGAAATTACTCCTCTGGCGACGGCAAAAAAAAAAAAAAATAAATAAAGGAAAAAAAATGGCGGCATTTATTTCGACGGCGATACCGCGACCCTTCCCGAGGATTCTCGCTCAAAGGAAGCTTCGTAGCTACGTTCGCAGACAATTCCGGCGCGCGCACGTCCGTATAGATAGCGTAATCTAATGGTCGCTCGGCCGAACTATCACAGACGGAGAAAGAGATGAGAGTGCGCGGCTTTGGGACGCGGGGCCCCGAGTCGAAGCAGAGCACACGCCCAAGGCGTATACGCAAACTCCGGTCGAGGGAGTAGCCCCGAATCTTCTTGTCTCAAAGGTGAGCGAACAAAGGCAGCTGTGTGCAAGACCGAGCTCGTTACCGAGCCGCAGCACGAATTTCCGATTCGTAGCCGACCCCCTCTTTGACGCACGATCGACGCTTCTCCCATGGCAAATTGCTTTCCCTTGAAGCTTGATCCATTGCGGTCCAATTCGACATTCGTGTCCCGGTCCATTTTTTTCTCTCTCTCTCTCTCTCTCGCTCTCGTCGTTTCACTCGCTTCATAAAAATACGTCGTCTCGAGTTTAAGGAAAGCCAAAGCCACATCGACGCGCCTAATAACGCTCTCTCGTCGGGATCTTTTTGACTTTGCTTTCGGCGACACGCGTCATCGGAGCAGCTCGGCACTGTGGACGCGTCGACGCGGAACTGATTCGCTCCGATAGCTCTCTTGACAGTGTTATTCGGCATCCTCGTGGAAAAACTGACATCGGCTGCCTTGGAAAAGCTGCTTATTAATTCGCCCAAGACATTAGTACGCCCTCGCGCGGCTCCACTCGGCGGAACGTTCTTGTAAGCCTGCTTGCCTCTTACAATCAAGCTCCGAAATTCGCGCGACGCGCCAATTAAGGTGTCGCTGCTCCGCGCGGAGATTAGAAAGATGCCCTTCATTAGTGCGCGCTTTTTCGGTTCTCGTCCAATCTCCTGTACCGAATCGCGCAACAGAGAGCGCATATTTTGGTCGATGATTTTTATCATTCGGCGTCAATTAGAAATTGCCTTTGAACGAGAAGGCAGGAGACACGCCCATGGAAGGGAAGGAAAAAGACGAAGAGCGAGAGACGGGATAGATATTTGTAGGAAAGAGAAAGAGAAAGAGAAATAGAATCGAAAATGTATAGTTACGGGGAGTGGCGATGGGGAAAAGAGATACCCGTGTCCTGGCGAGCTTCCATTCTGACGTCGTCACGAGTTATGTCTCGACGAAAGACACTCGTATCATTTCCTTTTTCTTTCTCGACGCTTTAAAAGCTCCGACTTGATTAGACCCACACATGCCCTCGCCCTAACGACGATAACCTCAACGTGTAACAGCCTTCGGACTCAATTGCTAAATCGAACTTTGCTCCTTTCTTTCACAAGCGGCCCTTCCGTCGCTCTGGCCGCCGCCACTCATACGCACGTATGCATATTCGCCTCTCGTGCGCAGCGCGATCGCTTGCTGCGCAACGTGCCTCGCTTTCTCCATGCGAACAGGGAGGAAGAATCACCGCGAGCATTCCTTAAACTTCTAGATTACATTCGCACTCACATACGCAATGACGCCGAACACGCTCGAAAAGTTATTGGCAATCTAAGGCTTGACTATGTTTCTCTCTTGCCAGCGACTAGTCGGATTTTTCTTTCTTTTTTGTTTTCTTTTTGTTGCTTCGACTCTGTTCCTTACTCCGCTCGACGCAAGCTCGAGTCCAACTGAGCAGAACAACGCCAGTCGCTGATCGTTTTACGATATAATTTACGAATATATGTACACGCACATGTAGGTGTACATGTACATGTAGATATATATAATTTATAAAATTACTACTTTCAACAAGTTAGCCCGGGTATGGACTAGGCGGGATTCTGCTAGTCGGATCGCCGGCCGTGCCCAGCCAACAGAACAGTCTGCAGTATAACGATTCAAAGGAGAAAAATAAATACACAAGGAGAGCGAACGAGCGGCAACATTCACAAACACGCGCGCACGCGCTAAGAGCAACAAGAAGAAGTAGAACAAGAACAACAACAACAACAACAACAACAGCTCTAATCTGGATTGCTTTTCGTTACATATCACGGCACAGAACTCGTCGCACTGCTCGTCGTCGTCGTCGTCGTCGTCGTCGTCATCGTCGTCGTAGTCGCGCGTCAGTCTTGCGCGGGTTCTCGCACTCGAGAGTCTCTGTCGGGCGGCTCGGTCGACCGGCCGGCCGCTCGGAAGGAGAAGGTGGTGTCCTCGTGGAGGCGGGCTCACGCGTGGTAGCCGGCCAGCTCGCGCCTGGCCAGGCTGCCGTGGCGGCTCTCCAGCTGCTGCTGGCGCTGCTGGTGCGACGAGGCCGAGAGCTGCTCCAGGCGGCGGCCGCCGCCGCCGCCGCCGCGCTCGCGCTCGGGGCCGCGCGGCCGGGCGGCGCCGGGCGCCGGCTCCGCGATCGTCTCGTAGGGCACCTGGTAGTGGTGGCAGGCACTGCCGTTGATGGGCAGCGTGGGGTACTGGTGCGGGTACCTGGGCGGCGGCGGCGGCGGCGGCGAGGGCGAGCGCCTCGGCGGGCTGGCGCCGCGGCGCAGCGACTGGTAGGCGTGGTGGTGGTGGTGGTGCTGGGCCAGTTCGGCGCCCGCCGCGCAGGCCGGGCTCGCGCACAGGCGCAGGCTCGCGCCGGCGGGCAGCGTGCCGGCGGCCGGCGGGCGCAGTTGGCGCGCGCCGTCGCTGTCGAGGTAGGCGAAGCCCTCGGTGGGCGTGCCGCCGCTCCCGCCGTGCGGCAGAAACCAGACCCCGCCGGCCTGCGGCTGGCCGCCGTTGCCGGGGCTCGCCGCGCGAAGCTCTAGCTACAGCTCCGTGACGGGCACGGGCTTGAGGCCCGCGGAGGAGGCCAGCTGCTGCTGGTGCGCGTGAGGGTGCGGGTGCTGCTGCTGCGGGTGCGGGAACTGCTGGTGCGGGTGCTGCTGCTGCTGATGGTGATGGTGGTGGTGGTGCTGCTGCTGCTGCTGCTGCTGGTGGTGGTGGTGGTGGTGCTGCTGCTGCTGCTGCTGGTGGACGGCGGCCAGCTGCTGCTGGTGGGCGTGCGCGTGCGCCTGTAGCCGCAGCGGCTGAGGCCCCGCGGCCGCCGCCCGTACCACGTACTCGTCCTCGCTGAAGGTCTTCTGGTACTCGTGCTCCTTGCGCGAGATGGCGCGGTTCTTCCATTCGAGGTCCTTGAAGGCGTCGCGCACGCGCCGCCTGCAGCGGTAGTAGAGCACGAAGGCCGCCCCCGCGGCCGCCGCCAGGCCCGCGGCGGCCAGCGTGGCCAGCAGCGCCTGCTTCTTCGGGTCGGAGAAGGCGCAGCCGAGGCGCTCGGGGCGCATGCCGCGCAGCGACTTGTCCTTGAGCTCGGGCGGCTCCGCGCAGTTGACCGGGCTGAAGTTGCGCGAGGCCAGCACCTCGCTCAGCCAGAGCACGCCGCAGTCGCAGACGAGCGGGTTCTCGCTGAGGTTGAGGTGGCGCAGCTCCGTCCAGGCGAGCAGCGACTCGCTGAAGCCGGCGAAGTTGTTGTCGCGCAGGTAGAGGTAGCGCAGGTTGGGCAGGCCCGCCAGCGCGCCGTCCTCTAGCGTGGCCAGGCGCTTGTTGCTGTTCAGGCTGAGCGTCTCCAGGTTGGCGTTGTCCGAGAAGGCCCCGCGGCGCACCGCGCTCAGCAGCTTCGCCCCCGAGACGTCCAGCTTCTTGAGGTTGAGCAGGCCCTTGAACGAGCCGGCGCGCAGCGCCGCGAACGAGTTCTGCCCGAGCCAGAGCTCCTCGAGGCGCGCCAGCCGCGCCAGCTGGCGCGTGGGCACCTCGCGCAGGCTGTTGTCGTTGAGGCGCAGGCTGCGCAGCGCCGCCAGCCCGCGGAACGCCTCCAGGCTGATGTTGTCCAGGCCGGCCGAGGCCACGTCCAGCACGGCCAGGCGCTCGAGCCCGCGGAAGGCGTCGTCGGGCAGCGCGGTGAAGGCGTTCAGGCCGATGTGCAGCTCGGCGAGGGCGTTCAGCGGGCCCAGCGCCGCCGAGGGGATGCTCTGCAGCTGGTTGTCGTCCAGGTAGAGCACGCGCAGCGCGCCCAGCTTCTGGAACGCGTCCGGGTCCACGCTCGAGATGCGGTTCTCGCCGAGGTCCAGCTCCTCGAGCCGGTCCAGCGCGGCGAACAGGCCCTGGCCCAGGCCCTCCAGGTAGTTGTTGCGCAGGTTCAGCACCGTCAGCGAGCGCAGCCCGTGGAAGGTGCGCTCGCTCAGCGCCGAGATCTTGTTGCTCTGCAGGTGCAGCTCCACGAGCTGCTTCTGCGCCTCGAAGCTCAGGTCGGGGATGCTCAGCAGGTGGTTCACCGACAGGTTCACGATGCGCAGGTCGCCGTAGAACTGGAACGCCGCCGCGTCCACGGTCTTGATCAGGTTGCCGCCGAGGTTGATCCGCTGGATGCTGGGGTTCAGCGCGATCGGGATCACGTCGAGCTTGGCGTTGCTGCACGACACCACCAGCGTCTCGTCGTCGCAGTCGCAGCCAGCCGGGCAGAACGCCGCCGCGGCCTGGCCGAGCGCGGCCGTCAGCGTCGCCGCGAGCAGCGCCAGCCGCACCAGCCGGCTGCCTGGCTGCCTGGCCGTCTGCCTCTGGATCGGCATCTGCAACACCAAACGAACGCCTCGGTCAGTCCTCGATCCCGCTGCTCGCCGCTCGGCCGGCCGCCCCGCCTGATCCCGGCGGCTAACTGGATTCCGAGCAAGCCGGCCGAGGCGCTAAATAAAAATCCCGCTGACTGCGGCTCGAAAGCTCTAATAGAGACATCAAAGTTCCCGGACAGAAAGAGACTCTCTCTCTCTCTCTCTCTCGAGTCCATTAAGCGCACGTGCTTCGTTAAAAAGAATCCTTTGGAGGATTACCCGCTGCCAAGCTCGCTCCGGCTCGCTCCGGCTCGCTCCGGCTCGCTTATTTAATTTGCCGAGAGTGCGCGCCGCGTCGGCGCGGACGGCGCAATTTCAATCTGGGCGCTTCGATTGCCGAGTGCACTTGACTAATAACCGGGCGTCGTCCCTCCGCGCGTATCGCCCGGCTCGAATAAAGCGCTCGACAATCGGTCGACCTTCCCGATCAGCCGTGCCTCCGGGCTGCGGGGGCATCGAGGCGAGCGCGCACCGCCGCCCGCGGCAGCCCGGTCTTACCCGAAACGGAATTAGCCCCGTTTTCGACTGCAGCTCATCAGCGCTGATGCAATTGCCTTAATCGCCGGCCAAACGCAGCTGGCTTTCGGCATCGGTGCGCCCGAAGCCAGGCCAGTCCGATTTTCTCCGCCTCTCTTCGCGTTGAATCTAACGAGGTCAATTCATTAGGTAAATTCATTCGCGTCTATTTGCAGATTTACGCCCGCTGCGCTGCACCAGGTCCAGCCGTTTCCATCAATTCAACTTGCAATTTCCGATCGCCGCAAGAGCGCCGATCGATGAGGCCAGCAACGTTGCGCGCAGCGCTCGTTGACTCGCGCGTACAGGGGCGACCTCCATCTTGCCGCACACGGCCGGAAAAGTCGAGCGACCGATGCCGCGCCGAAACGACGAAAAAAGGCCTCCCTCTTTCTTCCGCTCGTTTTCTCTGCGTTACCGCGACGGCACTCGCAGAGGTGCGCATTCGCGCTCAACAGGTAAGCCTATGCGACGTGAGGAATGGTCGGTCGAGCCGCCGCCGCCGCCGCCGCCGCCGCCGCGTCCTGCTGGGCGAGGACTGCGTTAAAAGGCCACCGCTCTCGCCCGCCAAATCCTCGGGGCACTACGTGAATAGACAAAACTGGAGCCAAGCCAAGGCCGAAGGCGATCGAACCGGCGACTAGTGCCCTTTTCCCCCCGTGAGCTTTAGGCGTGATTTAGCTCCGGAGCGCTTTCGAATGTACTCGGCTCGACCGTCGCTCGACTGACCGATGAAAAACGCCTCTGTCCCCGCCCGATAAGCCGTTTCTACAAAGCCGCGCGAAAAATGCAGCCCCGATATTAGACATTTTGCGCGGAAGGAGCGTAAAAAGAAAAAAAAAAAAAAAAAACAAGAGGAAAGAAACGAGAAAAATGAAGCGGAGGTAAGGGAGCCGCAGACGACGACGACGATGGCCACGACGACGAGAATGCAAATATCTGCAAGAGAATTCTCGGCGTCGGAGAGCCAAATGAATATTTAATTTGCGCATATCTCGGACGCGCCGCGGCCTTTTTTCCCCCATTTTACAGCCGACGCGCCTAATTCCCCAACCAGTGATAATAATGCAAAACAGGCTCGGTCTGGCGCGAATTCCTTGTACGATAACTCGGCTCCTCGTTGCGCGGCCAAGAATGCGACGGTAAAATATCGAAATGCAATTGAGCCATTAAGTATCAAGCGTAGCTGCGGGGATGAGATACGGAGGGGCAGCGCCGGATCAGCCGTGTACGACTATGCGAAACACCGACGAAAGAGTCGAGGCGGCTGCGGCTTGATCAAAATTCGTCGCGGGTCTCGCGCCCACGTATCGTCGTAAACGTAGTTGATCGGCGAGCAGGCGCATCAAGGCCCAGGCGAAAGACTCTCGTCTTGAGAAAGCCCACCTGCCCCGACAGCTTTTTGGCTTAGGCGCGATCCCGCCCCGTCGTCGTCCGCGACAGTCTCGCTTAAATAAAGCATTCGCGTGCGCGCGACTCTCTTTCCCGCCGCGCACTTTTCCCCGGGATTTGCCGTGCAACATTCAGCAAGGTCCCAAAGTCTCCAGGCCGGCTGCATAATCCAACAACCGCCTCGCAGACGCAGATCCACGCTCGCGACCTGTGTTTTCCATAAATACGGTATTTCACGGATTACCTTAAATTATTAGACCAGATTAATGCTGCACGAGGACTAGACAGTTGCTCCACTTTGCCGTCAATTTTGCCAGGATTGGATATATGGGCCAATAACGCGGATAAAAAGCAGCCGCGCGGAGCAAAAATTAAGAGACAGGTGTAACCTATCCAGGTATCTCCGGGGCAACGTTGACGGATATTCTACATCGAGTGTAACTCGAGATTTTCCACCGTTTTTTTTTTTTCTTTTTTTTGTTTTATGACGGATCAAAGTTGTCAGAAACGTGTCTCTCGACTCTGTGAACTACGCAACCTGCACTTTAGATGGAAAACAGTAAGATAAAAGTTGTAATGAATTGAAGAAGCTGCAATTTGAAACGTCGCACTATTATTTTCATTCATTGTAACTGTAAAAGATACTGATGACCCTTAAAAATGACTTTTTAACATATCCAATATATGTTGCACAAAGAATGTTTTTCATTGTCATTGCTATTTAAAGATAGCTCTTATAAGTTCAGAGAAATAATGCCTTATATTATGGAATCACTTAGTTAATTGTTGAGATGTTCCTCTTTACTAATGGATGTCGAAAGTACATGACTGTATTTTTTTTACCGAAGGTATTAAGCTTAATCTTTTCGGTGATACGTCAATTTTAATAATTTATTAGAGGCATGTGATACAATTCATTTGCAACCCTTTACTTTTATCAAAGCAACGCTTTTTTTTTGTTGTCTTAAACTAATAGATCACAAAAACATCACATAAATGGACAATTTAAAAATTTGGATAGTTGATAGACAGCGAAGATTTTGAAAAAAATATCTCTTTTCGATGAATAAGAGCCGAGTTAGGGTTTTTTTTTAACAAATTGCTGTCCTAGTATTCACAATGATGGAGAAATAAATCATTCGGTATTTAATAGTAAGAAGGTATATTTAATACTTTGAAGTATTATTTAATACTTTGCTGTGTTTTCAAAAATTTGGCTGTTTCTTATTGATAATAAGGCTTAAAATGAAGTATCCTAGTAACAATTGCATCGATTTCGATGTTCCCTTTTTTCAATCTAAAGTAGCTTCGGAATGAATTTTTTTTAATTAAGCTTAAATTTTTTTTTAAATCTTGATTGCAAATCCAGTTGCCAGAAATTTCAAATTATCCATTTACGTATATTCATGACAATAAATTCATTGCTTTTATTAAGTTAAAATAAAAATAAAAGTTATTTTGGCAGTGAATAATAATCCGTAATTTAAAAATGGTGATTTTGTAGGGCTACATATTGGTAGTTTCTATAATAACTAGGAATGAAAAATAATTGTAGTTTTTTCTCAATTCCTTATAATATTTATTTTACACGTTTTCATTGGAAGTGCAAGGTTTGGAGTGTTCGCGTAGAACAGTGATGCGAAATCTTGAGTAACATCGGCTATAAAATATTTATTGACATTGCCCCGAATAGGCCTGGACAGATTTCATCTATCAGCGAAGTTTTGCCGGAAATTTTCCCTCCTGATTGGCCTAATAACACGCCGTCCGGAATTTTACTCGTGCAACATACAGTGGTGTCGAGTGTTGCGCTCGCACGGCCGGCAATTAATCAGCGATTTATAGGCGAAGTTACTGTATAATGGGCATCGATGAGCAGCCACCACGATAAATAGGTCTTGGACGCGCCACGGAGTTGCAGCGCATTCCGGCAGCCGGGAATATTTGGCAAGTCGGGCGTGTCGCCGCGACGTGTCAGAGGGCAATTTTCTGCTCGACTATACGCGTGCCTCGTCCCCATAAACACCTAGCAGCTCGATTTATCCAAGCTGACGAACGTTGCCCGCTCCCTCTCGCTCGAACCCTCGAGGCGATCGACGGACGACGTCTTTTCTCTCTCGCTTCTCGGGAAATCGCAATCTTAAATCGGCTTTTCGCGCTAGCGAACAATCTCCGCCCAACTGCCGTCGAGCTTGGAAAACCAATTGCTCGGCACTGCAGCCAGCATTAGCAATCGCGAGTGCTCCGCTCTTAGACTCGCGGCTGCTGCTTTGTACGCGGATCTCTTGCGCGGTACCGTAGGCGGCCGCGTTCTCGCGGAGCGTAGTGCAAGCTCCCCGGGGGCCGCGTATAAGTAGAATCGATAAAACTGCACAATTACCCACTCGCTCTTGCTGGGGCATGAGAAAAGTGCCTCGGGATTTGGCGGTTAGCGCATGTTGACCGACGGGAGTAGCTGCCGTGCCACCGCCGCCGCCGCCGCTGCACAAAGGATATTGCTTCGAATTTTCGTCTGGCTGGTCTCCGGCAAGAGAGAGAGAGAGAGAGAGAGAGAGAGAGAGAGAGAGAGAGAGAGAGAGAGAGAGAGAGAGAGAGAGAGAGAGAGAGAGAGAGAGAGAGAGAGAGAGGAATGCGATTTTATTCGAGCCGAAATTAATGTCGGCTCGCAGAGACGCGAGGCGCAGAGAAAAGAGCATGCCTGAGAGGCTTTCCGCTTGGAAATTGAATGTACAGCGCAACAAAGTGGCTTTGTAGGCCAACAGAAGTTACTCGCGAAAAGTTGATTCGCGCGCTGCCCGTGCCGCGCCGGATAACTTTGCCAAGCGTTCGCCGAGAGACGGATTTTTTTTTTCCGCCTTTCTGCCGAACGAATTGGGCGCTCGGCCGGCGAGCGCGATCGAGCGGCAATTCCGTCGCGCCCGATACTTCATTTAGTTGCTGTCGCTCAGCCTTGCCGCCGCCGCCGCCGCCGCCGCCGCCGCGATAAGTCCGACTCGGCCCCCGGTACTCCATCGGCAGCAACAAATATCGCCGCCACACTGCACTCAGAAATC